ACCATTTTTCTGCCTTTCATCAAGGCAGCGTTATTTTTGGCGTTGCTTGTGGGTGGGTGTCTTAATTTGATTTAGCGTGCACGTGGCACACTCCTAATTCATTAAACATTTTTCATTATTTCCCTGCCCAAATAAAGGTGAACCGTTTTTTATTGCTAGAAGGAAAAAGGAAAAACTCCATTGATTAATTTTGTTTATTGAATGAAATATGAACATTTAGCTGATGAATTTCTCGATTATTTTTCAGTTTCCCGCTACGTTTGGTTTATTAAATTGCACCAAAATTTTTCTCGCGTGTTGCATAAAATTATTTAGAAGAAATTAACGTTACGGTAGAAAAATGTAATACAGCAGTAAATTTTATTTTAATTGTACAATTTGGATTTTTTTTTTGCATATAGTTTTTCCTTTACTGATGGGACGTTAAAATATTGCTTTAAACTTAATTGAATTCTTCTCTTCCAGCGTTTCCAAACAGTGCAGTGAGGTTTTGTGACATTTTTTCGCGCGTCACTATCGCTCACATGTGACATCAGTGGGTTTTCTGTATAATATTTTAAGAGCAACAATCCACGTCACCAAGGCCTTTGTCAAAACTCGTCAATAAAAGTCAACATCTACGCTGATGTGAGGCTGCCAAGACGCGTATGTAACCTGCCTGTTGGCCTTGTATGTTTGCTTACTATCTACATGTTTATGGTAAAAAAGTCCACAAAGCGGGAAATATTTTATGGAAAAGAAGTGCAACATAATCACTTTTCTAGCTCTGAATTTATATTAAATTCACCGTTTTAAAACTTAGCATTTCAATAAAGTTTCAATATTTTCAATAAGGGTGCAGCTTTTATAAAAAATATTTGATATTTAAATGAATATAACTATATTATTGTAAATTATATTTTTTTTTTCAAAGCAATATATTCAATAATTTTATTAATTTAAATCGGTGGAGGGGGATGATAACATAATTTCATAATTATTATTGTGATTTTTTTGGTACCAACAGACCAGCGCATGTTTTCAACTGTTTCCAACCAAATTGATTCAAAATATTCACTGAATCTAACTCTCTAGGTAATTTCCTCTCCGTTCAAAAGGGGCGCATTAGGGGTAATCGGATTTTCGATGCATCAGGCTATTTTGTGAATATTAAATTAAATACTATAAATTTCATTCAATTTGTTCTTTGGCATGAAAACGGTTATATGAGTTGTCTGTCAAGCGTGCAAAATTGTTCTTTATTGCGTTCTGCTTTTGGGATCAGAGACATCAGAGTGGATCCTTTATGATGTTGCACTGAATTGAGATTCCATATCAATGTCACCTATGCAACCTGTCAAAAATATGGATTCTCACTAAAAACTTTAAACAAAGTGTGCTGCTTCAACTACTTAAGTTTAATTTATTAAATTATACAAGGTCTTATTTATTAATTTACTCTCCATTCCATTCCAATAAATTTGAAAATTACATAATCATTTAACATTAAAATATTATACATCAAACTATAAATTAAAACTGATTGTTAAAATGTAATTTATCATTGATTTGCTAATTGAAATGTTTGGTGCAATATTTTTTAAGACAAGAATATTTAGTAAAATAATCAATGATTCGTGCATTGATCATTATGAAAAGATAAATGAAAATGTAGAAATATTTCAAAATGATTTTATTTAAAAAAAATTGATCTTAAAGGAATGCACTGGAAAATTTTCAAGCAGGAATAAAAATTTAACAAAGAAATACGTGTACATAATATTGAGTGAAAACGATTTTACTTGCAAAGTGCATATTATAAATATATTCAAATATGTATTCACACTTGCTATCAAATAAGCTCCAGTCCCTCCGACGTTTTGAGGATTCGCAATAACCTTCAACCGACAAGAATTCGTTCTTTTCGCTCACAAAAAGAACAAAAATAACAGCCCTAGGCTGGCTGTTGCGGAGCGAAAACTCGCCCTTATCACCGCTCTCAAGCGAAGCACACATTTCACATGCCGTAACGTTGGCTGCTGAAGGAATTTTTTTTGCACATTTTACTTTGTGGCGACGATGTTTACGGAACACTTCTCTTCGAGATATTCCTGAAATAATAGTTCTCTTTTACACCTGATGCAGCTTCATGTTTTATTCATGGTGAAATTTGAAATTTTGACCGAAAGCTTCAGTCATCGCTAAAATTTAACTTTGAAATGTACTGCATTGCCCATGGCTTACATGAAAATAATTCTATTTTGGCTTCGTTATCGTTTTGGTCCTGAGCAGAAAGAGACGCTTTTGTGAACACAGCACTCAATCTCAGTCGTATCTACAGAACTTCCAGAGATGTGCACATTTTATAGGCAGCAATTTCCTTGTTTAACAAATCGTGAGGACACTTACTGTCGCCTAAATGGACCCAACAAGTGAAAGGCATTGCCATTGATTCTTTTTCTTTTTGGTCAAGATAGCTCCGTCTTACCGGCATGAATGCCCTTTTGAGGCAGATTTTTTTTATCATTATAAAGGGCTTTTTATAAATTTTAGTAAGTTTTTCGCGAAAAAAAAAACAGTATTTCTATTTCTTATACTGAAGCATAGCGGAACATAGCAGTAAATTGGTTGACACTGGCAAATTTTTTCAAAGACATGGGTCAGGCACGCAAGCCCGAGACTTTTTTACGTATTTTTAAAGACGTGGCAAGTGGCGAAGTTAGCTATTTCCCGCGAGGGTGTTGGCAAACAACACTTCAGACACGGATGCTCTCCTCGGCTCACACCATTGAGAATTCTGAAATTGTCACGTTTGCAAAGCATGTGAAATAAATTGAATTATTTTGAAATCATCTCATGTATTTGTGTATATTTACTGTACTTTAATTTTATTTTAAAAAGCAACATAACAAAAAAATGTAAATTTAATAAAATATATTAATGAAATCTTTGTTGCAATGATTTATTTAATTTACATAACAATTGAATAAAATTTGCTAGATATTTTTTTAACTACATACTATGTACAATAATATTATATGAGTGTAGAAACTCGAATGATTGGAAAAATAAAATCCAAGTTTTCGTCATTTTTAAACGTCTGATTTGATCTGTAATTAATTAATTTCGCTAAAAATTATATAAAAAAATATTTGCCAGATTGCGAGTCAGCTAAGCTAGCGTTCGTCCTCACTATTTTATTTTTCATTAACTATTGTTCATGGGGATGTCGCCTGTAGGGAAAAGGATTTGATATGGCCGCCTTATTTCTGCGAAACACCTGCTCCTGCGGGGAAATAAATCCGGCTCCGCCATTTCATTCTGCTTGATAAAGGCACTGCAAAAAGCCCATCTCTCTCGCTCCAAAAGGACTGAGATCTGTATATTTTATTTTCACGTTAAAGCTTGGTTCGATTTCCTCCGTCTACATGTGAATTAATACCGAGAACTGCTCTCGCCTAGCGATCCGCCGAGTTAGATTTAGCAATCACATCACGCCGTCTTTATTAAATCACGTAATATGTTCGTTGAATCGCGTGTCAAGAGAAATAAGGGAAATTTGTTTGAAAATTGAACCGAGCTTGAATGGCTCACACATTAGAAATTTGGGTTAATTACACAAAATCATTTCATGAGTCTCATTGCCAGAGCAGCCAATAATAATTTTTTACACCATATTTCATCAATTAAAACGTAATGGAAAATGTTTCATTTTATTAACTTTTGGACATTTTTACTGAAGAAAATAATTATAAAAAATATTTTTAGTTACTTTCAATCTTGTAAATTTTTATGAAATTTATTATTTAAAATGTGAAAAAAGAACTGCAAATAATATAAAATATAACTGGGAAATGTGCTTGACGACACAGAAACTCATAATTTATTCTTTCAATAAACTCCATTCATCAATTTCAAATAAAAATTCATTTTTTTTTTTAACAATTTAAAATTATTGAAGGGAATTGCGAAACACTAATCACTTTCCTCCGAGTACGCCGCAAAGCCAAAGGGGCTTCTGATTGATCTACGTATTTAATTTTAACATTATTTTTTTTCCTCTAAAAAAGGATGTTGGTAAAACGTTTTGATCTTCGTGTGTCAGTGGCAGCGGAGCACGTAAATCTGGCGGAACATCTGATTAGTGTATAGTTCAGACGGATTTCGGATGTTTATTCCAGAAGGAGACACTGCGACAAAAAATTTAATTTATGAGAGGATGCATCGCTTTCAATAAGATTGATGATAATGACAACGTTTGAGATTAAAAAAAAAGATCTTTTTTCGCTTGACTTTGTTTTCTTAAAACTTATTACATTGGAAATAGGACCAGAAAATTACTGACTCTTTAATGAAATTCATTTTAATTAAAGACAATATTGAGTTTGAATAATAATATGTTTACATACAAGATAAGGAAAAAACTATATATTTTTGCCACATTATACGCATGACAGAACAATCCCATTCCATAATATAATGTAAAAACCGACGAGCTGTCAAGTCTCTGTAAATCCTTGCTTTTTACAAAAGCAAAAACATTGTCGCAAAAAAGCGAAATTGTCGCTTCAGGAAAGTATATTACGCATTGATTTTGCCCGCAGATGACGTCAAAAAGCCACCACCGTCCAAGCAAGGCATACTTTTTGCGTGTAATCACATCAAAAGTAATGAAAAAAAGAATCTTTCAGTAGATTTTCTTTAGCCTAGACTAAATAATCTGTGTTTAGCAGCATAATTATTACTTTTTTCAACGATATTCACTTTGCCGAGAAAGCAATTTGTTGCAAAATCCCGTCGACGTTTGATCTAGAACGTATAATTAATTGGATTATTTTATCATCACTGGAGAGGCATTATTTAAGAATCTATCCTGAACAACGTCAAAGGAGCAATGTTTTTTTGTCGAGTCGGACGCATCGCAGGCGCTCTGCACAAACGCATGCGCTCGGTTTGCAATCCTGAGGCGGGCGCCGCTCTTTTGCGAGGCTGCGACGTTCAGTCTTCTCTGTTCCCAAAGTGCACGCGGAACGTGATCTGGCCACGCCATTTGAGCTGTTGGCAGTTTTGGCCACCGCGCGTTAAGTTAACAATGTGCGTGCGCGTTAAGTCGCTGTGATTAGATAAGTGCTCTGGACAAAATTTCAGATCATAACTTCAGGTACGTATTTGATGGTTTTATATTTTTATAAAAAATACATAATTATCTCGCTTTGTTCAGATCTTAATAGTTTAGAAAAATCTGTATATCATTTTTATATGATTTAAAAACAAAATGATTAAAATGCTAATTTTTTGTTCAAATTGAAGTGTATATAATTTCTGTTTTATCATAGATTCAATACACATAATAACAATAGAAAAAATATTATTGACTATGCTTCATTTAGAAAAAAAAGAAGGACAAAATACAAGATTTTTATTTTCCACAAAATATTTTTTTGTCACTTTCACTGACTCTCATTGTGGATTTATTTTTCCTCCTGTAACGAATTTCCTTGCAACTTTTTAATCAATACCCATTGTTCCAAAGTGAGTTTCAATCATCATTACATTGCACACCGTTGAATACATAAATAACGGGCACATTTTTTAAAGATTCGTATTACGGAAATATAAAATTTATGCTCCAAATAACTATACTTTTAGGTATTGTTGCAGAAATTATATTGAAAATTTTAGTTTAAATTATTTTAAACTTTTTATGACCACTAAAATTTAATAAATTGAGATGCTCATTTAAAGAGAATTTAATTAAACACATTTAATTGCATTATCTTTACTATCCCGTTAGGTTACTACGCTGAAGGGAAAAAATGCTTTGCCTTCCCCTTTAGCCTGAGCAAACTGGAATAAATCACGAAATAGCTGCAGAACTTCTTGCCGTAAAATACGCTCAATGATTTCAATTATATTTCTATTTGCATTCCTTTCGTCTTATGAAATCATTGATGTGAACCTTTTCCCTCCCATTGTATCATTTTTTAGAGAATAGAGAATCTGAACTAATGAACCGCCTGTGGCTATCGCTGCTTGTTGCAATAAATTTTCCGTCGCAACAATTTTTCTTCCCACTTTAAAAAAAAATCGAGCCACGCAATATTATGCAGTATAATTATTATGACCTCGTTTTAGTTGCAAATTGAGTTAATTGATAGATCACAAAGGAAAATGCACATGCGAAAGTTTTTTTGTTTAAGCAATTAAAAAACTAATTAATCAATTAATTTTGCATTCCTTTTTTCATACAAAATTAGGTGCAATATTATTACGTGGGAAGCCAAATAAATTGAAGTTTTGTGCTGAAGAAATAAATTGTACGGGGAAATGTAATCATTATTTGTAAACGCATGTGGGAAGTAGAGACGAAAAGGAGCAACAATGAGTTAAAAACATCCTCCACATCAAACTATTAAAATCTCTCAGTACCACGCAAAAATTAATGAATTTTTTCGTACATTTCTTTTACTATTTAAAATATAATCAATGCCGATTTTCTATTCTGAATTACGTTGCACCTGCATTAGATAATCTCTAGGATTCAAGTGGGATTTGAATCAAGAGCCAACCACTAATGATAACTCTGAGGATGCTGCTGCTGATTACGAGCAACACTTGGGGCGTGGAGTCTTCGGTGAATAAGTCGAGCGCATCCATTCACGTGTCTCAAGTGTTGCACGGGAAAGAAAGAGCAAAGGGAAGCAATAAAATAAATAATATACAGCTCCAGAGCATCCTCCCCTTTCAAGACGGCTACGTGCCTCGAGCCGTCTTTTCTCGGCGCAAAATACCACGCACAAGCGCTGCTTCTTAACGTGAATGGGTCTCTCGATTTAAATTGCAAAACCAGCAAAGCTTTACATAACCGCGACTATCATAATTCTCGCTCTGCGCGGCTTTTGAATGATTTAATCTGGAACAAGGTACCGTGGCGATTACCTGCGCCACAAGCAGAGATTTTCCCGGCACGTTTTTAGGGGAATTCTGAAGTAGAAAAGCTCGAGAGGGATTTTTTCGTTTTTTTCCCTTTACTCTCTTTTGCTGGAGAAATTTTTTCTCTGGGGATTAATCAGAACATGTTCTTTCCTTTCCGTACCGTTCAATATTTGCAATACGCGAAGGGACTAATTGAACGAAGGTCGCAGCTGCGAGCAGACTCTCGTAAATTACAGCACTGAAAATTGCCACCCACGCTGTTAAAGCCGCTGGCTTGGAAGTTGGAACTGTTAGAAGTACTTTAATTATTTGTTGGCTGGCAAACTTCAGTCTAAAAAAAGGAGGCTGTTGCATAGGGGTAGTTTTGAATAGTCAGTGTAACTTTTCCAGAATTTTATCGATAATGTTGAACATAAACGCAACATTTGGTGAGAACGAAGATTGTTTCAACGTTTATGCCTCTTGATGCATATAAATTAAAGGTAATTTACAGAATAATTCTGTAGCTTCTTTAGTCACTAAATTGTTTCCGTCTTTTTATTCAAAATATGAATTGAAACTGAATTAGGAAAACATTTTAATTCATTTTTTTTTTCTTCGGTTAATACAACAAAATTTAGAATAATTTATAAAATACGAGCTTTTAACGATGAAATTTATTTTACTTTTTTTCAAAATTATTACTCTTGAGGTTACCTCAGCAACAACGTATAAGTCGGTAAAAGTTAAAAAAAAAAGGCAGAACAGAAGTCCTAACAACATTAGGGAAACGCACCAAGTAAGTGCCAAATAATCAATTTAGATTTAAAATATAAAAATAATAATCAGCCACTGACCTTATGAAGGTCTTGAGCAGGGTGACTCCATCATGTTCAGCTTGCTGATGGCGATGGGGTTTGCTTTCCTGATTGAAGGCTCAGTTCAAAATGTTCCCTTTGATTTCTGCAGTTTCGACTTATTGGTCTCTCAAGTTTTCTGCAGCCCCACTGACTGAAACTGAAATTTTAATTGATTTATTAAGAGGAATGGTTATCAATAGTAAATTAATTAATTTATCCAAGTTGAAAAGAAAAAAAACCCATAAATATGTTACTTCTGACTTGAAGGCAAAAGAAAGAATGAAAAAAATGCTTATTAAATAAAAGATACCTGAGCAGTTTCCATCGTCTTCTTTGGCCTTGGTCCGTCTTCGACGAGACCTCCGTGGATGAGAGCCGAAGCTTACTGCAAGGCAACCCAGCATCCGCAAGTCGGGACAGAGGTTGAAATTTTAAGGACTTTTCCAGTCGAAATGCACGATGTGTTAGCATTTTGCTCTGGGGCAGTTTTCCTCCCTAGGAAATTGAATGGAACGAAATTAGTAATCATTGTTTGCCTCGCTATCAAAACAAAAATACTTATGTTTTATGCCATGTATTTATGTTTGTGACGTGAACATACATTCAGTTTTGAATGTACATGCATAAAATATACCTTACGGAAGATTCTGGTCGATTTTGGGAACGTTTGAAGCCCGAAACCCCGTCTTCAGCCCTGGCCTCAGAACTTCAAATGGTCTTGAAGGACGATGTCGGTCCGCAAACACTTTTTCGAGGAAAAAAGTCTTTTATTTACAGTGAAAGCACGAACGAAACACACACAAATGAGCCCGATACCCGATTTGACTCTGCTCATCTGCTGCTTGGAACTGGACACTGGACATGGACAGCTGGAGGCGGGAACGGGCTGGAAAAACAATAATGCGTTACCAACCAAACAAATTTTGGATAGAAATTGATACCACAAAGTATTGAAATAATTTTGAATTATAAAGTGTCTTAGAAATGGCAGAAAATCGTATATAAATTTACAAAGTTTATCAATTTCGGATTATGTTTGCGGCAAAATTATATAAACTTTTCAGTGAGTTTGGTTTTGTTAGGTTGCCTACATCTGCAAAGAATTTTAAAGCTGCCTGTCGTGCAGGCCAACGTGTAGCGGTGCAAGCAGAATTAGCGAGTTTAGCCACCAATTATTTTTGTCACGCTTTTTGCCTTTGCTTTTAATAATAGTAATTTGCAGTATGAAAGAAAACTATAAATTATAAAATTTTTCAAAATAATTAATTTAATGTTTTTTCCTTCGCTATTAATTGAGTGAGATTAAATCGAAATTAGAATAAAATAATTATATCCTAACATTCAATACACATAAAGTTAATGTAATATTTGGCCTTCTTTTTTTTAATGTACAAATTTAAAATATGAAAGGAAATATAAAAAATTTATGAAATATTTAATTTAATATTTGAATAAAATTATCATGTTAAGCTGGTTTAGCTGGTGATTTTGCGATAAGTGCAATTTCAACGTCCGGTGCACTACTTTTGCTCGGCTGCATAATTCTTGCCAGCATTTTTCTGTCTCAACTAATTTTTTTACCCGTGTTTCCTCCTCGGCCACCGATATTTTATTAATTATACTGCATTATTTCTTGAGAATAATTGGTAGAAGGAGGCATGACTTCTGATTTCCACCCAGTGCTCATTTTCATGTTCAGCCACTTGTCCGTTTCTGCTGCTGTGACCTCAAAGTAGTGGATTGCTAATTAATTATATCGATCGAAAGCGAGACGCGACACACTTTCAAAATAAAAAAATTAAATATTTGAAATCTTCAAAAATTATCTTTTTTTAAAAAAAAAACTAAAATTAAGTAAAAGTTTTAGTTTAAAAATATCCAATGTTTATACCTCCATTTTTTTTTAAATTAAAAGATAGGGTATTAATGATGTTTCTAACTGCGTTTTCCTTCTAAAATTTGTGATAGAATAGATTTCAAAACTGGTTATATTATAAAAAATAGAATCATTGTTGTCAAATAGCTTCCTTTTTCCTTTACACAAAAAGCCCCGTGGCTCTGTGATTGGGGTGCTTTCATTCTACTGATCAGTGGGTTGCCGACCGTAATGGAATCAAATGCTCATTTGTGGATACAAATAGCCTCTGGTATGAGAATCATTAATACATTTTGGCTCGACTCGCCCAGAATTTGAGAGGTATGGCGCAAGCTGTGCCGACTCGCACTCTGACATGATTTATAATAAAATCAATTTAATTCAATTCATTTTATTTTTCTCCAAACAAGTCAGATGAACAATCAATAGTGAAAAATTGGTTGCGAGAAAAATAGGCACACAGTGCTAGTGAAAAACTCACTGAAACTCATAGCCTCGTATTTAATATCAAGAGGCGCGATAACTATCTGAATACTCGCCGCACTGCAACCTTAACTAGTATAGAAATTTTTTGCAAAATTTTGAAAAAAGTCTGATAGCGCCGGATAAATGTTTATTCCGTTGACGTGGGTTATAAGAAAAATTTATCCCACAGCGGAATAAATTTTAACTCTTTGGGAGTCTCGCAACATCTTTTATACCGGGAGAGCTAATTTTAGTTAACCTTCCCTCATTATTAATTAACAGAAGAAAAGAACAAAATAATTATTTTAAATATTACATTTTTTGCATGTTGCAAAATACTGTCAACATAGCAACTAAATTTTCTTGTGCACAGGCTTCTCCTTCTGCTTCTGGCAATATTGATCGGGCCTTTTGAGGCGCAGTGAAATTTAAAGCAGCAGTTTGTAAGTGGAATATAAAAAGGAAAGATGTAGACGTTATTGATGCCATCGGCATCAGATTTTACAGGAGGACGGAATAAAAACTGATGCGATGCTGCTTGTATCAATAACGCGAGCCAAATGCGCGCGTGTTCATAACACTTTATGGTGAGAGAAAAGCAGTCAAAAGTTTCGGGCAGGATTGTAAAAATCCCTTTCAGCAAGAATTTGCCTCAGTTGCAAAAACTTAAACAAACTGCCAAACTTTTCAGACTTTTTCTACTTCTCTCCGTACGTGCCGAGCGCGCATTACTGGAAAGTCGCGAGGTTTGAAAACGCTGCTTCATAACCTGCCCGAATACTGATTAAAATAATGTTTTTGAGAAAGAGGATGAAGAAGGAAACTCGCAGCACTTACAAAAAAGTTGTTAAGATGAAATCTTTACGAGTGGTGACGTTTGCGCAGCGAAACTTCCAAAAATCAGACCTCAAAAATGAATGCTTTTTGTTCCCTTGATTGTAAACTGATTAAATTTCAATCATAGATACAAGGAACCAGAAACAGTGGGGGAGAAAAGATTTCGTTTCATCTTCCTCTGTGGAGGAAGAAATTAATTAAAAACAGAACCAGCATGCATTGTGTAAAAAGAACAGAAAAAGAAATTAATTTGAAATATAGTATTTTATATTTTGCAATATACTTTAGAGCAAGAACGATTTTTGGCAGTAAAAAGGGTCAAATATTATTATGTCTAATAAAACTATAACAAAATACAAGGGCCCTAGATTTTTTTTAAAATCTTTGAACACAGAATATTTAAATGCATTGATTTCTTTTGAACCCTCTTAAATTTTTAGCTGCACTGCATTATTAAATAACGAAGAATTTACCTATCACTTCAAAAACATTAAAACATTTTAAAAATAAAATATTAAAAATATTTATTTTTTTGTATTGTTCTTAATTAAAATATGTATATCCTTTTACTAATTATATTTCTTCAGTCACTTAATTAATGAAAAATTTATTACTCGCTTCCATGTAAAGCAGTAATCAATTTAATTATTAATTTCATTTACAATTATTTGTACAAAAAAATCCCTCAAATCAGCAGAACAGATAAAATTGATTTTTTTTTTGTCGGTTGTGCCACAATCTGTCCAAAACGCGACTCACAAAATTGAGCAAACCCAAACACAAACGGAATAACAAACAAGCATATTTGGGCGAAAGCAGAGCAGATTACATTTTTGAGGACGTCAATCCCCATCATTAATGTGATATTCTGTCCAAGCATGAAATCGAGAGAGGTCCTCCGCAAACAAGGTTATTAGATTCTGACGGAAGATGCTTTAATTGAGAACTAATTGGACGGCTTGCTAATCATCCATCCCTCTTGCTCTTTGGAATTTGGGATGCAAATGTGGCCAACTAGCTTTTCGGTGGCTGAAAGGGATTTGGTAATGAATGCCCATCTATATATCTGCGGCTGCCAGCTTTTGCCTGAGCGTTTGCAAAATCTGCTTTTGTGCACAAATAAAGCGGCTGGATGAGAGACCGTTGATGTATAATTAGCTATCCATGGAAATTAAGCAGAAGATTAAATAAAATTATATTTAATAATTAATGTCAGAATATGATTGACAGAGTAAATTATTTACTATAAGAGAGACATTTTTATCAACTTAAACACGGTAATTTACAATTCAGTCTGATACACTTGCTTGAACAGTTTTCGACAGAAAGGGATTGAATGGAATGGATTGATGTAATACACCACCGTACTTCATCTTGCGAGTGATCAATCAGGCTGTTTGCACAACAGCCAGTGACGCGCGTGGGCGGCAGATCCGGCCAGGTATAGGATGAAGTCATGATTTATAGGAGCTTTGTGTCGCATTTGGTGGCAAATGCATTTTATGCCTGCGGCTGTGCTGATATTACAAATTGAATTACAAAGTACAAGCTAACCAAAGGAAATTTGTATCTATGGCGTTGAAATATATCGCTTTTTAAGAGGATGAATTAGTAATCTGTATTCAAGAAAATTTCTTAAAATTTTAATTCTTAAAATTTTTCATATTAAAAATTTGTATTCATAAGAGAATTTCATAATAATTATATGCAACCCAGGTCTTTTGAATGGAATGTCTTTTTTGTCATTTCTTGAGTGGCAAGGATGGAACCTCGGAATCCGCCGAATGCGCCCACGTTTATTTGCAAAGATAGGAGTTTGATTCCGCGTGCTACAGAAAAAATGTCACATCCAGAGAGATTCACAACCGCAAGGACGCGCTTTGCAGCCAACGCTTTGAATTTGGTAGCATTTTTTGCTCTTATTGCGGTTTTGGGCAAGACTTTGTTGAGAACTCTGTTGTTTGCGGATGCTTTTGAGCTGAACGTTGCCTCTGTTTGCGATAGGCGGATCTGATGAATATGAAAATTTCAGCTCAATGTAAAATTCTGAGCGATGCGGCTTCGATTGAAAATGCGGCAAGAGAAAAATTCTCTTTTGTGTAAAATAAGCTAAGATATGGGATTAAAATAAAAACACGCGCGCGTTTTTTTTTTTTTAATTTTAAACAGATAAAAATTTAATTTTGTTTAAAAAAACATTCAGCTTATCAACAAAAACCCAGCGTTAAATCAAGTTTAATTGTTTGTTAATTAAGCCTTACGTTTTTGGAAAGACAGGAGTGAATTTAAACTCATAAAAATATAACTGAACAAAGATTTATATATTTTATCTATTAATTCTTTTCAAATTAAGTAAATTGTCTAATTATTGGCCTTGTGTTGAGGTTTCAGAGGAAAAGCGAAAATCGTTTTTTGAGAGTTTATAATCAATTATCAACAATTTATATTTTGAAACCTTTTTTTCTCAATGCATGTATACGCAGAAATTTACATCAGAAAATTAGGCCTTATATTTAATTTTTCTCTTTACAAAGAAAAACGTTTACTGCGAGATATTTTCAAGCTTCAAAATGTTTTGTTTTGTTTACCACAAGTGAAGCTCGCAGCAATATTGCCTAAAATTAAGCTTTTTGTCGGCACTCAAGTATGCAGAGAAAACGACGGGAAATATTGCTGTGGTAATTACACTCCAGGCGAGCTTGGAACGAAGCCAAATTTCAGTCCGTCGAGAGCAATAACGAGCGCGGTATCATTCCGGTCGCACTTTTTCCTTTAAATAGTTAATGTCGCGCACGCTGCAAAATTCCAAGCATTTGCACTTCGGATGACAAACGCAGCATCTGATAGTGAATGTAACGTTCGTCATGATGCAAAAAAAAAATCATCCCTTGCCATTCTGATAAAAATTCTATCGAATCGATGCCGCTCGCTATCGCAACCCTTTTTTCAGCCACATCAGCAGCTGGCGTTATTTATGGGGCGCGAGCACGATATTATTGCTTTTTGCCGCAAATTGGAACCAATTGTCGTTCTGACGAGGCGCACAAAGGACTTGTCCTTGTGATCACTCCAGAGCAACCCTACGTGTGTTGCTAATAAGACGACGCAATAAACAATCACATAGCTATAAATGCATAAACAAGAAGCATATGCATTTCCTCACGCTCAGCGATGCATGTGATTTTCCATTTTAACTGCCGTTTGCTCATCCGTACATACGCACATCCCAAAGGAAACGACATGACCGCATTCCTCGATGTAATAATTGCCATTGCATCCCTGAATATTTATTCCCTGCTGCGACCTATTTTAGTTATACCTTTGAAATATCCCGTTGAAGTAATGACTGCGCAGGGAAAATAGCCAAGAATTTCCTTTCAAACAAATTTATTTTTCAACATTTGAATATTGAATGTGATTTTAAGTATTGGACTAATAATTAACATTTTTTTTTTAAATCTTAGTAATAAGGTTTAATCAAAAACACAACTTTTATGATTTGGTTTCTAATTTTTTGTTCAACCATTTTAAATTCAGAAACTATCATTTAATTGTAATTGAATTATCAATCAAAAAAAAAATAAAAAAAATAAAATAAAAAATTCCAGTTAATTCAATAATAATAATTCAAAATTGGATTTGTAATTTGTATAGCATCACTAATTGAAACATGAAAGTAACAGAATTAATTTATAATCATAAAATCTAAATTTTTTTATTACATATTATTATGTGTTATATAAATATTTAAATTCTTTAATAAACAGACCATTAATTTATTTTTATTAGTATTTTTTATTTAAAAAAAGTTGTTGATATGATTGTATATAATTTTTTTTATTCTAGTAAGTGTTTAAAACGATTGTAAAAAATGCTTTTAACTTCTTATGAAAACATAATTATTAAGTATTTCTCATAATATTCTCAAATAAGAACTCTATGATTTTTAATTTTACATTTGCACTTTTAGGTTACGCAAGCAAAAAGTGGCCTAAAAAGCAAGCTTAATAAGAAGAATAATTTGTGTAGATAATTGTGAGGTAATGAAATAAGAGATATTTCAATATATTGGAATCCTTTCCTTTTTTAATCCAAATTCTCATCATTTGAATGAAAAATGACCCAATTAAGGGCTAGAGAATGAATTACAAATAATTGTGCTTTCTATAATAGGAAAACTAAATAACGCATTTGATTTTTGTAACGAAAAATGCCTTTCTGTATTTCAATAGCTTTGATTATAAGGGAAGAACTGCGAGAGCAGCGATAATATTGGAAAACCATTAAAATTTATTCTGCTGACATTTCCAATATATTTCTTTTGGTTGAGCACAAATTTGTACCTTTTTCCGGACAAAAAAATAATAATTGCGTTCGCAGAAATGGTTTTCAAGACCAGTTGGCTGATTGTGAAAGCAATTATCATTTTAATCAACACTCTTCGCTCACCAACAGTTGGTTTGGAAATTGCCTTTGGTGGCCAGCGATCGATATTTAATAATTCTCCCCCAAAAGCAAATAAAAAAGAACTCTGCTTTTATCAAATTAGTACCTTTTATTAAACTCGGAACTGTTTGTTTCAGAATGGCCGAGTTGGAAGAAAAATGAACAGCACCAATTTAACGTCAACCCCGTTGAACGGGTCCTTCGGTGGGGTGACCCTGGACAGCAGTCCGGAAGGGGCCGTGGTGCTGGCCATCCAACTGTACTACACGCCGGCGCTGGTGCTGCTGGGTTCGGCCGGCAACTGTCTGTCGGTGGTGGTTTTCAGCACGGCCAAGTTGCGGCAACTGAGCTCGAGTTACTACCTGGCCGCCCTGGCCATCAGCGACACCGGCTACCTCGTCGGCATTTTGATGGTGTGGCTCGACCTGGTGGACGTGGCCCTGTACAACGAGCAGGGCGCCTGCCAGGCCATCATGTACCTCTCGTCGGTGTGCAGCTTCCTCAGCGTGTGGTTCGTCGTCGCGTTCACCGTCGAGCGCTTCGTCGCCGTCAAGTACCCGCTGCACCGACCCGCCGTCTGCACCGTCGCCAGGGCCAGGGCCGTCCTCGCCGTCGTCACGCTCGTCGGACTCGTCCTCAACCTCCCCATGCTGCTCATCACCGGACCAGTGTACATCAGTGATTTTGATAAGGTCAGTCACGTTTGTTTAATTTATTGTTAGCATATTTTTTAAGAAGTGCAACAAATTTTAAAAATTATTTTTATGGATTTTTTATGACCCTGTAAACTTATTAACATTTCTTTTATCTAAAATTTAAAAATTAGAAATCATTTTTGTTGTCTCTTCTAGGTCACTTAATTAATTACCATGCTAATATTTATATGAATTAATTGGGTCTATATAAATGTATTGTTTCACTGGCATATTAATTTTCTTATTTTCTGATGCATCCAATTTGTCTACTTTTTTATTGATTGAATATAATTTTGGTTTCTACTAATAATCTAAATTAATGTATATTGATCTTGCATTTATGATTCGCATAAAATATTAAACCATTGACTGCACCAAAAGGGCTAATTGTCTTGGAATCCTTTTTTCTTTTAGACTATAATTGAAGTATTTCGATTTTTATAGTCTTTATCTTGAAAGCAAAGAGAAATTAATTATCCACATGAATACATTCCAATTTGCGCTTTTCAAAGTTTAATTATGAGCAGGAAAAAAATCCGCTCAGAAGGCTAGTTTGAACTTTTTCCATTCTATCTCGTTAAAAAAAACACAGACGCGATAATGAGCAGCCAAAGGGTACTTTTCACGCACGGATGAAACCGCCACAGCCGCGTTGTGCAAAAATTGTCGGATTCCATTACACCGCACGGTCAGAAAGCTACGGTACCATTGCGTAAATGTGAGATCCTGTTTTACGGCGGGCAGCAAACAATAACCCTGTTGTGTCATAGAAAAGGCTAAGAGGGATTAAGGGATTACGTGTTCACTGATGTCGGAAATAAACCCTGCGGAGGATTTGCACGAAAGGATGAAGTTTGCCATGGGAGACGCAGGACAAACGAAATTTACTTTTGAATAAGTAAGCATGTATACAACCTTTTCGGTTTTATCTCCCTTGCATGGGGAAATACGTAAAGAAGTAGGCAACGTGGACTTTTTAATGAGGTTTGGTTAATATTTTCCTATCAAATATACCATAATAATAGTTTCTTTCTACTCGGTGACCTTCCTGGTGAGTTTATTTTTACATTATGATTTTAATGATGGAAATACATTTTTAAACAATTCATCTTCCTTACGAATCACTCAACATTTTATTTTTCCTCTTTTCTAAAAATTCCCTTGAAGCTTCACTTATTCAGTTGATTTCTTTTTATTTATATCTCCACCACACCCCAATTTTTCATTTATTTTATTTTTTTGCCATTAATAACATGCAATCGCCATGAGATCATGAGGAGTTGGTCAGAGATGCTGGAGAATAAATAATGGCGAGACCGACAAGGAAAGACCATTAGTTGTGAATCCAAACAAATTGCAAGGGCCGCTTGGTCCATTGTAAATGTCCATTGCAATTTATTTAACAAGCTTTCCAAGGGTCGGGAGATTCGTTGCGGAAAAGCCTTCTTATCTTCGAGCTCCTACCATTAACAAATCAATTTGAAAAAGCGAGGAATTCCCGCAGGTTCTGACTGAGGTCTGAAAAAGAACTTTTATATATATTTTTTCGTCTGCACTGTGAATTTTTTAGATCGAAATTCCCTCCTGACTGCAAACCAATTTTTTTTCCTGCACCGGCTGATACAACAGCAGAGACTTCCAACGCACGCCCTTTATATTGACATTCAAAACGCTTGTTTGTTGAAAAAGGGTTTGTGTTTTCACATGCACTGCTACACGCAGCACTGCTTGTTTGCATTCCATTTAAAATTGAACTTTTCCAACCTGGGAGTTTGGGTCAAAAAGCACCCTCCACGTGCCAAAATAATTTATCACTCTTCGGAACCACCCAGCTTTTTAATTACCACATTTCTGGTGCCTGTGGCGAAACTGCAGAACTTTTGTTCAGTGCGACTTGGTGCGGAACGAATGGATTTTGAGAACTTCGGGATTCCTCTTTTATATCCAGCAAATCTTTGAGATGCGATTTGCATAAAAATCAGCTTTTAATTAGAAAAATTCAAAGGCAGCATCTTTGAAAAAAAAAAACTTCCGCATAATTATTGCTCGCTCCAACTAAACCTTTCAAAGTTAATTGAATAAATTTTTTCTTCTTTCCCTTTCTGCATCTGCAAGTTCAAGAGAAAATTTGTAAATTTTGCAGGCTGCGGAAGGCCATGAGTGCTTTTTTCTTTATAGAGAAAAGAAGAGAAGCACTTTGAAAAAAGGCAGCCAGTTTTCGCTGCCCGTTTTGGGTCTCTTTTTGCCTCATTTTAATGTCATTTGTACACGACTTCATCTAAAGCGTTCAGGTTATTTATGCGCTGTGGCATGTGCGGGAGACGGGCTGAAAAATTGCCCGCATACCTTAAACCTTTGCATGCGCGAATGAAGGGTGGAAGCGACAGAGGAAAATCAGCTTTTAGTTGGGACAAAGGGAGCGTGATTTGCACTTTTAATTATAGATAATAATAATTCAGCAGCAATTTTATTTTGATCTTCACCATTGATACTCTAAATTATACTCTAAGATATGTTTTTAATTTTCCTTTTCTTGAGGCGCATATTTTGCTGACAAGCTGTTACAAGAAGCTTGAGCTTATCTTTAGAAACGATTTATAAATTATTTTGCAAGAAAGGTAATTTAATCTGTGTATCGTCAACAAGAAAAAGATGAGTGCAAACGATTTTAATAAATATTTGCATCTCTAGCTTCACAAAACTATGAGGCCTTGTCATGCATTTTGTCTTTTGTTGTTATGTCTCATACTTTATAGGGATGGAAGGGCCTGTTTCCCTTACAGAAAAAATCGATAGTTGAAAAGTTCAACTGTATTTTTTTTATCAGCATATTGGAAAGATTAATTTTCTTTTCTCTGTCACATTTAATAATTTGTACGTAAGGAATCCATTAATGAAATAACCGCGCGATATAAAAACTCCCAATAATTAAAAAAAAAAATTGAAAAATTTGAGCTGCATCTCTCGAATGAAAATATGGTAACACGAATTTCGGGTGCAAGCGAGACATCGATTGATTTAATTTTTTCCGGTCCAGGTGATCTGGATGATTTTGAATGCGCAGCAAAATCTAATATTTTCTCCGATCATGAAGCCGTAATATTTTCAATGAAGCTGAATATACCGCAGGAGAGAGATAAATATATTGAGTCTCGTATTTTTTCGGACGATAAAATTGCTGAGTTTATAGGTTATTTAGATTTACAAAATTGGCGCACTGTTGCACTTTCCAGTACAGTTGATGATAAATACGACTCCTTTTTGAGAATTTTCTTGGACGGTTTTAATAAATTTTTTCCAAACAGAAGGAAACTTGTGAGAGCAAATAGGAAAAATAAAATTGCTTTGTCTCCTTTGCTTGCCGCGAGACGTCGTGAATTGTTACAAAGGAGTGTTGCTGTAAAGCGGCTGCCGGCGCGCCATCCGCAGAAATTGCAGTTTAAGAAGGACCAGTACGCGTATAAACAGCAGTTGCAGGCGGAAATTAGAGCATCTAATAATGCGTTTATTGCCAATGCGCAAAATAAAACTGTAGCGTCTTGGTCTATTTTGAACCGTACTCTTGGCAATGATAAGTCGCGAGATAACATTAAGGAGATGCGAGTTGGAGGGGAAATAACTTTTGATGTGGAGAAAATAGCCAATGCGTTGAATTCGACTTTTGTAGTACCGGAGGCTGATTTGAGTGATTATGAGTTTCGTACACCGGCGGCTGATAATAATTTATTTTTGACCCCTGTTGGTGTGCAAGAAGTAATTTTGATTTTGCGTGGGCTCGCGGCAAAGAAATCTGCTGGTTTTGATGATATTCCTATGTTTCTGGCCAAGCAGGTGGCAGCAAGTGTGGCAGCGCCGCTGGCTGACATTGTAAATTGCTCTTTCTCCACTGGCTGTTTTCCTTCGCAAATGAAGCGAGCGGTTGTGACTCCGATTTATAAAAAAGGCGACCGGCGCGAGACAATAAATTATCGTCCCATCGCGAATTTGCCGACTTTTTCTAAAGTTCTTGAAAATTGTTTTCTCCTGCGTATTGCTAATTTTTTTGCGGGTAATGGTTTAATTCCTGCGAGTCAGCATGGTTTAGTTCGTGGGAAGTGTACGGCGTCGGCATTGTTTGAGTTTTTTACTGAATTGCATAATGTTCTCGAGCGCCGGCAAAAGTCGGTGGGGCTTTTTTACGATCTTTCGAATGCGTTTGGCACTGTGTGCATTCCCCTTGTCCTGCAGAAATTTGAGCGTCGCGGTGTGCGTGGCGTGGCGTTGGACTGGTTGCGATCTGCTCTCACCGGCAGGTCGCAGCGAGTTCGATTGCGAGCGTTAGATGGGAATGATGAGCGAGACGTTTTTTCCGAGGAGTTGGATGTTGTGCGCGGCACTCCGCAGGGTGGAATTATTTCCCCTTTTACTTTCATCGGCTCGGTTTATGATATGTATTGTTTTTTGACGAATCGCAAACTTGTCAATTCGCGGATGATACGAGCGAGTTGGTAGAAGGTGGGACTGTTTGTGCTTTATTTGGTGCGGCACGGTTAGCTGCATCTTGCATGGAAAAATTTTGTATTGATAATTGTCTGCAGCTGAATGCGAGTAAATCCGTAATTTTGCGTTTCCGGCACCCTAATGCGGCCTTGTTTTCTGATTCGCCCCTTGTTTATGTGAATGGCAAGTCTATTTGTGTTGCCCAAATGACAAAATTTCTTGGGTTGTATGTCACGGAAAATTTAAAGTGGACGGAGCATGCAGATTATGTTGTGGGCAAGTTGCATAGTGCTGTTTTCCTTGTAAATAATTTGTTGAAGTTGGTTAGCGAAAAGCACTTGCTCATGATTTATTATGCTTATGCGTACTCCATTATGCAGTATGGCATTGTAATTTGGGGTGGATCAGAGCAGGCAAGAGATCTTGTTTTTACTGCACAAAAGCGCCTTGTTCGTGCGATGGCCGGCGAGCGATATTGGCCTGGTCCGACGCCTGTTTGTTCGGCGCGGCCTCTTTTTAAAAAATTTGATGTTTTACCACTGTTTTCCATTTACTTGATTGAGGCTTGTAAATTTGTGCGTAAATACCCTCAATATTTTGTGAAAACGCGAAATGTGCATGCATATGAGACGCGTGAGAAGTTTGAGTTGTACGTGCCGGTCCAGACGTGTGCTATTTCGAGGCAAAATCCGCTCATTTGCTTGTCGCGCTTGTATAATAATTTGCCTGTATCTATTCGATTGGAGTTGAGATACCCTCAGTTTGTGGGCTTGTTAAAGAAATTTGTTAGTTTTCACAAGTTCTACACTGAGGAGGAGTATGTAAATTACAAAAATAACTTGTAAATATGTTAAACTTCTTTCTTTCCCTGCTGTGTATTTCATTTTGACAAAATTGTAAATGGGTGGGTCGCACGGGAGATATTACATGTGATTAGTGATTACATTCCATAATGCAATAAAGCTGCAATAATAATACTTATGGAATATATCGTGGGCTTGGCAAGGCAAAACCTAATTTATAAATAAGAGAGCTACGAGTGGGTATAGGGGCAACAAATTTAGAGTAGTTTTCTTCTGGTTCTTTTGAGTTTAATGAAAGAAAATGAATATTTTAAAATATTTCCTTTTTCATAACAACCTTATTGAATTTTTTAATAGACTTATTGCATGTAAATAATTCAATAATTTGAGTGCCCTATTAATTAAAACGTCTCTGCAAGACAAAATTGAATTGAAGACTTATTAGCATAATTGCCACGTGATCAGAATTCCTAGCTCTCATTATTTTATTCCAATCGAGCCCGAAAGCAGCACATTTCTCTATTCAAACTCCCACGGCAAATTAATTGCCTGTTATTCAAACTTTTCCGTTTTCTGGAATTCAAACAAAGAAAGAAGCTATTTCCTGTGCTAAAGCAAACTTGGGTTTGGCAATTAGTTTTGCACAATGTGTTTTTAGTTTTTAACGCAATTTTCAACCGCGGCAAGAGCTTAATTAAAAGTAAAGACTGCAGCAAGTGTGCTGGTCAGCCTCTGAAAGCAAGAGTAAGGCCGAAATAAAAAAGTCTTTTGTGGCTTTTGGGTTGGCTGCTAACAAGAGGAAAGAGCACTCTATTTGAGAACAGGCCAGGCACCCTTGTTGCAATCAGTCTCTGTGTCAACAGACATCGCTCAAAATGTGTGAAATGAGAATCAGACTTTGCGCCCATATGTGTGTGGCTTTTTCGCCGGATTTGAAAGTTCCTGCTGCAAGGAAAGAACCTTTAAATTAATCAGCGTGGATGCTCAGCTAATTTTTATTAAATATGATTGAATGCATAAATTAAATTTTTTTCATCAATATGGGACCCTATAGACCATAAACTGCACATTAATATAATAAGTATGTAAATGACAATGTCATTATCTGAATGTGTCTCTTTTTATCTTTTTTTTCAGGTCGCTTGTGCGATGCGGTCTGAATATGAGGATTTGGCGAGCTTATTTAATTACGTGGACACGGTGCTGACCTTTGTGTTGCCGGTGCTGGCCATCACAGTTCTCAACACCAGCATCGCGTGCACGGTCTACTATTTGGCCAAAGTTCGTCGCGCAATGACTCGCCAGCAGCGTAGACAAAGGTAACCAAAAACTACTTGCTTACCAATTTTTTTTCGATATTTGATCAAAAGAAACTTTTAATTACACTAGATGTGCTCTCTAATTATATTTTCCGCCTGCAAAATGAGGGATTATAATTTGTGCCACAGGAGGAAATATCGGTGCGACATGAACTATTTACTTGACGCAAATGCTCATCGATTTTCCCAGCATGTGATTCAGAATTTTATGAACTTGACCAAGCGTGTAGGACGCGTCTGAGGAATTTTTGCCAGCGATAAAGGGCTATTCGAGCATTGGTTCCACTTGACTTTGCAATTATATTTGATGCCGAAAATATTGCTAGAAAATGCATTCTTCTTGAGCATTAAAAAAATCCATATAAATTCCATGATTCAAATAAATTGTTTTCAAAAATTAAATAAACAATGCATGTGATTTGAAGTTTTGGAATAAATAACAATAATAATAAATTTTTTCATCTTCCTACACCCACTGACCAATAAATTCCGTGCTTGGCAAACATAATATTGCCAATGTAGACGAGAATGTAATCAATATGCATGAGCCTTCGTGACGTGGTTGTTTTATTGGAAAAATATCAGAACCTTCTTAAGGGATATGCATTTTTTTCCTCCTCCCTGTTGTTCTTTTCTGATTGCTTACTTCTGAATTCCAGTTGAATACCCTCAGAAGAAATATTTGTTGTGAGATATAAAAAAAAATGATCTGCCTAAACTAATTTTCCAATCCTCCGACTTGCTGACAAAGCCTTTTGCCGAAAGTTACCATCAAGCGCTATTTTTTTTTCTCCTGAAAATTCATGAACTAATATTACAGTTACAATTCATTAAAATAAATTTATACTTTATCTTACAGTTAATATACTACACAGATAATTTTAACAAAAATCATAATAAAATAAAAATAAATTTAACCTTTTGCACAAATATTTTATTTAAATTTCTAATAATTTTTTTTATTATACTTTGAATTATATTATTTATTTACATACATATGTGTTAAAAATTATTCAAAATAACTGTCAACAATAGTACAATAAAAAAAACATCATGAAAAATAACAAAAAAAAGACAAATTAATATGTAATAAATTGATGCTTCTTGCTTGATTGCTTCCATTTAAAATTTAATTTCTCGTGAAACATCATAATTTTTTTTTAACTTTTCTTAGCAAGTTTATTTTTATTGAAGCTACATAATTTAACAAATTAAAAAATTTTGTTTCAGTAGCATTGGGAGCGATTTGAGCAGCGCTTCCAACAAAAGGGTGAGCAGCGCGCTTCTAATGAGAAACAACGAGCAAATGGAATTGGCCACCCACGGAGGCAACGCCAGGGCCATCAGGGCCCAACACTCGGCCAACACGCAGGCAAAGATCACGAAAATGCTGCTGCTGGTGTCGACCGTGTTTGTCGCCCTCAACCTGCCCTCGTACGTCTGCCGCCTTTGGGTCTTCATCAAGGTGTGAATGAAACAAATTTGGTTTTTTTCTTTTTTATACTTGTGTGGCAGTTAGTTAGCAAGTCCTTTTCATGGCGAAAAGCAAGCCCGTTTTGTAATTTGAACTTCGTGCGGAATAATGAAGGGCGCTCCCAAACAAACACATCTCAGTCGGCTCTTGCACTTGTGACACTTTAATTAAGTAGATGCGAAGAACGGACGGCAAATCTCTGCGCGTTCAAGAATTAGCAAAGTTTTTGCTTAAGAAAACTTCGTTCTTTATAACAAAGATCTTAAATGGCTTACACAAGCTGTGAGAAGCACGTTTGCTTCATTCTTCTCTATTTGAGAAAATTAATTTTGATTTTTTTTTATAATGTGAATACGAAGTTTTTTTACCATTTCCAACTAGTTTTTGTTTTAAATACTAGCAATGGGAAAGTGTCAATTTTATTGAACATGTGAAAAACTTGTGCTAAAATACGGTTGCAGATTATAACCATAGGAATTGATCAATAATATTTTTCATTAAACTCAATTAAACTTTGTCTTGAACTTAATCCTTAATTAAGACACTCATGCGAAACTGATCTGATCAAAGATAAATATTAACTACAGATTTACGAAACCAGCAAAACTTAAGCAAGGGTACCCGATCTCGTGTTTATGTTTCATCAAATTACACTTGAGCTCCCCCAGGCTGCTATAATTTTGATTATATTTTCAAATAAATATAACGTTTGTTGAAAAAAAAATTATTCAATTGGACCTTAAATGTCAGCAAATTTTTCCAAAAGAAAAATAAATAATTTCATAATGTAGCATAATTCATCTATTTTAATATGCACAATAGAGCAATCGCTTTTAAAAAAGGCGTGAATTTAACATTTATATTATGTAAATCTGTACTTTGCTAATTCTATAAATGGAGTCACTCAAGATAGCTGACGCACACGTTCTAAATTAGAATTATGCTGATAAAACTTAGGCAGCTGATTAACGATCGATTCCTGCTGGGGGTGATTTGCACGGGGCGAGTTTCTCGCATTCGTCGGGTGTGAGGATGCGTGTCTGTGAATAATGGGCAGGGAGGCAATTGTCTGTGGGCAGAAGCTCTAATCACCTTGGAGCGATTTGGTTGCGGGAACAAAATAGGGGCGGCTGCAATGTCAGGGAAGCCAGACAGGTGTGCGCCTTTGTTTCTGTGCGCCAGGGCAAGCGAGCAATGAAAGGGTTGGCGTGTCATGCACCGCTGACTTCGCGTCACAATTGCTCGCATGTCAACTTTTACTCTGCTTTGCATCCATTTTTTTTTTTTTTTTTACCCACTTTTGCGTTTTATTTGTACATACAAGAAGACGACTTGCTTCATAGTCAGTTCTCATTTTGAATCCGCCTACACTTTTCTTTATTCGCAACGAGACGAATAAAGAATTATATTTACGGAGGAAGTAGTCTCGGTTTGGGAAAGAGAGACGAGAGAGTGAAATTAAAATAAAAGATAAGCTTCGTTTGCTCCCTCCGAGATACATTTCTTTCCATCTTTAAATTATATGAACCACTCTTCTTTGTTTTCCTTATCATACTTTTCTTGCCGCTGAATTTTCAAATTGTCATCACAGAAAAGGGTTGAAAGCAACCTCAAACAATGCCAATTTAATCTCTGTGAAACAAGTTCATACGAAGTTCTACGAAACGTGCGCAAATGCAAATCCACCCACGACTAATTGCCATAAATGAAATTTTGCAACCCATTCAGAAGAGGTCAATTTTATAGAACGGCAGCTGCATTAGCATGTGAATGGCCGCGTATTAACAATTACAAAAGGACGACTGATATAATTAACGGAGCAGGTGTACAGATACTGCGGATAGAAGTGCGAGTTGTGGAACGGGAAACTTCGCAAAGCTATTACCTGCTGTAACTGCGGCGGAAATGACAATTTTTGTTTTTATTGTTTTAGAAATTTTAGCTCATTGCGCATTATGCTTTATCAAATCAATAACTATATAATATTTTTATAAATGATGAATCAATAAATAAATGATGATTAATTGATGACAATAAAGATAAAACAAAAACAAAATAAACAAATACCCAAATAATATAAGATTGGAGCTTGCCTTCCGCAAGCTCAATAAGGGCACAGGCCGACAAGACACTTTGTCTTGGCCTGACCAAAAAAAAAAAATTACGTCATTTTTAATGAACTTTCGTTAATAAATCATTGAAAATACAAATTAATTTACCAAAAATAAAAATTAAAAAATAAAAATAAATAATAATTCATAATGAAATTAATTATTTACGTTTGGAAAATTTATTCTAACCTTTACATAAAAAATTATACCTTGCAATTAATATTAATGGATCCATTACAAGAAATCCACGAAACACATCAATCCGGCTGTTGTAGCTAATTAAAAAAAAAAATTACGAGTACTATTGTTTGGCTAGTTTGATTTTAGCTCAAATTAGCATAATGACACCTCTCTCAGCAAACCCCATCGCTATAATTTGCAATTGATCGAATTGATCAAAGCTGATTGAGCCGCTGCTTGCATCGGCGATTTGCGACTCGACCCGACGTAAATTACTCGATGCCTGAACAAATTTGCCACGGAGGGGACGGACAATAAATTACTCGCGCTGAATTTGCCAGGGTCGATTTGGTGCCCTTGCGACGGCCCGAACACAAATGTCACTTTTGACGCGCCGAGCAAACATTTGCCTAGGCTAATTTATTTTGTGTGTTGCAGCCGCCGACCCCCGGGGACAAATGGCTCAGCCACCTGATTGTCCTGCAGCACATCAGCTACGTGCTTTTCAACACCAACTTCGGCATCAACTTCGTGCTCTACTGCGTCAGCGGACAGAACTTCCGGCGGGCGCTCAAGACGATGTGCTGCCCCGGCGCTGGTGTGCACAGGACCGGCCGCAGGGAGGTCAGCCAGTCAACAGGTCAGTAAAAGTTCTTCTTGTGTGGTAAGGGTGCAATGAATAGACACAAACGTTACCACTCAAAACTGTAAATCGTCTTTGATATGTCAGCAAAGTAAATTTGCGAATAAAATATTTTTTTTTCTTCCGCAATTCAATAAAATAAAATTATAAATTTACTTATTATCTATTTGAAAGCAATAAAAACCATCAAAAGTGAGTATTAATCATTTTACCAATATCTCAAAGGCACATTAATATAATGTCGATTTTGAATTTAACAACCACGCGGCCTTTATTGAAAACCCATTCAAGCTCTTTCCTATCTCTTTATAAAGTGCGCGCACATATAAGGACTTAAAATTTTTATATATGCCGTTTATTTAACTGTTTTTGATAAGCCAATTTGCTTTCTAAAAGTTCTTAGTTAAATTTAAAATTTTCTTCTCAAAACCAGTTTCACAGTTGCTTCTCTTTGTTTTGCCCAAACAATGTTTTATTACATGTACATCTAAAATGCGTGCTGGTAAGATTTTCTGAGAATTTAATTTCTGCACTGAGGAGGAAGTTTACTTAATTTGTCTACTTTCGACGCTACTTTCTAATTAATTGTTTAGCTTCATGAAATAACTTTGTCTCTTGCAAATATATTTGGAAGAAAAAGTTTGACAACATTCTCTGAAATTTTAAGCAAACAATATTCTAACTGCTCCATATAATTATATGAAAAGGGTACAAAAAGATATTGAAAATTAATAATAAAGAGCAAATATTTTCAAAGCAATATTAAATAAAATTCGGAAAAATAAAGTTAGAAATCAAAGAGCCATTTTTTGCAGATAAAAAACACATTCCTGTTAGTGGAATTTTCAAAACGCTGAGCTTTTGTCAAGAGGGTTGCCTGTATATGAAAATAGAGCACCCTTATTTAATATTCTACAAGCGCCTGCAGCCAGAATGCGCAGGAGAGGCGCGGGTGCGATTCTGGAGGCAACAGACTCAAAACAAGAGGCACAATTCGCGCTTTCCACGCCTGAAATTGCTTCTTTGCTGAAGCACGCGCGTGTTAATTTGACATCTTTTGTTACCCAATCAATCTGCGCTTGGCAGCGGTTTTTTGGTAAATTACAAATTAATAATTGCTCCAAAAGGGTTAACACTTTTAGACGCACCCCTACCGCTGAGCAGAATCTTTTTTCCGCCTTTGTTCACAAAATGCTTGTTTTTTTTAGCGTCTCGTTCAGGAAATAATAAATTTTCCTGCGAAGCTTTCCGCGAAAATAATTCTCCCCTAGGGTCAACACCCATGCATCAAACTGAGCAAATGGAGCGGAGAAACATTATTTCAAACTTTGGTTCAAACCAAATGGTTATTTTTTCCGCAGAGGGAATAAAGGACCCACCACAAAACTTTGCACTCCTCAGAATTGAACCGTAAAACGAAAAGCGCCTAAAGACGCTTTAATTCTAAAAGTTTATTTTTATTTTTTAGAGCTCAAATGCTCATTAGTCATCATGAATCGATGATGTTGTTTGTATTTGTTTAAAAATTATTCAGGAAATAAAAAAATTATCTTATAATTATTTAAAATATATTTTTTTTTTCAGTGTAAAAAATAATAATTTTACACGTTTTTAAAGTAATAATTTTGCACAGTTTTCCCAAGGAAAAAACTTCTCTTTTTATTTTAATCAATTATTCAGTTCAAAAAAGCTCTTCACGTCTATTGAAATGTTTGTTTCAGCAGTTTCCGAATACCAACGGGCCGCCGGGTGCAGTTTCCACACGCGGCACCGGAACGGGGTCTGGCGAGAGGCGCACGAGCTGCTCCCTCTGAACAACCCGCAGCAGCAACAATGAAGGGTGCGCGAGGAAGAGAGGCCGCGATTTATTTGCGCTTGGGACGATTACGTTGAGCAAATTCAATTCCGTTAATTGCAGCCGAAATTCCGCCGTGTCGTTGGCAAACGACTCGACGGCGTTGACTGTTTTCCTGCGCCCGTGACAAAGTGCGTGTTTTTAATGAATGCGTGTGATCAACGGTTGGTGTGCATCAAGTTTATGTCACTTTCACCGTCGGCTGTAAATACGTGTTTACGTAATGTGCGATGATGAATCGCTCAAGATCTCTGTGGTTACGTACTCAAAATCTATCAAAGCTGTTTACTCTGGTCATTAGATTTTAACCCAACATGTTATAGATATTAAAACATTTTATTGGAGTGGGTTTTATGCATTTGTGAAATCTGACTGTGCCCCTCTTTGATTACCTAGATAAAATATAATTTTATTAATGTTTAAATTGGTTTTTATTTATCCAGGTATCAAAATTAATTATAATACCTTATAACTTATTAATTAAATAATCACAATAATATATAATTTTTTTTTATTATTAATTTTTTTTCTCAGCATGAACATTATAATGCTTACATTTTTAATTATTTTTAAAAATAATTTTACAATTAAAATGATTAAAAATCTTATACTATATTAGAATTAAATAAAGATTTTATTTTATTTTTTTTGTAAAATTATAAAATTTTAAAAAGAAAAAATATAAATTTTGCTAAGAAGCTTTGGTCAAAAGTCATAATTTAACATCATTATACACTAAAATTAAATATCATTGATTATGATTTTTAAACTAACTTTAGAATACATGATGTGAAATAAATTTGACTATTCTTTAATAGAGTGTATATCAAATATATCTGTTGAACTTTATAAATCATGATTGAATAGACAAATAAAATGAAATTGTGCGGAAATAAAATTTGAAAGCAGAAATACTGGCAATCGCCAGTGACTCCGCAGTGGTGAGGAACCGAGGAGCCGTCACCATAATTGAAGCACTCATCAACAAGACGAGTCGGTGAATGAAATCCCTCAAAGGACGCATCGCCAGGATGCGTGCGGGGATTAATTCCGGTGAGGGGCTTGCGAAACCACATAGTTGTGTGTAACAATCACTCGGCGTACCTCGTTACTGCGACTCGCTCAGACTCGCTTTTAATGCTGAAAAGCTGCTTTTCCCTGCGAACATACATGCCGCGGTCCAATGCACAGCAAAAATAACAAAGTGAACGTCAAAATCACAGAGTCAAAAGGCTCCTACCCACATCACTCATCTAAATTAAAGTTCTCCTGCAATTTCTAATATTGTTGTTCTTAATTTGTGATTGCAAAATTCAGCATGTTTAATTTGAAATTCAATGTTTGCTCATACAAAATTTATAAGTTTGGTAGAAATAAATTAATTCAATTCAAAACCTTTTAATTGGGTTACTCTGATTAATTAATTAAAATTTAACTTATTTTTGTTGCATCAAAGGAAGGTTCTTTGAAAAGGAAGTGGAAATTGTCTACCAAGAACCGTTTATGCAAATGTGGATCAGCCGCAAACAATAAAACGCCAAGCGTGTACGGCGCCTCTACCTGTTCATAGCTTCATTTTCAGCACCACTTGAGACAATATTGTCTCAAGAGCCGCGTAACGAACTTTTCAGGAAAAGACGCAAAGGTAAGATTAAAGCTTAACGCGGTGAATTAATCCCACAGAGACACTCCCTCTTCGCAAACACGCGGTTTAATAATAAAGAAAGACCGTGAGAATATTAATCATTCACCCCCACCCCGTCCTGCATTAATCAAGAGCGCCTAATGAATTTTTCCAGGCTCCGTGTGTTGGAATTTGGTAGAGATTAATATATATGCGCAAGGTACATTGGGATGAGCGCCGTGGCTTGATTTATAACCTCGAGTCAACTTCAGACCGTCCGTGTACATATTTTTTCATCTTTGCTCTCAGCAAAGTTAGCGATGGGATCCAATTCAAGGCGAGAGTAGTTTTACAGCCCGGCGAGACGTGAATAGACTTTACTGACGGCTCGAATTCACATGGACGAGCTGAATCAAGCCGACGTGTGACGCAAAGACGAGTTTCCTATTTGTTTTGACCCTTTTAGTAGAGACAGAGCTCTAAATTGGAAAATTTCCGCTGTCTCGCGAGCTCAAAGGAAATTGAATTGAAAAATTTGCATTTTTGTTGAAACGAATTTATCGTGTTTTTCGCAAGTTGAAAGGGAAAAAATTTCTGATTGAAAATAAAATTTCGTTTCCAATAAATTGCTGTCAGTCACGATCACTCTGAATTACTATTTTTCAACAAATTTATTATTCGATTGGCTTGACAAAATAGTTTCAAAACTTTGGCAATTATCAAAGTTAAGTCTCTGAATTCTGATCACGTAGCTTTCATTCTTGGCGTTTAGTAAATTGATTTTAATTTATGTCCGTCTACTGAAGCCGCATAAATTTGCTACAGGTCACGGAATTTCCCCATTCAAAACTCAATTTGCAAACGAGGCTTATTAACGCTCTCAACGCGCCAGAGAATTGCCGCAAGGATTTAATTAGGCTTCTTTTAGGATGAGGAGAAATTGGTTGTAAAAATTTTGGTCTGTGCAGGAGCACTAAATAATAATTTTGAATATAGCAAATTTGCTCACAGAATGGATTAAGCTAAAGATAGCGTTTTCTTGTTTGCAAAAAATCACACTGCACGAAATTTTTCAGGACCACTTGCATTAATATTTCTTTCTTATTTCCTATCCATCCTTCCTATTATTTATACTACGTTTCAGAGACAGTGAATTTTTTGCACGTTCATTGCAAGTGCAGGAAACCAATTTCGCTCGTCAAACTTTACACATGTTATTATTTAATTTTTTAATTTTCTCGGATATTAAAAATTTTATACCAATTTGAAAAAAATCAGAAAATAAATTATAAAATTCTTGCTATTGATGGTGCCGTTTTGTCCAACGAATCCTTTCTTTTCAAATAAATTGTTTTCCGAAAATTAAATGTGAACAATTATTTTTGTTAAATCTGATTTGATCTAAGTGTGCGTCAAGAGTAGCACAATACATGACTAAAATAAGCCCTACTAATGATAATGACCCATGATGTTGTATTTTACAGAAAAATTTTACAGAAACCATGATTCGCCATAATTATAATTATAATCGTATAGGCTGATCTGTGATCACACAATTCCTCATCTGCATTTATTCATTCATTAGCGCAGAACACAGAGCTTTTTGTGGTGATACACTATTCCGATTGCCCACATCAGCTAATGAAGTATTTACATTTTAGTTGCTACTTGTTTGTTTTGGGATGAATTTCAAAGCGTGGCTTTTTGTAATTCAGCACGTGTTATTATAATTTGGAGCTCAGCCAGGACGACACAGGAATAAATTGAAATAATTTAGTATGATATTGATTTTTGCTAAAAAAAAAATTGTATCCTTACGAAAACCAGCACTGTTCTCTGCTCAATTTCACTCTTTGTTTACTCTCTCGGTTAAAACAAAACATCAAAGCAAAGGGAATCCAAAAGTTAAGTATGCCGCTGGGACTCTGCTTCCATTATCACCCATCTGCCGAACAATCCACCAGTCAGCAGGGAGAAAGCAAACTGGGGCTTTTGAGATTTGAGACTTGCGCGTGTCATTAAGCATACAGAAAAAACGGGGTAATTTCCACCTTTGGTAAATTTAATGAGCAGTTGGCCAGCCCACTCGTCTTTCTATAAATTACAAATCAGAGACGAAATGTGACATGACAATGTCGTATCCACGCAATGACGGCAGCCAAAAGATGCTAAAAGAAACCACCCGGAGACTTTTCTTTTTAATATTAAAATTAAGTAGAAAATAAATATTTTCTACAGAAAATTGATTCCTGCTAAGTAACTAACAATTTTATGGTTTAAATGCATGGCGAACACTTTTAATACTCAAAATGGACTTTAAAAGCTTTAATTAGCTTGTTCAAGTTTCAGGCTGTGGGTAATTATAAGATGCGATGGAGCTTTTATTACAAGCAAAACACGCTATAATTAGTATTCAAGCTCGCAGATGTTACATTCGGAGTTTGTGTTAACTGAAGAATGGCCAGCAAAACCCATACACGAGTATGATAATAACGAAAACTCATTCAGCAAGACATAACAGACAACCCTTTCCGTGAAGGGTGCTTGTAAAATTTCTATCGGAGGCCCGTCTTTGCATCCTCGGCCTCTAATATGTTCAGAGACCAATTTCGACACTGACCATTTACATGCGGAGAGGCGTGTTGGATTAATTTAACATGCTACGATTCCCTCGTGTTTATACGGCCGATCTGCAACTGACGCGTTAATAGACCCTGCGTGCGACAGCGGTTGCCCTAAATTATTCAATTATTTCAAGCATTTTAATAAGCATTCTTCAATGCATTTATTGATTAAAAATTATTTATTTATTCAGTGAATATTCAAGAAACATTTTGACGTCCACCTACTCATTATAAATATACCAGAATTAATAATAAATTTGCCTTATTTACCATATTTATATAACATTCCACATTGAACCATTGTAAATTTTGCAAATTGTGTTGTTAAAAATTAGATCACAAATCCATTTTGTGTAGGCAGGCGCAGGAACAGTATAAAGGATTAAATTAACAGTGCAGGTGTTGCTCTTAAATCACTCAAGTGTGCAGATGAATGTACGTGGGTGGATCGATCTGTTAAGTGCCGCACTTTTAACTTGGAAACGACTGGCGGTTTGCCGGCGAAGTCTTACAAGGAAATTTTAGGCCAAAGGAGTCTTGAAGTTTACACAAAAACACGGCAGCTATAAATAAAGTAGCTGTTCTTGTTTTGTCAGAGAGCTCATTTAGAATAATAAAGCAAGCGGTTCTTGGGAGTCGTTGCTCTTTTCATTTTTATGCTACCGCTTAAAATTTAAAAACAATGAAAACTTTTATTTCTCTGCATGCTCAAAAATTATAAATTAAACGCATATTTCAGTAAATATATTTAGGTGGAAAACCATGTTTTGCGGCTAATTGTAGCTCATAACAGTAAATTTCCTCTTAAAATCATATTAATGAGTTCCAACTCAAAATTAACACTACCAACTGGAAACGCTTCCTCTTCCCCCAAATCATTTTCTAATTTGCACATTAAATTATTTCCTTTTCACCGAATTTAATTAGAGCCGAGCTACGGTTAAATACTTTAAATTTGACGCAGAATGAAAATCGTGGTTATCCTTCATTATGCGCCTCTCTAACTTTCGACTTGGCACAAGCGGAAGAAGCAGGAAAGACTGTTTTTTAAGTAAGATTGCGAGGAAATGCAGAAGAGGCTGAACAAGCAAGTGAGGCCTTCATCTAACAAAATCCTTTCCTTTCTTCCCTTTTTTAATTTGTTCACTCTGGAGCTCGACAAAATTGTAATTCTGCAACAGCGAGTTGCTATAAAACTTTGCCAGCATACATCTCGTTATTACTCTCTCCTTCATTCCATGAAAGTTGCCAGCTGCTGAGAAGTTCTCCATTTTCCTGTAGTTATATTTTATGTACTGTACGAAAAGCAGCACAGGAAATTACGAGCGCCTGAATCTCAACTATCTCAACCCTTTGAATTTTTTTTTTCCCACTAACGGCTCCAGTTCGGCGAGTAGGTTTAAGTTGGAAACACTTTTGCTTCCAAATTGAGCCTATGAGTTTTAGTAAGCTGTTTACTAGAGCTGGCTGCCAATTCTCTCCCAATGTGATTTTTTAATTTTCTGTTTGACTTGTTGCGAGAGAATAAATGAATTGAATTGAATATTTTTTATGTTATTGCACTATTCAAGATCAAGAAATGCAAAATGGAATTACATTTATTTTTATTATCTTTTCTTTTTTGATTGCGCTCTATTATTCATTTTTTTTTTATCATTTGATTATACAAAAGTATTTGTTCAGGGATATAAAAGTATTAGCAAATATTTGAGTGACGCATGAAACGGAAGCTCAAAAGACAATGGTAAAAAAATAGATTGATGGATAAACAAAGTAAAAAATCGTTGTGTATAAAGTTCTATTCCGTTTTTTTCCCCACTTTAAAGATTTCCTCACTCCTACAATCATCGTTCTATAGTTAGTAGGCAAATAGAATAGCCTCCCATCACGACCCGCTACTCTCTCTGGTCACGCGCGGCGTGAGCCTTTAAACATATTATACACCACGAGTGCAAATAATGGCGAATTGATTTGCCAGCCACGCTAGAAACTTGGCCTGTGAGGCGTGCAAAAACCAAATTCGCGTCGCAGCCCACGCGTGATGTTTTGGCATCGAATTTGTCGAATGCGAAAATTTTGCACTTTGTGGTAGAAATTCAACAGATCAACGATTTCCCTCAGATAAAAAACTCGCCGTTCCATCGTCCCATGAACGTGCTCTGACTGAATTTTCACACCAGTCAAAAATTTTTCGCTCTTCGTTAAAACGAATTTTATGGACACAAAACTTTTTCTTGATGTGAAATTGAAACAAGAGAACACCCATTTTTTTTTTTAACTCTGGGCTTGTCATCATTAATTTTGCTCTTTGCTGCTCAACAGAGTTGAAGGCAGTGGGAAATGTAATGAAAGTCACTACACTGGTGGTAAATAGCACTTTATTTGCTTCCGACAGTCTTTTGCTCAAAGAGGAAAATTACACTAATTTGTGAGAACGCGTTTAAACAAAAAGGTTGACTTTTGGTTCTTGTTTGCTCAAAAGTTCCTTAACTTTAGCGCTTGTGTGAGGTAAATTTTTATTTTATAATATTCAAACTACACGTTATTAGTTCATTAAATTACTTAATTACTAATTAATTTAAATAACTATATTAAAAACTTATTCACAGCGTTGTTTATCAACATCGCTCAAGTTAAGTAATGCGTTTTTAGTTCCAACATTTTCACATCGTGTATGGCGAATCTTTTGTCATCACCATTCAGGGAAACGTCTTGTATTTAATCTACTTCGCGCCTTCTTTAATACAAAATAACTGAGCATGATAGGCAACCTGTTTGCCGTAAATGTTTAGCGGGTTAGTCTAACTGGAAAAAGTGTGGTAAAGTTTAAACAATTTATAAATATTGACAATGAGATAAATAATATCATTTTAGTTTAAAAATATTAATCAATATTTTATTTAGCATTCCATATTAATATGGAATGCTCAAAAGAAGGAAGCGTCATTGTGAAAATCCACTTCATGCGAAATTTTCTTACATACATAATATATTTTACTTTTGAAAATAAGCGCCGCAAGCGACTCTTCAGTATGCGTGTACCATAAACGCAAATCGCAAACAAGTATATATACGTGTTTGATTAGTCTATAGATGAAAAAATAAGTGAAAAGCCACTCGTAGTTTGCAGCTGATTGTGAGCACGAATCCGAGCAAATTTTCCACGTCGTTTGCGCATTTTACGTTTGGGCGACAGTATGACAAGGGAAAAAGGTGTTTCCAGGTGTCCACTAATGCTTGATAAATTCCAATCACGCAACTAACTGTGATTGAGATCAAAGATTCAAAAACCCATCTCATGCGATAGATAGCAATAGCGGGAAGTGCGCAGAAAAACTGTTTTCTATACTGGCCAACGGTCTTACTTTTAGCAGGGTACATTCCTCTGGGGTTCGTTTAAAGTGAAGCGCACCGGTCTGCAGATTTACAGATAAGAAAAGCCTTTTTCAATTCAAAATTTACAGCTGAAAGGAGAGGCATCAAAATTAAATTTTGTTAACTTAAATTAGAATTTTTTTCCCTTGATAATATATTTTTATAATAAGATTTCCTATAGTAAATTACAATGACATAATGAAATAAAAAAAACCAAATTATATTGATTCATTAGCGCTAATGATCTTGTAATAAAAATGAAAAAAAAAATTACCACAAAATACACCTCCAGAAGCAATCAAATTGCCATCATATCATGAGTGTTGTAGGTTTGTAAATTGCAATCTAGCTCGCTCTCACATTCACTCACTCACTCGCTTGCTCGCTCTCGCACTCACTCACTCACTCGCTCGCTCTCGCATCCACTCACTCACTAACTCGAGCGAGCGATTGAGAGCGAGCGGGCGATCGAAAGACTAAGCGTGTGAGTGAGTGAGTGCGAGAGCGAGCGAAAGAGGGAGTGAGTGAGTGAGTTAGTGAGAGCGAGCGTGTGAGTGAGCGAGTGAGTAAGTGAGTGAGTGATTGCGTGAGTGAGAAAGCGAGCAAGTGAGTCTGTGCGTGATGAGTGAGTGAGCGAGTGAGTGCGAGAGGGAGTGAGCGAGTGAGTGAGTGAGCTCACTCACCCTCACGCTCTCGGTCGCCCTCACGCTCTCGCTCGCCCTCACGCTCTCGCTCGCCCTCACGCTCTCGCTCGCCCTCACGCTCTCGCACGCTCTCACACTCTCACGCTCACTCGCTCTCACGCCCACTCGCTCTCACGCTCACTCGCTCTCACAAAAATAAAAAAAAAAATTAATTGGGTGGTGCCTTCTGTACCACCAATAAAGGGCACAGGCCAACAAGACTTTGTCTTGTCCTGACCCTAAAAAGCTCTCACTCGCCCTCACGCTCACGCTCGCCCTCACGCTCGCCCTCACGCTCACGCTCGCCCTCACGCTCGCCCTCACGCTCACCCTCCCGCTCTCGCACGCCCTCACGCTCTCGCTCGCCCTCACGCTCTCACTCGCCCTCACGCTCAATCGCTCTCACGCTCACTCGCTCTCACAAAAAAAAAAATTAATTGGGTGGTGCCTTCTGCACCACCAATAAAGGGCACAGGCCGACAAGACTTTGTCTTGGCCTGACCCTAAAACGCTCTCACTCGCCCTCACGCATATACTCGCCCTCACGCTCTCACTCGCCCTCACGCTCACACTCGCCCTCACGCTCTCGCTCGCCCTCACGCTCTCGCTCGCCCTCACACCCACTCGCTCTCACGCTCACTCGCTCTCACGCTCACACAAAAAAAAAAATTAATTGGGTGGTGCCTTCTGCACCACCAATAAAGGGCACAGGCCGACAAGACTTTGTCTTGGCCTGACCCTAAAACGCTCTCACTCGCCCTCACGCTCTCACTCGCCCTCACGCTCACACTCGCCCTCACGCTCACCCTCTCGCTCGACCTCACGCTCACGCTCGCCCTCACGCTCTCGCCCGCCCTCACGCCCACTCGCTCTCACGCTCACTCGCTCTCACAAAAATAAAAAAAATTTAATTGGGTGGTGCCTTCTGTACCACCAATAAAGGGCACAGGCCGACAAGACTTTGTCTTGGCCTGACCCTAAAACGCTCTAACTCGCCACATTCAATGATTTCTCGATTTTTCACACGAGTTTCACTCACTCACGTACTCACTTGCTCGCTCGCTCACTCACGCACGGACGCACTCACCCACTGACTCGAGTCAGCTGGAGATAAAAGTATGCTCTTATTTGTCTTTTATTTTTTTTATAAATAAAAAGGTGTCATAATTTTCTGCGTTATAATTTGGATTTTAATTTTTCAAATTAAACAAAACAAATTTTTTTTTTCGAGTAAAATTATTATTTATATAATCTTTATCCAAACAGATTTAAAATAGATTGGGCATGCATTATTCCTTTGATAAATTAAGCATAATTTTCATTCATTTATTTCAGACTTGATCTCAATCACAGAAATTAAATATTAAGCTTAACAAGACTTCAGATGAGAGAACAATTAAAATCCTTAACTTCAGTTTACGGATGGTAATTAAGTTTAACAACATAATAAGCAGAGTAAATCAATCACATGGAATGGTTTTGAACAACATGCTGACGGTAATTAATGTGGAAAGGTCTGGAATTACAATCAGTGCATTTGGTTTTACTGAAAGGCTTGAAATCATTTGACAAATTAGCATGATCCGTTGATTCAATGTGGTCGTAACGTTCCTTTCTAGAAAATTAAATATTGTTAGTCTGGTCTATGAACAAAAAATTATTTTTTTCGTTACTCACTTTGTTTTGAACGAGAGGTGGCAATACATATTTAATCCGCACACAAAGGGCACCGTCTTATTTTTGTGCAAGTTTTGATGGTGTCTAAGAAAATTGTGTTTGATATTGGTCTCGTAATCACAGAACGAACATTTGAAGTGCTAAAAAGCAAAATCGTAAATTAATGAAAAGTAAAATTTTATTTTATTTTTACTCTATGAGGAACTGCCAGGATACCTTAGCCTTTTTTGATATCTTGGCCTTCCTTGCCAGCCAGGTCTCTCTTATCCACGCCATGAGCCATATCTTCCTTAGCGGTGACCTGCTGAGTGGCAGCCTTGGCCCGCAGGTGCTCAATCATTTTCATGATTGACCGCATAAAGAAGCGAGTGACGGTCATCAGTAGGAAGGACACAAACAGAAATACTCCCTTTATTGGTTGGGTCTGCATCTAAAGAGCAAAACCATAAAGAAAATAAAATGAATTCCTTTACAAAAATTGTTTTACTTGAGCCACTCCTTCCGAACCTCCGTCCATCTCTGTTAGCACTGGCGCCGTAACACCTCCAGTCTCAGTTTCTTTGGCGACCTAAAGAGCAAACCATAAAGAAATTAAAATGAATTCCTTTACAAAAATTTAATGTTTCAGTTTTACTTGAGCCACTCCTTCGGAACCTCCGTCCATCTCTGTTAGCACTGGCGCCATCACAACTCCACGCTCGGTTTCTTTAGCGACCTAAAGCGCAAAACCATAAAGAAAATAAAATGAATTCCTTTTCAAAAATTTAATGTTTTTTTACTTATTTTTTGCAGAAGTCGCGAGCGAGGGGTGGAGGCGCAGCGAGGCCGAGGACGTGGGGAAGGCCGTGCGGAGGGCGAGGACAAAAGGGCGGCTCCGCAGGAGCCCCCTCACGAACCCCGCCCTTTTGTCCCGCCCGGAGCCGGCGTTCACCACTTTCTCGGGTGAGCGCGCCTCCAGCCCGAAGCTCGCAAACCCACAACGGAGGTGCCCACAAAAGGTGTTGTCTGCAAAGGGAGTTGTGGGCACCACACTTTTTGCTTTCTAAGCCCTTTTTGCAGACAATTACATTTGTAAGCAACTCCGTTGTGGGTTTGCGAGCTTCGGGCTGGATCGAGGCGCGCTCGCCCGAGAACGTGGTGAAGGCGGGAAAAAAGGCGGGGATCGTGAGGGGGCTCCCGCGGAGCCCCCTTATGAACACAGCCGCCCTTTTGTCCTCGCCCTCCGCACGGCCTTCCCCACGTCCTCGACCTCGCTGCGCCTCCACCTCTCGCTCGCGACTTCTGCAAAAATTAATCTTGGGGGGTTGCCCACCTCTGAGTTGCCGGTTAGTGGGGCGCCCACATCTCCGGCCGCGTGCAACACCTTTTAATTAATTTTCCGTGCGTGTCGCGCCTCCTATAATCGTGCGTTGCGCGTACTATAATCGTGCGTCGCGCGTACTTTAATCGTGCGCCACGCGTACTGTAAGCATGCGTCGCGCGTACTATAAGCATGCGTCATGCCTCTTACGATAGTGAAAAGCGCCCTCCGGAGGTCATCTTGCCCCATTCTGAACCCATCCCAAGGGACCCTATTCTTCCTAGCAGTCCCCTACATTAAGATTGTAGGAAAATATTTGCGTCGTGCGTGCTATACATGTTGCCGAGGTATCGATGGAATAATCGGTTTTCCGCCACCAGTATTGTACGCGCCACGTAAAACCATTATTGTATGCGCGACGTATAACCACTATTGAACGCGCGACGTGATACTTTTACATGGGGGCTGGGGGCACAAGTGTTGCCAACCTATGAAAAAACACGCCGCGCGTACTATTACATTACCAGAAGCCGAGCACTTCTAGCACTAAAAATAGAATATATCTTTTCATGAAAAATTACAACCGCGGTAAAAACAATTTGTTATTTGCAATTTGAAATTATTTTTATAGAACCCAGATTTATTTCGATTTTGCGGTGAAGCATTCCACAATCTCGGATAGATATATTCAAATGAGTGATAGAACATGATAGGTGAATTTATTTACACCAGCCTGCTCCATATCCGATTATTGGAGGTCTGGCCTTTTGATCCCCTCTCCCCGCTGGCGCTGCGTGACGTCACGGGGGAACGTCCGCCATATTGGCTATTGATATTCTGAGTGGCGATTCACGTTTTTTCGTCGAGTAACGTGTTTTGTGGCCGTGCGGGGCACTTTCATCGCTCGATGAACAGTGCTACACGTTCTCACATGTTTCTTCAACGAAGCGGCAGGCGGAAACGGATGAGTTCAGTCGAAGGAAGCTCACAAAGACGACAAATCGCGACGGAGCGATCGCTGAGTGAGAGAGGGGCGCGGTGAATGCGATTCTTTCCGTCTTTGCCGTTTAAATGAATTGTTTTCGGCCGAATCGCCCAATATTTGGCCATGAACGTGTGTGCAGAAGGTGTCCGACGAACCGAGTGTCGCAACAAGGAGGTGGAAAATGGAAAACGTGAGTTGAGGGTGGAACTAAACGCCGGTCAACCTTCAAAAACACCTTGTTTTCATTTTGCCCGACACTTGGCCTTTTGCTTCCTCACCACTCTTCGGTTAGAGATTTCTAATTTGATAAATTTTTTCATGTTGACCAGCGTCACAAATGACTTAATCTAAAGGGTGGAAGATGATTTATAATTTGTGGTTCTTGTTTTCGCTTGAAACACGTCGACACTCTCTCGCTTGCCGCTCGTTGCCCTTTGCTTTTTCGCCTTGCTCTGTTTTTTACCACGCACGATCTTATTTGTTAATTAATATTTTTCCATGTTAAACAAAAAATCCAAAATATAAACATTTAATTCATTTTATTTCAGCGCATCTCACAATCAGGATACATCATGTCTGACAGGCCAGGGCTCCCCCCGAGAGGTGATCTCGAAAGAGACGGACACAGAGCCCCTGGAACATCCCCCTTTGAGAGCTGGGTGTCCACACTCCCAGCGCCCTCACTGCCCTCGGCAGGCCATTTTCCAGGTGGTCCAGGTCCTGGTTTTCCATATCAGCCGACGCCAACAACCTGGTCCTCGGGCAGTTGCGAGGAGGCGGCCCTGCTCCACCTTCGAACACGCTGATCGATTCGCTACACAGAATCATGTAGTTGGAAAAGCCTGCCATCAAGCACACCATATTAAGGTATAGTCGGTTTAGTATAGTAAATGAGGAATAAAAAATAAAATTTATTTTTCAATAATTATTGAAAATATTTAAATTTTTATAAATACTGCGGAGCTGGTTGATTTCTTATTTTAATTCGTATTGTGCAAAACTGATTGGAGATTTAAATACGCTTTATTAACAATATAAATTTTTTCAGCCCATGTTTTGCTGTTTGCATTGAGGGGATGTAAGCAGTTCTTTGTGCAACATGCCGCCAGGAAGAAGAATGTGCCGACCACACTTGAGCACGGAGAGTGTTCCGTTCTCCGACCAAAATACATTCGTCCGCAATTTCTCGCTGCTATCACAAAACGGCTGGCGCTCCAAGTATGTTATTTGTTTTATTTGATCGACTTCAAATCATGAAAATTACCTATTATTATACTCTAAAAATTTGCATTTATTTCTAGCAGCCACTTCCACAAAGTCACTTGGATGGACGGACACAAGAAATGGTTTATCGGCTAACCGGACACCAAGAAGAATACCGATTTTTCTGGTGAAGTGCTAGTGGGGGCCAGCTAGAAATCAACCTGTCAAGCCAGGGAATGAAATTTCCATTATATTATTGTGATCATTTTTTTTTTTTTTAACAAGCTTTATTTTTAAATGGGACTTTTTAGTTTTTATTCAACTGCGCACTTTGATTATCAGGATTATCATAAACCTTTCATTCATTAAAAAAAAAATTTGGTTACTCTCTGTTGAGAATTAAACAAAAAAACGGTTTTAAAAATTAATAACTGGAATCTTTTTATTTGCTGTTTTGCATGATAAATTTACGAAAATTGATTACAAGTCTAGTTAATCCAAATTTTATTTCTCCTCGATGTTCTTGAAGTTTTGTCAACCCCTGCATTAGCCATTGTGGTCACGACAGAACCTTTGTTCTTGTTCCTTGCTTGGTTGAGACACCGAAGCCGACAGCACAATCTGAGAAATCCAAACGTTTTGATGGCTTTGAGAGGTGCCGTAATATTTTTCTTTGTTGCCATTTGTGAGCTTTATATTTGTAAACCATGCAGGCGACTCCTTGTTATTTTAATTCAATGGGATTTTAATAATTATTATTGTCTAATTATTTTGAAACTATTACTATCATTGTTTTTTTGTGGACATAGGAGTTAATAGAAGATGTAAAACAATTTTTCTTTCATACAAGGTTAATTTTTATTTAAATATGTCCTAGTTGAACTGAATGTTTATAAAGAATGAAGTTTGAAAGTTCTGCTTAGAGATTAGGAAAACAAATGTGCCAACAATATTTTCCATGATATTGATTGAAATATCACCGACTGTGCGCGCTGTTGACTGACACTCCTTATGTCAAGTCGGTCTAAAGCAGGAAATGCAAGTAAAAACTTGTCTGGAATGAGAGGAATTTCAGACGGAACTGAACAAAATTTTACGGCGCCATGAAGGCGTCAATTGGCGCTGAGATGGCGCAAAACTGCTCGCCTGCATTTAGAGCAAAAGCAGGGTCAAAACTTTTTCCATCTCGGATTGCGGCCCTGACGGGTCTGTTTTTAAATGCACAATGCCGCAGTGCGGTGTTTATAATTGTTTCGAAAGTTCTACGCAACAATTAAGAGAAAAGATAAAAAAGGATCAGTTGGCCTCTGCAAATGTTCCAGCACCTCCAGCAACTCAAGAAGTAGAGGTTATTGATGGCTCATCTATGTCCAACTTTCTGAAGAGCCAGGAAATCAGAGCGTTAATGAAAGAGAGATTTCTTAAGGAAGATGTTCCTTTGAAGGATGATTATATCCGCTTTTACAAGCCACCATCTGACGAGGCTTTAAAAATTGCATGGTTTGCTGCAGGAGGACGGGAAATTGCTTCATACAGCGCGCACACCGTCTTTTGCTCAAAGCATTTTGATCGTACGCAATACAATTATGATTTGCTTGAAGAGTACCACTACCAAGTTCCACCTGGAAAGAGGCTCTTGAAACATGATGCAGTACCTACCAGAAGCCTTCCGAAAAAGAACGATCCGACAATTTCCCAAATCAAGCGCTCAGAGCGAGCTGTGAAAAGAAAACTCCAAGAGAGGTAATTAATTTTATATGGTTATTATCATTTATATTTTTACGGATTAATATATTTTAAATAAAATTATATTTTGACTCAAATATGCATAAAAATATGTATTAAAAAACTTGGGATGACAATATTCATGATTTTAAACTTTTTCATGATAAAAAAGCGACCACGAGCTGGAACTTGTGGTAAAAAGGAAATTGCCTTCGGTGCCGACATTGCCCGCCAAGGAAGAAAGTCTCATACCTGCAGCCTCTGGACAAGACGTCAACGATCAGAATATGTACGACCAGCCTCATTTTTCAGGAAATGAAGACCAAAATGACTCAAAATCTCGTCACTTTTTGGAAAAGTAATTTATCCTTTAATGTACAATAACCAGACTTAGTTCGAACCGTTCAATCAATAATTTTTTTTATTCTTTACCTTTAATTTTAATAATACCACCGTTTTATTTCCTGCAGATTGAGTGAAATGCTGAATAATGGACAAAAACAGACAAACCACATTGGAAAGGAGCATTCCCATCTGAGCTCAATGTAAGTAAAAGTCGCACCAAAATATTTATTTTACAACTAAGACAGATGTGAATAATATAAAAGCAATTTCTTCATTTTTACAGGCCTCCGCATCAATCTCCAGAGGTACTTTTTACGGATTTGGAGCAAAAGATTACCTTCATTCTAGAAAGAAACTTTGAGTTGATGAAGGAAAAGGCTAAACTGGAAAAAGATCAAGAAAGACTTGAGAAAAAAGTTAACCTATACGAGAAACAAATTCACACAATGGAAAAAGAGAGAGACGCCTTCTTCAGGCAAATTGAGGCTTGTGGGGGAGCAATTAATGAATCTAAAAGGGATGAAATCATCCGAGATGCACTTGGAAATCATTTTACCAAGGCCCAGATGGACAGAATTTTGCTCAAGAAAAGAACGCGATGGTCCGAAGAGGATTTTTGCAATGCCCTTGTGTTGGCCACTTTAAGCACAAGGGCATACAAAAAAATGCGCACACTTTTGAAGTATCCTCTACCATGTATTGCCTCTGTCAAAGCATTTGCCTCCAAGCTGCACAGTCCTCCTGGACTAATGCAAAATAATCTGCGTCTCTTACAGGCGCATTGCTCGGGCCTCCCTCGATTACAAAGATTGGTTGCCCTCACTGCTGACGAGGTCAAGATCTCCAGAAATTTTTGCATGTAAGCCAAGAAAGACAAGGTGCTGGGACGCCATCGAGAGGTACAAGTTGTCCAAGCAAGGGCCTTGTTTGGCAATTTCCAAACAGAAGTGTACTACAATTTTGACGAGAGGCTAACAAAAAAGAGGATTGATTACATCGTAGAGGAGCTGTACAAAAGGGACCTTGAGGTGGTGACATTTGACTGTGATCTTGGTCCAACAAATAGGGCTCTTTTAAAAGAGCTGAACATCAACACACAAAATCAAAGTTTTGAACATATAGTGACCAAGGAAAAAATTTTTGTGTTTTCTGATTCACCACACGATGTAAAAAATGGAAGGAATCATGCATTTGATCAAGGCTTCGTCCTTGACCCAAGCAAGCCAGTCAAAGATCAAGAGATCGCGTGCAAACAGCCTTTTGAAGAATTGTTGAGTTTGCAGAACAATACCGAGTTTTCCGATCACAAACTGACTTGGCGTCATCTTGAGGCTCGCCATCAAGACCGGCAGAAAGTAGATTTGGCAGTCCAGACTTTGTCGAATTCGGTGGCTCGTTGCTTATTAGACGCTGGCGATTCTGGTCATATCAAATCTCCGCACTACAAAGTTAGTATAAAAATTAAACAAAAGATAGTTATACTAAATTGCAGAAAAATATCCAAAAATAAATGTAAATAATATTATATGTTAAAAAGTTATACTTTTTAGACAAAAAAAAAATTAGAAATCAAATTTTTAATTATCAACGCAATTAAAAAAAATTATAATAATTTTAGGCCACTTCAAGATACTGCAAAATTTTCAATGATTTTTTCGACATCTTCAATGTTCACGAAGACTTGCGTCTAAAAGAAGAGCATTTGGGTAGAGAGGACGAAATTCCTTCAACAAAACTACCTTTTGGTGCCAGAGAGGATGAGCAGCAAGCAGCTCTGGATGAAATGCTGGAGGTTTTTTTTCTAACTTATATTAACTGCAAAATAAAATATTCATTATTTCAGTTTCTTGAGAAAATGAGGAAGAAAGAGAAGCCAAGCAAAGCAAAAAAGAAAAACAAGGGAAAGGCCACTGGAATGCTCTACTTTCAAAAGGGCATGATCCAAAACATCAAAGCTTTAAAAGGCCTCTTGGAGGATTTAAAGAGGCGCTTTCCTGATCATGAAATTTTGATCCACACATACCGAATTTGTCAAGATGGCTTGGAAATTCTGTTTTCGATTATTCGGAGCCAAGGCGGGACGTACATCAACCCCACTCCAGTGGACTTCATTTACCGAATTTCAAACTACGCTATTGTGAGAAACCCATCCAAGTGTCTCACAGGAACAGGCAATGTCAAGGCAATTGACAAGGATATTGTTTCAATAACAGGCCAGGTAATGAGAAAAAAAAATTAGCCATGAATAAAAAAATAACAATATTATGTTTCTAGTCGGTAGCGAACCTGCTCGATGAAAGCAGTGATGACTTGGAAATGGAACAGTCAAATGAAGATTATCAGGAAGACACCCCTGATGGTGAAGAGTATGCAGAAATTCTTGCCAACACGGAGATCGCAGAACAGGCAGATACTTGCAAAAACGAGGAGAGCACATCAGACGTTGAAAGCGATGATCAAGAGCAAGAAGGTCTGATGAGCGAAGAGGAGGGAGAAGCCCCTGAAGACATCTGCAACAGCTCTAGTTGTTCGAGGGTGGCCTATGATAATGGGGTGGCTGGCCTAGCAGGTGTTGTTGCGTTTCGCCTACGTAAAGAGCACCCCGAACTCAGATCAAGCAGCTCGCCAACAAACATTCCTCCTTGGGTAGAGCCGTATTCTAAACTGGGACGTTTTGCCCCATCAGATGAATTTGCAGCAGCAGCTGTGGAAATGGACAAAATTTTCATTCAAATTCATGGCAAAGCTGTAAACAAAGAAGAAGGAATCACTGCGAAATTCATTGAAATGGCAACAAAGAAAAATATTACGGCACCTCTCAAAGCCATCAAAACGTTTGGATTTCTCAGATTGTGCTGTCGGCTTCGGTGTCTCAACCAAGCAAGGAACAAGAACAAAGGTTCTGTCGTGACCACAATGGCTAATGCAGGGGTTGACAAAACTTCAAGAACATCGAGGAGAAATAAAATTTGGATTAACTAGACTTGTAATCAATTTTCGTAAATTTATCATGCAAAACAGCAAATAAAAAGATTCCAGTTATTAATTTTTAAAACCGTTTTTTTGTTTAATTCTCAACAGAGAGTAACCAAATTTTTTTTTTAATGAATGAAAGGTTTATGATAATCCTGATAATCAAAGTGCGCAGTTGAATAAAAACTAAAAAGTCCCATTTAAAAATAAAGCTTGTTAAAAAAAAAAAAAATGATCACAATAATATAATGGAAATTTCATTCCCTGGCTTGACAGGTTGATTTCTAGCTGGCCCCCACTAGCACTTCACCAGAAAAATCGGTATTCTTCTTGGTGTCCGGTTAGCCGATAAACCATTTCTTGTGTCCGTCCATCCAAGTGACTTTGTGGAAGTGGCTGCTAGAAATAAATGCAAATTTTTAGAGTATAATAATAGGTAATTTTCATGATTTGAAGTCGATCAAATAAAACAAATAACATACTTGGAGCGCCAGCCGTTTTGTGATAGCAGCGAGAAATTGCGGACGAATGTATTTTGGTCGGAGAACGGAACACTCTCCGTGCTCAAGTGTGGTCGGCACATTCTTCTTCCTGGCGGCATGTTGCACAAAGAACTGCTTACATCCCCTCAATGCAAACAGCAAAACATGGGCTGAAAAAATTTATATTGTTAATAAAGCGTATTTAAATCTCCAATCAGTTTTGCACAATACGAATTAAAATAAGAAATCAACCAGCTCCGCAGTATTTATAAAAATTTAAATATTTTCAATAATTATTGAAAAATAAATTTTATTTTTTATTCCTCATTTACTATACTAAACCGACTATACCTTAATATGGTGTGCTTGATGGCAGGCTTTTCCAACTACATGATTCTGTGTAGCGAATCGATCAGCGTGTTCGAAGGTGGAGCAGGGCCGCCTCCTCGCAACTGCCCGAGGACCAGGTTGTTGGCGTCGGCTGATATGGAAAACCAGGACCTGGACCACCTGGAAAATGGCCTGCCGAGGGCAGTGAGGGCGCTGGGAGTGTGGACACCCAGCTCTCAAAGGGGGATGTTCCAGGGGCTCTGTGTCCGTCTCTTTCGAGATCACCTCTCGGGGGGAGCCCTGGCCTGTCAGACATGATGTATCCTGATTGTGAGATGCGCTGAAATAAAATGAATTAAATGTTTATATTTTGGATTTTTTGTTTAACATGGAAAAATATTAATTAACAAATAAGATCGTGCGTGGTAAAAAACAGAGCAAGGCGAAAAAGCAAAGGGCAACGAGCGGCAAGCGAGAGAGTGTCGACGTGTTTCAAGCGAAAACAAGAACCACAAATTATAAATCATCTTCCACCCTTTAGATTAAGTCATTTGTGACGCTGGTCAACATGAAAAAATTTATCAAATTAGAAATCTCTAACCGAAGAGTGGTGAGGAAGCAAAAGGCCAAGTGTCGGGCAAAATGAAAACAAGGTGTTTTTGAAGGTTGACCGGCGTTTAGTTCCACCCTCAACTCACGTTTTCCATTTTCCACCTCCTTGTTGCGACACTCGGTTCGTCGGACACCTTCTGCACACACGTTCATGGCCAAATATTGGGCGATTCGGCCGAAAACAATTCATTTAAACGGCAAAGACGGAAAGAATCGCATTCACCGCGCCCCTCTCTCACTCAGCGATCGCTCCGTCGCGATTTGTCGTCTTTGTGAGCTTCCTTCGACTGAACTCATCCGTTTCCGCCTGCCGCTTCGTTGAAGAAACATGTGAGAACGTGTAGCACTGTTCATCGAGCGATGAAAGTGCCCCGCACGGCCACAAAACACGTTACTCGACGAAAAAACGTGAATCGCCACTCAGAATATCAATAGCCAATATGGCGGACGTTCCCCCGTGACGTCACGCAGCGCCAGCGGGGAGAGGGGATCAAAAGGCCAGACCTCCAATAATCGGATATGGAGCAGGCTGATTTACACCACTGAATATATGAGAAAAATTCATGATTAAATGAGTCGATATATAAAATACAATTATAAATTTAATATAAATATTTTTTTCTTATTTCCTTTCAATACCACTAACCATGATAGTGTTTTTTTTTTTATGTACTGATCTCTGAAGTTTTTTTGTCATTGTTAAAATCAAATAAATTGACATTCAAGCTTGCATTATGCTTTTGATAATTACCTACATTTTTATTATATATAAAAGAATTTATTATAAAATAATATTAATTTATTTGATTTATTTTTGTGTTTTGAAAGGAGGCGGTCGGTGGTCATCAAGAGGGTTTATGTGTTCAGCCCAAAATCAAAAAGGGGCGTGGCACTTTGAGAAATTTTTGGTACATTTTATTTCAATTTTTTTGTCGCCTTTTTTCTTTGTCTTAATCACCGGGGTCTCGAACCAATCTGCTTGTCAGACATGTCCTCTGTGGGCACCAGCAGGGGGAGTGGCAGTGTTTTCATGATAAACAGGACCGAATAAGTTTAGGCGCAATTTTAATAAATGTTTTAAAAAATCAAGGAAATATTCACACACCTACTGGGGCGAGTCAATAAGTGCGGCGGCACTTCCGAGTGGTCGGCGCGGCAAGAAAATCCATCATTCGCCTTATTTTGGTGAGATACGGGCTGATTGCTGATAGTTATGCCCGATTCGCCATTTTTCCTCCAGCGAGGAAGTTTCCAGGTGCATGGGCAGCCGGCGAGAGAAAAGGAAATGAGGGAGGGTTGGGAGGGAGCGCTACCTGCACAATGCAGCAGCATTGGAATGCGCTCCCACCAACACTCTTTTCTTTCTCTTATCACTCGCCGCTGCCGTTGTGCCCAACTTGTCCTTGGATTCCTTGGAAGAAGGAAAATGGCGAGAAAGGTGAAAATTTTCATGAATCGCCACCGTATCTCATCGAATTGAGGCGAATGGGGAATTTTCTCGTTCAGCCGACCACTTGGAAGAGGCGCCGCACTCATAAACTGGTCCCAGGTATGTTAATTTTGCTATTATTTGTACAAATTAATGCTTTCCCGTTGATTTTATTTATTCATGTCACTTTCACACGCTGGTGAAAATTTGAAATTTGCGCCACCGAAAACCAACAGCCAATCAAAAGTGGTGACTTCAGCGGCCTATAGAGCCATGATGCATTGCGCGACCGTTTCAAAAGATTTTCATGATCGAGACCCCGGTGGTCTTAATTAATTCACATATGCAAATTTGGCTTCAATTTTCAGGGCATTTTGCTATCGTAAATTAACAATTTATTATGATGAACAACATTTTAAATGCATGTTACTTATTCTTTGAAAATAACACAAGTTCAAAAATTTTTTATTGGATTTTTTTTTAATAATTTCATTATAATATAAAGTTTTATTTAAATAAAACTTAAAACACGGCTGATGATGATGATGGGTTTTTGGAGTAATTAATTGTTTTGTAAAAAAAAATATCCCAATTAATTCTAAATGTTTTGACTAAAATTTTTTTCTTTAAAATTGTTTTAGAGAAAATTTGTCCAAATAATTCTTAGCCCATGACTTATGGCTGCAGCCGGCAGATAAAAAATATTTTTATTTCATTTTGTATGAAACGACTAAAAAAATCATCCAGTAAATTGAGGACGGCCGCCGCTTGCGGCAGAGAGCGGCTTCCAATTTCCAACTTCAACGGCGCTGCCGGTGGTAAGCGCTCTGGAAAAACTGTTCATCTTTTTGAAAAATTTGTTTTTATAAAACCCAATTAAATTTATCTCTCAGCAATGATATAAATTAAAACTCAAAATTTTCCTCGGCGTTGTGAAAAAATTAAGGTTTGCAAAGTTCCATTTTTCTCATAAAATTTAAAATAAAAAAGTTTAAACTTTAATATGATTTTTTTTAGAGAAAGGCACGGACTTTCTTTCCGCAATTGTAATTTTTGTAGTAAAATATTTTTTTCACATTTTAAAGAATGCTCAAAAATAAAATTTCATTTTTTAAGACAGAAATAAATTTTTAAGAATTTTTCCAAAATAGCCATTGAAATCGGCGTGTCAAATATTTTTATTTTTGAGCATTCTTTAAAATGTGAAAAAATTATTTTGCCACAAAAATTACAATTGCGGAAAGAAAGTCCGTGCCTTTCTCTAAAAATAAATTTATATCATTGCATTGAGGGATAAATTTAATTAAGTTTCGTAAAATTAAAAACCAATTTTTCAAAGATGAACAGTTTTTCCAGAGCGCGCGCTTATCACACCGCTGAAGTTGGAAAATTGGAAGCCGCTGCCTGCCGCAAGCGGCGGACATCCTCAATTTGATCATCATTCTGATCATTCCATCCGCGGCACGGCGGCAGCAGAGGTATTTCTCAAAATGAACACGATTTCGCTCCTCGCCGACTGGGCTCAAATTTAGTATCGCCAAGGAGCCTCTAATTGATAAAACTTTTTCTTGGTGTATTCGTATTCAATCTAGAAATAATCAAAATATATTTTAACACTAAACAGCATGAAAATGCAAAGTTCAAACGATGAAATTTGATTTATTTTGCTTCATTAATGCAATTTTTTGTTTTTAAAAATGGAAATATTTGAAATATACTAGAGATAATTTGGTAATTTTTCACAGCTGACGAGCTCCCTTTCAAAAATTTTAAAACTCAATAGCCGCCCCATTGTACGGTCTTGTATATATCCCGCGATCGCGATATGCAAGAAAAGAGACGCTGATTTTCAGTCTCTTTATCAACAATTATTAAAGAATTGAACGATTAATTTCACGAAAAATGAATAAAGGCATCATCAAATGTCTTAATCCTACCTCAAATTATCATCAGCCGACTTCAACCAGTCCGAAAAGTCCGAAAACGCGACGGAAATCACTGATATCAGCTCGCGCACGTCGCCCAAACAAAATAAACATTGAAATATGTGGTGATTTCCAACACATACTGGCCAGCATAGGGAACGCATTAGCGCCTGAAAGTAGGCAAATTTGTGTTTCACCATGCGCCTTTATGGAGCTCTCCTGTGAGCAAGTTTAACACCCCATGCCGTTAGAGGCGCTGGCGGCGCAAATTGGTTCTCGTGCAGCGAGGCCAGCGAGCGATAGAAAAATCATAGAGCGAACAAGACATGGATTGACAAATCAACAAATTGCATGTTTGATCTTGTTTCAGCCCATTTCAGCCGTTTGAGTGTGTCGGTGTCGGTCGGCTCATGCGCTATTGAGTGGTGAGGGCGAGGGGCCGAGGGCTTGCGACGCTCACTAAATACAAAACCAGACAAGTCGCTGCACGTCTCATCTCATTCGAGACGCGGCTTTCTTCTGTGATAGACTCGATCTTTCCGTGGGTCTCACACAATTTTGCGTCGTGTCTATTTGCTAGCAAATTTAGTAGGTAAATTTTGATTATTATGGTTATTTCATTGTACATGCTCATTACTTAAAAAATAATAATGTAAATTTGTCATTCGGTATATAAACATAATTTTTAGATAAATGCCGTATTAGCTTTTTTATCCAAATAATTAGGAAGTTATGTCCATATTGCGCACTAAATTGATGAAAGAGATTGCAGTCAAACAATTTTTCTCTCCTTTTTTTTAATTTTATGTAATTTTTATCGGCACGGGCCTAAATGCTGATGTATAACTTTTTTATCATTTGACATATAATGGCGAAACTCTTGATTTTTTTTTATATTCACCTCTAATTTTTGTGCAGTTGACTTGGCCAAAATGGAAGGCAATGATGCTGAACTGATGAGGCGAGCCAGGATTCTGCAGTCGAGAAGAAATTTGGACACTCTGCAAAACTTGTGCATCAAGATGATTCCTAAGAAGTTGGAATACTTTTCCACAACCGCTGGCATCGATCAGCTCCAGAAATTGAAAATGATTGTGTCGTGTGATGGTACGTTAATTATCTAACAATTAATTTCATTGATCCTCAATTTATATCTTACCATTTCTTTTTAATCCTGCTGAGAATTCTGAGAAGAAATTTTTGTTTTCTTAATTTTTGAGATTTTATTGTTTCTGTATTTTCCCATTTTGTTTGAATTTTTTGTTAAATAACTCTTCCTGTTTAAGCGGCTAAGTCGTTCGCTAAGTCAACATGATAAAACTATTTAAATATTAATTATTGCAACTCAATTTTCAGACCAAATAGCTGGAGGCCAAACACACCCAAAAATCAAGATCCTCTCTCACCTGTTTTCTCAACAGTCTGCTCTTGATGTCCACAATTACCAAAATCATCACAGCTTTCCCAAAGGCCTTGATGAAGTTACCAAAGGCCTCATTTTTGATGAACTGGATTTGTTCGACATGACAATTTGCACTGCAGCTGCAAATCACGAAGCTCCAACAAGAAGGGAGAAAACCAAGGAAATCTTCAAACTTCTGGCCAGCAAATGCCCTGCAAAGATCAAATTCCTCAACAGTTGTGAAACCTTTCACACTGAGGCTAGAGAAGAGAGCTCAAGGACAGCAGTCAACCCAATTCTTGTGATGATCATAAATATGAGAAGGAAACTTCCTCCACCTGAAATTCCTATCGGCATGAAGAGGCAGCTAAAATTGATGGAAAATCTTCAATGCCTTCAAATCCCAGATTTCAGCTTTACTGATGGTAAATTTAAAATTCCAATCGAATAAGAAAAATATTAATTTTTAACTCAAGGGGACCTGAAAATTATTTCCAAACTGAAGCTGCTGCAGACTTTGGGATTGATGTTGAAGGATGTCACTGCTCCTGGCATTGAGTTTCTAACTGAAAATCTTCTGCTGTTGAAGATTTTCGAGTTTTCTGCCAGGGGCTCCAAGCTTCTCGCTGGGGATGTTGCAGCTTTGCTTTTCAAAGTAAAGCCTTCCTTGAAGGTGGTTGCTTGCAGAGCTGATCTGCAATATTTCGGCGTTGAACTGCCAATCCCAACTGATCTGAAAACCCCTATCGAACTGGAGCACTTCACCACTTCGGAGTACGTGATGGGAAATAGGTAGGATAAATTAAAGTATTTCATGTTTTGAATTGTTTCACTAAAAAACTTAAATTATTTCAGATTGGCGAAGGTGATGCCAAATTTGACGCATTTGAAGCTGCTCTCCCCAAATGTTCGCAAGAATGGTCCAAATTTGAAAGGACTGAAAAATCTCTCATCTGTCATCCTCGACCAATTTTCTCCAAAGTGCCTGAAAGCTGTCCTCAACTCTGTGGGCTCTCAACTGACTCAACTCATTCTGACCCAAGATGGAGTGGTCGAACAGATAAAAGTTGATCTTCATCAGTTCATCATGTCATGCCCTGCTTTGGAGACCCTTGTTCTTTACTTTGACATCCATCTAGCTGCCAAACCCTTGTTGACCTCCAAAGGAGCTCCGCATGCACTTTGCTTGAAGAAACTGGACCTGCACCACCTTCTGAGTGTGCCCGAGCACATCCTCACTCCTGTTCTCCGAGCCCCGATGCTGGAATACGTCTCTCTGACGGAAATCATGGTGCCAGAGAGTGACTGCTGCGCTATCACCAGCCTCGTCAATGAGAGAAAAATTCTGCAGAATTTGAGATTCCTGGAAATTGAAGCTGGCGGTGATGAACTTGGTGAAATTACCGATCGAGAAGATTTTGAAGACTACACTGAAACACTGGCCTTCATGCTCAAAACCATCGTATCCAGCTGCCCCAAATTGGCACGGGTCAGGTATGACTACCCTGAATGGCACAATGATGATGAAATGACTGATGAGAGTATTAATAGAGAACTGACCCCTTTTATCAATTTGGTCAACTCCGACCAAGTTGGTGAGGCTTACTTCACTCCTGTGTAAATAAAGGTGACCAACACAGAGTAATTTTTGCCATCCTTTCGAAATTTTATTCCTCGTGAATTGAAAGGATAGGAATTCTATTTTTTCTGATAACAGTCTTGACAATTGCTTAATATATTTTTATATTTTACCCCATATAGAAAAAAAAATAATTTCCCCGAGTATGTTGTGAAATCACTAAGGTGATAATTTTTCAAAAGTTATATTTCTCTCAATTTGTATTTGTTTGTATTTGACACAATTGTTTGGAATAAATAATCATTCTTGTCAATACAAAATATTGTTCGAAGGAATTTAAGTATACAAACAAAAAGCATTGCTTGCCGAAATACTGAATCTTTAATCCCTCTCTAATTATCTGTCTTGAATATTGTAGTTGTTGAGAAGGTAATAAATATTTAATTTAATAAGTCTCTAGTTTCTTCTGTTTTCTCTGCTGTTGACAGTTTTTCCTGCAAAACTCATCACACCTTTGACCTGTTGTGAATTCATGCTCCACTCTGTCCTATGAGAAGCTCTAAACACCGTTTTTTTCCAATGTCAAAAAGGGAAAAATGACTGGCGTTAAGCCATCCACTTTCAACTTGTTTTGTGCACTGACACGAAAAAAGGATTAATGGCCAAAATAAATGGTGCCATTATTATTGATGAAAGGCGCGACTAACTTCTATATCTTTCCCGCATAGGAAATAGGTCAGTCCACTTATTCAGTGAAACAAAAATTATTTTATGGCACAACGCAATTGATTCAGAATGAGTTTGGTGTGAGAAGCGCTCTTTTTATTTTGCGTTTAATTGCGATTGCAGCAACTTTCATTTAGCTGGAATTAGAATTTTTTTGGCTAAAATCGATTTTTTTTTTATTCAGAAAATATGGAAGTAATTTATTTTAAGGAATAAATAAATAATAAATAATAATTTTTTCAATAAGATATTTTTATTTGCGACTTTAAAAAAATTCATGCAAAAATTAAATGGTTTTAACTCCAAATCTTTCTTAATAGCAATAAAAGTAACTATAAATGGATTTAATCTGTTTCATAACAGCTCACGGCGCACATTCTAAAATATATTTATTCGCAAATTAAAAATATGTATTAAAAAATCTATCAAGTTGATTTGTAAATCTCTTTTGAAAAAGCAGTGAATGTAAAAGGAATTTTTATTATTTTTGCATAAATAATTATTGCAGAAATGGTATAAAATTGATTTAATTTGTATGAGAATAATAGACACGGCGCGGCGAACAGAAATATGTGCGTCGTGTTCAAGAAAGGGAAAGAGCGAAAGCTAATTCACACAAAAATCGGCTTCGTGCATGTTTGGTCCGGTTTGAACAGCATTGAGCAAAGACATGCGCGAGGATTGCGAGAAATGTGAGCATCCGCGGACCACCCATGAAGTCACCCAACATCGAACTCGCAAGACTGTACACTGTTGCCATTTATCGGTCTCTCCAATTTTCGCATTTGTATGAGTTTAGATAATGAGATGTGCTCCTTAAATGTAATTCAATATCTCCATTTTCTCATTTAGAATTTAAATTTACACAGTTTCGCACAGTTTAAAAACTAATTACAAAACAAAACTTCATCTATGTATTTTTCGTATGTATGAAAAATTGCAACATCGCTCTCATGTGAGGAGATTCTTTTCTCTCTTCAAGCGAGACAAAGCGAGCTCTGTTCGTCTGTTCGTTTCGTTCTGTCGTTACAGCGAAAATCAAGTGTCAAGTGCAGTCGAGTTGAGATTTATGAGAGAAAGGAGCGCGTATCTCTAGGATAAGGTGTATATATTAATCAATTGCTACGTCTATACGTGTAAGTTTCCTCGGCGGTCAGCCGCACACTCTTCTTTTTGGTTTTGCTTTGCATTTTATGTCCTTGACCTGACAAAATTTAAGTTTTCAGGAGCTTAGAGAACGAAAAAATTAAGAGAGAAAAGTTTCGAATGTTTTGCTAGATAAAAATTTTGTGTCTTTTTAAATGTGTATGTATAATTTTTTTGCAGGTGTTAATAACAACCCAAGGAATGGAAGGTCTGATTAACGTGAAGCCAGAACCAGATGAAGATGAAGATGAAGTGGAGTGGAAAGTGTACGAAAAATTGGTCAAAATGGGCCTCTTCGAATCTAATGCATTTTCCGATGAAAAGAGCTACGGAGAAAGCGGCACTTCCAGCAGGAAGCAGAATTTTGACGATAGCTCCGACCTGGACGAAGAAGATCTCAAGAAGAATGTGTCCAAGTTGCTGGCTTCCGATGTGAAGTTAGAGCAGGATGAGGACCTGTTTTCTGACGTTGAAGAAGATCAGTCGTCCGAAACTGAGGCAAAGCCTCTCAAAAAGGGCCGAAGAGGACGCAAACGAAAGCATTCTGATTCTTCCAAGCAGGCGCCCTTGTTTGATTTGGGCGAACTTGTGTTCGCTCAGGTCAGAGGCTACAACCCGTGGCCTGCCAGGGTAAGCTGAAGAACAGTTTGGATCTTTAAAATTCTAACCATATTTTACAGATTGATGATATCATTGAGCATGCCTCCGGCAACACGGATCTTTGCAAATACCAAGTTTTCTTCTTCGGAACCCATCAAAAGTACTTTGCAATTTTCTCATTGTTTATTTTCAATTGTCGTCATTCAAATTGCAGGGGTACTTGTGGGCCTAAATTCATCAAGCCATTTGGTCCTCACAAGGAAGAAATGCTGAACAAGTACAGTCGTAAATTGTACCATCAAGCTTGTGTCGAGCTCCAGTTCAATCCTCAAGCTACTGCTCCACCCCCAGCACCTCCTAAAGCAAAGGTTGAAAATAAGAAACCTGCAGACAAGAAGATCCTGACTGCAAAGAGGAGAAAGTTGACTCTGCGGTCATCAAAACTTCCGTTCTTGACCAGATCCCTCTTCAACAACAGATCCTTCTATTTCGGTATAATTATCGGGTTAATGTTTTGAGTGAAAAAGCATTTTGTTTTATCTCTGTTTTTCTATTTAGGCAAATTCAATGATGCTGGTGTGAATAAGTGTGACAAACCAACCACTTGGAAACCAATCTGGTGTGAGCGGAAACCCATTGGAGAAAACGACGAGGAAGCGTTGAAGGAGGTAATGTTTCATCAAGCATAAAAAAATCAAACTTAATTTAAATTTTTTGGTTTGATTTAGGTGACTGAGAGTGAATTCGGTCAAACACTTGGTAGGGTTGCTTCGGCAGTTGCACTGTTGAAGACCATGGCTGACAAAATGCTGCACAAAGTTTTCTAATCACCTGATCTACACTAATTTGTAAGCTTCTGAAATTCAGTGCTAATTTTGATGCTGAGAAAATTGTTGCAGTCAGCAAAATGTGTACTGAAAATTTTCCTATTTATGTTTATTTATTTCCAATGTTCAGTTTTATTTTTTGCTGGTCCAACATTGAAAGTTTCCTAATATATGGCACAAATATTGAATTTCTTAACTGAAATCTTGAACAGGAGGCCTACAATTTTGCATCTGTCGGTAACTGTAATTAGTTTTTCTATTTATATGAAGATGTACAACTCAGGAATATAATAGTATTATTTGAAGATGAAATAGAGTAAGGAAATTGAATTTCTATAGTATCTTGTATTTTTCTATCTTTAATATTTACATTGCAAGTAAAAATTCAAATACAAATCAGCTATCTCAGAAAACATAATATTGCCATTGTAGCTATTTCTAAGAATATAATATGGCACACTTGCCACAGAAATTTATAAAAAAATTGCAAATAAACAAGGATAAAAAAAATTATTGAAAATTCCGAAAAACTTATTTCGGGAATGATAATGTGGAATGCTAAGAGAAAAAAATGACATGAAAATTGACACAAAAATAATCATTTTACAGAAATACGAGATGATCTCTTCAACTCCAATTAAATAACATTGAATTATTTAAAAAGTTAGTAAGATTTAATCGGACAGAGAAGAAAACGATAAAATTAAGAGTGAAATTAAGTGCCCATTAAAAATTGATATTTGAATAATGAAAAAACATGATTCACAACCCACAATTAATTACTTGATATTATAAAAAATAATGAATTTTTTTCAACATTACTATTAATCTCAAGCGTAATCGGCTGTAATAATTCTCGGGATTCTCTAGAAGGTCTGTTCAATGGTCAATGGCCCACAATTTTCACTCTCGGGGGGTTTGTTTTGCCTGCCGCGATGAAAAGAACAACAGGCGCGCGCGTGTCGCATGCAAATCAAATGGGGCGCCGCTGCTGGGGGTCACCTGTGGCGACGCCGGAGATGAAGCAACAGGAGTCTCGCTCGCGTGTGCGAATCCACTTGCACGGCCAATTACACAGATTGAACCTGCGCGCAGAAATCGCGGCGACGGCGACGAAGTGTCGTCCTCGCCTATAAAAGGGGGTGCGACGAAACCGCGGCGATGCTTTTCGTTCGGACGAGTCAGACGCATGGAGAGGGTGTTCCTGCGCAAATCCTCGCGGGTGCTGGGTTTGCCGCCCGAAGCGACCGTCTGGAGTCGGGTGTACTCCCTGGTGATATTCCTGCTCGTTACGCTCTCGTGCCTCCACGTCCTCTACAAGTCAGGCAAGGCTGATATATCGACTGGATTGCTTTTTATTCCGAATCTAATTTCAATCACGACAATCTTAAAAGCGATAAACGACCCTTTTGATTTTATTATTCAAAGTCAGATTTTAAAATGAATTTGTAACCTCGGTTGTTCTATATTTTGAAAATATTTAATTACACAAATGTATTTTAAAATTGATTCTTTATATTTTTTTCTGATTTTTTTTTTCTAAAAATTGTTATTAATGAAGTTTTTCTGCCTCCATCTAACATAAATTCTAATTTATATTTAAAAATGTGTACCATTAATCCAAATTTACTTAACGTCCATAAATTTTTCCCACAAATCAACTTTCAGGTCTTGAGCCTCTTTTGGACAGACGCTCGGACGTGACCCTTTCAATAGCCTACATTTTTGACTTCATGGCTCGGACGGCGCGCGTGATTAGTTACATCATTATGCATTTGCTCACCTACAAGCATGCCGGCGAGTTTGATAAAATCTACCAAATTCTGGTAACAATTTAATTTTTTTCTTTTTATCAAATTAATCAATTTTTAAATTTTTTCCCTCCAGGTGAGCACAAAGTACAGGGTCACCGGTGACCTGTCGAAGAGGAACAACGATGCGATTTTATTCACGGTGGTGCTGGCGATGATCAGGGTGATGGTGGCCTTGGGCAGAGTTGTTTTTCGCTCGACCGGGCAGCCAGTCAGTCTGCTAAACACCTTCATCACCATGCCGTTCCACCTCAAGTTCATTTTCAACTTTTACATGGAGCTGCAACTGTTCACCTTGTGCTCCGAGCTGGACCATTCGTTCGACTCGATTAGCCACCGACTGAAGCAGCTCAGGAAAAATTGCACCTCGAACTCGATAACTGACTCCGGACTGGTGAGTGGATTGAAAGTTACAATATAATTTTAACGATGATGATTATTTGACAACGCACTTTTTCTTAAAATTATTCTATTATATTTTCTGTGATAATTATAATAATTCGAAACTTTTATAAGTGAAATTCAACATAGTTATGTGAATTTTCTCAATTTGAACACTTCCTGCAGTAAAAAGCGCCTGCGTTTTTACGAGTTATGCAACACGTTTGACGTGGCCGTCACGCAAGTTGCATAAATACCTCAAATACGTTTTATAGCTTGTGCGTGGTCAAATTTTCTCTTTATTTTTTATATGAAGACGCGAGCAGACGCGAGTAATACTGAATGATTTTTTTTTTACCAAATTTTAGTTTCAAAGAATACAATTTTGTTTTAAAATAACATTCAAAAATTATTTTAAAAATAGTTTTCTTCTGGTTTTTCTGGGATGAATAAGATCTAATAAATTTGTGAGTCTTAATAAGAGTCTATTTATGTACTTAGTAGATACACTTTTGTGTATTTAGATTTAGAACCAAAAAACTTCCCTCGCGAATTTATATGGGGTATTTTCCTATATTGTGTTTGAAACCCTCATATAGCTACTGTTATAAAACCTTTGTTATTCGTTTGAACCTTTTCATATCAAATAATTTTCCTTTTTTTATTATCCCTGTGTCATTATTTGTTACGATACAATGTTATTATACGAGGATTGACTTTCCTCTTTTAGAGAGGATCTGATCCGAGATGGGAGCAAAACGAATTCAAAAGATTGGGACGCATTAGGTTGATTGCTTTCAATTATTTTGGAAAATTTTTGCTTTATTAGAGATATTATATAGCTTTTTAATAAAATTAAAAAAAAAAAAAAAAAAAACTGGTAAAAATAATAACAGAATTAATCGAATTAATAACTGGCAAATTTAAATTTATACTATTTTCAGCATTTAATGTATTTAAAATTTTGCCAGGTTTTAGTGGACAAATGGAGATTGCCGATGATGCAACAACTAAGTCTGCACACCACCTATCTCGCCTCGTACGCCAGCACGGTACGAAACCTTCGAAGAGCGCACTCCACCCTCTCAAGCCTTACCGCCAAGGTCAACGCACTTTTTGGCGTTCGGCTGCTGGTGGACGTCACGGCCCAATTGACGGCGCTGCTGCTCCGATTGAAAATCATCATAATTTGGATTTTCAGCGTGCTGAGCCCAAACGCCGAGAGGGTCAATGAATTTGCCAACGCAATCGAGCTCGAACGAGCGGCGTCGGCGCTTGTTCTGTGCCCTGTGCATATCGGCACCGTGTATGCCGTCGTCTATTTTTGCACACGGACCGTTAAAAAGGTGCGCATTTGATAATAATTAAATATAGAAATCATTATTAACTTATTTTTAAATTATCTAAACTTTTTGTATAAAATTGTTGAAATCTTTAAAAATTTCAAAATATTATTTTAATTTTCTGTGAATTTTGCAGAACGATCTGATTTTGGCAGAAGTTCATAAATTGCTAAACCACTCGTTGGAAGAAGACAATCGACAGGAGGTTGGTGGTGTTAGCATGACAAATAATCATTTCGTCTCTTGCATTTGCACAGAGCTGTATATATCAAGCATTATTTACTTATTGGATGAATGTTTGCTCAATTGAGACTAAGATTGGAGGAGTTGTTGAATGTGCAGAATCACAATCGAACGCGTCACGCACTAAAACAACCAAATAGAGCGAACATGTCAGCAGATTGCTTTCCGTCGTATTTGAAAAGCTTTTTTATCTTATGCAACTCCAATTCAGTAACTAGAATATAATTGAAAATATTGTCTACTTTTAATGAAGCAATTCAGCGCAGTTTATATTCTTAATAGTTATTAGACTTGTTGTAATTTGCTCAAAAGTTTTAAACCTTCAAACTGCAAAGGCGCGCTCTAATGGGATTCTCATCACACGCTCTTATCGTAATTAAGTGTCCCGCTTTTCTTATTGACAAACCCCTGAACAAATTACTTATAAACTAATCTATTTCTAGCTGCAAATATTTGCCATGCAGCTGTCACAAAGGAAAGTTCAATTTACGGCTGCTGGAGTCATGCCGTTAGATTTCTCGCTCCTCTACTCGGTGAGTGTGCTTCACAAGTTTTAATTAAGACTTGATTTTAATTAGACCTATACAGCAAAACTCTTAATTAAGGCTTTAGTTTGTTATTGAGACCCTCTTTTGTTTTTGCAGTTCATGGGAGTCGTGACTACATATTTGGTGATATTAATCCAATTTGGGGCTTCGGTGCCTAGATATGCAAATAATGATTCAAAATTGTGCGTCGACTTGTTAAAAAATTTCCTGATAAATGCGACAGCACCCACGTCTAATTAAACATAATTTTAATAAATTATGTAGTGTAAATAATAAAAATGTTATTAAATACCTTAGTGTTATTATTTTATTACAATGAAAGTCGAATTTTTGATGATTAATGTATCATTATTAAATACTTTTCTCTAGATCACATGCCACCGGACATCACATTTTTAAACATAAATAAATATTTACATTTAACTGATTGCCTAACCTAAATTATGGAAATTATCACAAGAATCAAGGAGTGAATTAGAAATGAACTGGCACACCAGCATTGAAAATTTAGTTCAATGGACGCAATTTTTGAAAACATGAAGTGGCGTCCAGATTATCTAAAGTTCTAATCAAAACTGTGAACTGCTGTATCACTTAATTGTACTACCACAGGCTACGTTTCAACTATTCCACAGCATTAAATATATATCACAATTCAAACGATTTGACTTGTGACTAATTAATTTTCACTAAACAAAGAATTCTTCGCATGGTGCAAAAATACCTCCAAGGATTGGTGAGATTGTGGTGACAGGTAGTTGATTTAATATAGAGCTGAGAAATAAATTCATGACGCCATTCCCTGAGAAGTCATCTTTCAGAGCTTGCTTCAGTTACAGAATTAGTGCATAAATTTACCTGCAACAAAGAAAACCAAGTCAGAAAATCAAGGCAAGCCGAAATTCTTCACTCGATTACATTTTTGGCTGATGAGACGTTTGAAGCACGAGCAGTCGATTACGGCTTTGTCGCTGCTTTCAACGAGATCATTTTGTTTGTTGGCAAATCGCAAAAACACCTAAAATTGTGAAAAGTCAAAAACTTTTGCAGTAATTCACATTTCTCCTCCACTTACCTCTTCAAGTGTGGTTTGAGAAAGGGAATAGTCGTAGAGGAAGTTGTTGGTTCTCGCCACTTCGAGCGCCCCAAGTGCAGACGACAGCTTGTGCGAACCAGTGGGTAGCTGGAAAACCAGTCTTGTGTGGTGGCTCTCGCTAAGTACTGCTTCTGGCAGCATTTGCTTCATGTGCTGCTCCATTGCCCCAGTGCTGCCGACAGGGCACCTCACAACCAAAGTGTAGCCGTTGCCAAACCTTAATTTATACAATTAATAAAAACATTTCAAATTATTTTTGAAAATACTGACTTGCTCTTCAAATGTTGGGCACTTCCAAGGCAGGAAAGTTTGCCATTCACCATCACGGTCAGTCTTGAGCACAGAGCTTGGCACTCCTCCATACTGTGGGACGTTAGAACGACGGATCGTCCTTCCCGAACAGCGCGAAGAATGCAGCGCCACAAAAAGCGCCGAGCTGCTGGATCCATTCCACTTGTCGGCTCATCCTGCAATTCAATTTTTGAAATAAATAATTCAATCAATTGAAAATACGAATTTTTACCAAAAACACCAGGGGTGGATTTCCGACAAGTGCAATAGCTGTTGAAAGCTTTCTTTTGTTACCACCGGAGTACGTCCCAGCACATTTGTCAGCATACTGAATCAGACCCAAGCGAGACAACCCTTCGTCCACCGCCTAAAAGAATAAATTATTTTGAAATAATTTAAAATAAAAATCATTTGATTACTTGAGGCAGCTGTTGACTAGGAACGCCTCTCAGTTTGCAATAAAGTTCCAGGTGTTCCCTGGCGGTCAAAAGGGGATCCAGCGCGTCAAATTGAGGACAGTAGCCTAATTTACGACGCACCAAACGAATCTCGGTCTGGATGCTGTGGCCGCACACAAATGCATCTCCTAATGACGGTTTCGTGTCTCCAGTTAGCATCTTTTGGCACAGACAGAATTATTAAAATTTATTACTTAAGCGAATTTAAAAAAAAAAAAATACCTTAAATGTTGATGTTTTTCCTGCTCCGTTCAGGCCAAGAAGTCCAAAGCACTCCGCCCTCTTAACGCCGAAGCACAGCTTATTGACGGCTGGTCTGCCTCTCGGCTTGTAAATCTGTGTTTTATATTTTCAATTAATTTCATAATTATTTTTAATCTTCAAAAATTACCTTTGAGAGATCATTGATGGCCAACACATGTTCGTCACTGCTGCTCAGTTTGACTCTTTGTCTTTCAGCCCCGACGTCTTCTTCATCATCATAAATGTCAGACAACATATTTTCACTCAATTTAGGTGCTCGCTATATATTTCAAATTTGTAAAATACAAATGTCAGGAACTCATCGACTTACATTCAATTTTACAAGAATCCACTGCCATACTGGGTCAAAAAATCCAAACTCTATAGCAAGAGTGATTGCGAAGAAAATGAATCCTTCTATCAGCATGGCAAACAAATTTTTTCCAAGAAACTCCCATTCAAATCTGTTCTTCCTTAACTCCAGACCTGCAGAGAAATTTATTTTATTTTTAATTCCTTAATTTGCAATGTATTGGAAATTGGAAACTTACCAAAAGTTGCAAATGTTTGAGCAGCTAAATGATTTGTGGCCATTTTCATCAAGCCTTGGCCTAGGCAAAAGTGCGGGAAGATGAGGAAAACTTCTTTTAAAATGGAGCCAATGAACTGCAACTCCTAATTTAAATGCAAAGAAAAATATAATTATAGAAGAAGCAAATTTTTATTTTTACGAACCTCGTCATCAAATATTTCAAGTACAAAAACGGCAACAGTAGTGACAATTCCAACAAACAGATTCCAGCAAGCCAAGAAAACAAAAGCTGTGCTGGAGACTTTGGCCATGAAGCTGGCTGGGTACATTAATGGGATGCTGGACCACCTGGTGAGCAAATAAATTACATATACGAGTCTTTAAATTAAGTCAATAAGCGCACCCATAAAAGACGAGCAAAAGTATCAGGCCTGGAAGATTTTCACTCGAAACATAAGCCTTCTCGTCAAATATGAGGAAGATGAACACGCAGAGTGTGGCCGAAACTAAATAGCTCATCTAAATAGAAATGATATGAAATTTATCTACGCAGTTCAAAAATAGTATTTCTTTTACCATATCCCAGAAAAAAGCTGCGATCCAGTATACAGCAGCATCTACTCCAGAGACAAATTGCAAATGTTTTGCTTTGGAGGCTCTTTCCTCAATTAGCGTCACAACGAACGACGCCGGCACAAAGCTCATGGCAAAAATCACAGCTATTGCATGCAACAGGCTGATACTGGATTGTTTGCTAGAAATTGGAACAAAGCAGAATAATTTTATGAATTTCAACAAGATCACGATAATGCTTACATCATTTCTTGGGATAACTGGGTAGGTGTGAAGTTCATGGGGTGATTGATGGCTTTGATGCCGTAGAGCTTTGGGTTCTCGTTCTCTGGGAGGGAGGCTCTCAGCACAACATTGTTGATGGCATTCATGTATGAAACTGACATTGGCCAGCCTTTGTTGTTGAACCAGACCTAGAATTGTAAAAATTAATAGTAGTAAAATAAATATTGATTATTTTTAATACCTTGATGTTGTCAAAGATATCTTCTTGCTTGATTCTTTCGGTCAGGTTCTCGGTTACGGTTTTGTAATCGTCGAACCTATTTTGACCTAGGTTTGATGCCCGGTCAAGCCGACTGATGCGGTCAAGAACGTTGGAGATATTAATACGATTTGTGGGGTTGTAAACGCCAAGAGAAAAGCCACCGTATCTAGTGAAGAAAATCAGTAGAAAATGAAATAAAAAAGAACTATATGTGCTATACATACCTTATTTTGTAAAAATCGTCTTCAGTCTTTACAAGCCAGTCGGACACATTTCTTCCAGTGAGATCGTGGAATAAGTCACCAGTAGCAGCCTGAAGAAATTCATGCATTATATAATTATTCTAGTCTTTCTGAAAGGTAATTTAAATACCTTTATCTTCTGCGGACGTGGCCCTCCAGCACCAGCAGGGCAAGTCTGTGTGCCTCTCTGACATGAACAGCTTGGAGATATCTGGGAAATATTCTCTAGAGGTTCGGCAAAAATCTCGCTTGGTGCCACGCAGTTGTAGGTGCTAAACAAATTAAGAATAATCAAACTTTGCATCAACCAAGTTTACAGCTATTCACAAACCTTTCTCCAACACATCTTGTGCCAATTCCATAAGGTCCTAATATCTGGTTCTTGTATCGCTGGGTCCAAATGTTATCAGGAGATTGAACTTCCAAAAACATGTTATTTGGCTCCGTGTACATCCAAGGGTGGAGTTCCAAGGGAGGTTCTTCTTGTAGTCCTGGCAGAATCATGGTGAACACAAAGGCTAAGCACACAAATACGGCTGGCAGCACAATCTGGTGAAATTGAATAAGTACTCGGAATAAGAATCGCTGAGACAAAAGCCATACCTCACAAAAGAGTGCTTTCGGATTTCTCCTTGTGTGATGGAACCGCTTCGTCTGCAGAGCCATGAATTGTCTCCAGCGCAGTTTTCTTCGGCCAGACTTTGTATCCCAGTAGTCGGAATCGAAACTGTCTGTGTCTCCATTTTCTAAATTGCTGGGATCCTCTGTTGATGCTCTTGTGTCTAAAAAGATGAGACAAGAGTCAATAAAAAAGATTAATATAAAATGGTCAAAAGATATTTATGTTGGGCACGATCAAAAACTCACACAAATAAAGCAACACTTTAACTTACATTGAACCTTGTTTCCGTTCGCCTGGATGTAGATATTTCTTCTTTTTCCTGGGCAAAAAGCAACAACCACTTACAAATCAAGCCACATTCAAGGGTAAATTTCACTCGTAAATACCTTTGCTCGTCTGTTTCACAGTTGCTCCGTTTTTCAAAGGGGGTACTTGAATATTCTCACTTCCACCATTGTTCACAGGGGCACTTCCATTCAGTTTTTTTCCTAATAACAATAAATTACATAAAAGTTGATTTTAGAAATCAACAAAAATTCAAATTCATACCGTTCATAAAACGCTCGCTTTCACTGTATTCTCCATCATGTGCAATTTTCAAGAAGATTTCCTCCAGCGAAGTGTCGGAAATTCCATATGAATTGATGCCCACAGATTCACCTTGCTTGTCTAGTATGTCCAGTAGACTTTGCAGTGTTGGAAGCGCACCTTGCCTCTGTGCCATTGTGAACGGCAGGGAATAAACAAGCTCTTGTCCAACGGCTTCAAGGAGTTCAGCACTTGGGATGCTCATTTTTACAGTCTCAGTTATTTTCTTTATCTGCTCAGATGTAGCCAAATCCGAGTCAGGTTGCGATCCATTGTTCTGTGTCCCGTTCTGCTGCGCCTCTCTATTCGCTTTCTATCAAATAATTTATCATGCAACTGTAAGCCAAAAATCCTCAGAACTTGTCAATATACCTCTTCCATGCAAGATATTCTCTCCACAGTTAGGTAAAAACCAGAGCCAAATCTAGCCTTCAGGAACAGGCTCGAACCACAGCACTGAAGGTTTCCTCCAGAAATAATTGCGATTCGATCAGCAAGGAGGTCAGCTTCGTCCATGAAATGCGTTGTCAATATCACAGTACGATCTAAAATAAAAATTTGATTCCTAAATTTTTTGGAAGTTTTTATCTCTCATACTTTGTTTGTATTTGACTAAAAGTTCCCAGATGGATCGTCTTGAAAATGGATCAACGCCCGACGTTGGTTCATCCAAAATCACAGTTCTATAATGAAAATAATTAGAAAACTAGCTTTTGAATGTAATATTTTGATATACTTTGATCCTCCAACAAAAGCCACAGCAATTGACAGCTTTCGTTGCATCCCACCAGAGAGATTTTTAGACATTTCATGTTTCTTATGCGGCAGGCCTAAGTCGAGGATCATCTTTTCAGTTTCCGTGGTAACTTCGGAACTCTCTCTGCCTTTAATTCTTGCATAAAACCATAGGTGCTCCTCAACTGTCAACCTGTCGGCCAAATCTTATTAGTAAAAGTTTAGTTACTTTATTTATTTCCTAACTGGTCAAACAAGACATTGTGCTGGGGACAGGTTCCAAGACTGCCTCTAATACTGTCCATGTCGGTTCTAATGTCGTATCCATTGACATTTGCAGTGCCCTTTGAGGGTGGGAAGAGGCCAGTCAAGATTGATCTAAAAAAATATTGATGAGAAATGGCGCATTGAAGGTCATAATGTTATTACATTGTGGTTGTTTTGCCGGCGCCGTTGTGGCCTAAAAAGGCAGTGATTTGATTTTGGTAAAAGTTCAAGTTCAGATTGTTGAGGGCGACTTTGCCGTTGTTGTAAGTTTTGCTTAAATTCTTCAGGGCAACTCCAACTTGAAGACCATTTGGTTCCTCTTCAAAGTTTTCTGTCTCTTCTGGAACCAAAGTTAATTTGTTAATTTTAAAGTCATTCAGAAAATGTACTAATTAAATTACTTTTATCAAAGAGTTCGTCTTCTGCTGGAATTGGCCCTGAGTCAACAGGCACATCTTTTCCGCACCAGTAAGATTTTTTGACAAAGAAATACCAAGGTTTAGGCACTCCGTATTCACCTGAGTACGAAAAATAAATAATCAGCCTAATATGCTTACTTTCTATCTTACCTGGGAAAACTGCTTCGATGTACCAAGTGAGCACGGCATAGATCACTGCATCAACAACCAACAGGTGCATGCACGCTTGCAAATTCAGAGCATCATTTAGCAGAGGGCTTTTGTTGTAATTATGCCAGTGAGCGCCAATGCCAGTTTCCTCAAAGAACGACAAATACGAGCAGCCATAACCAAATGCTACATTAGATATCAAGCACTGAAAATTGAATTAAAATTGTTTAGAAAATAATTATTTTAAGTAGAGTAGTAAATGTACCACAAGGCCTTTGACGACTCCAGACATTTTCTCTTCCCAGAGGACAGTGAATGAGTAAGGCAGGTACATCACAAAGAAAATAATGCCACCAGCTGCTGCTGCCAAATTAGCCTTGGAAAAGAATGTGGAAATCAAGAAGCACTTGCTGATGGTTGCAATGCCGTAAATGAGCAGGAAAACGAAGATCAGGGACGGATCCGAGTTTTCAAGCACTTTTCCATACTAAATAAAAATTAAAAATGAATATTAGTGAAGGTAAAATTGAGGGCTCCAATAAGGACACACTCACCACTAATATCAAGGTGAGGAAAAATGTTGTGATCACCATCGGTGTAAAACTGTCCACGAACCAGCCGACCCAGTGCACACCATTTCCGAGGCCCATCACACGCATTGTCTCTTTCAGCCGACGCTCCTTTTCATAAACAATACTCTTCACTATCATTGAACTTGTGTACACCCAGGAAAGGGTCATAAACAAGGGGAAAGTTCTTGATATTGCAAGAATGAACCTGGAATGAAAATAATAATATATAATCATTTTGTCTCTTGTTTGAATGAGCATTCAATACAAACCTATCGATGATGTGGCAAGGATAAGGAAACTGCTGCAGAAAAATTCCAGGTGTTCGGCTTCTGTTGGTCTGCTCTTTGATCAAGCTGGAGTCAATCATGTCTTGAAGATAGGCAAATCCATAAGTGATGTACTTCAAATCGATTCCAGGTCGACGTCTAGGCCCTGGTCGGCGCAAGACGTCTTCCACTCGTTTGGTCGTGTCTATCCTGCCACTGTCCGTTCTATGAAAAAGATAAATACTTGATTAAATATTCTGCATCTTAGCAAAGTTAAATACCTAATTTTGTAAGTAACATATGGAGGAAGCTTGTCCAGAGTGCCATTGCTCTCGGAAACGTCGAGGAAGCTAACAACAGCCCACAATTTGTTGTGCTCCAAAAGTTCCATTCCTCTTTTTACAGCCTCCTCTTCAGTAGCATAGCTTTCAATTTTATTCGCATCGAAGCACTCAAGCAGGATGGTAACATTTACTTGAAGCTCTTCCAATGTGTTCAGTGCCGCTTCACGAAGCTCAGTGTTATTTTGATCCAAGAATCTATATATAAAATTTATAATGCACAATTGAAGAATATTAATCAGATTTTAATTTTACCTCAAAGCCATTTCATTAAGATTTTCCAGCTCACCAACCAAATTTTCATTCAGATTAGCCTTCAATGCAGAGTAAATTCTTGGCCAAGAATCCTAATTTATTTAAAATATTAATTTGTGTAAAAAGAAAGTAAAGCTTCTTCTTACTCTAATGACTTGCAAGCTGACAGTCTGGTTGATTAACGAGTCCTTCAGTCTTGGCATGACTGTGGTTGAGAGTAATGAAGCTGCCTCATACAGCCTCTCAATAATTGCAAAAGATTCGTTAACTCGCGTCATCACTCTGTCAAAAGCAGGTTCGGCTGGGGCATACAAAATTTTTCCTCTGTAAAAAAGGAAACAAATAATAAAAATTTTCAAAGGTGCTAAAATCAATAACAATACCGGATGAAAGGTTTGACTTGGTTCCACATGAATCTACTCAAACTGTTTCTTTCCAAGGTTTTGAAGAAATTGTTGCACTCCGCAGAGGCGTCCGTGTCATTGACGTAATCATCAAAGTGGGTCTCGGAATCTTTGAGTTGATCTTTCAGCTCATCAAATCTATTACCAAATTGCAGGGAAAAAAGTTAAAAACTTGTTAAAACACAAAATAAACAAACAAAGCTCTGTCACATGGGTGTTAATGCTTTTTGTTGCTCTAAAAAAAGGAAAACTGTGCTACAAATGAAATATTAATCAATTAACACAGCTACAAATTGATAAGCAAGCATAAAAAATTAAGTTTACTACTCTATTGCACAAGGGGTTAATGAAGCAAGCCAACGGCGCGTAGGGAAGACGGTCTTAAAAAAATAGGATTGGACCAACGACCTGCGAGCAAATGTTCCTTACTGCGATCTCTGCGGCCCAAAAAGTGAGGATGGTGCGGTTAACTAAACAAACCTGCAGTTTTGTAAATGATATTGTACAAAACAAGCAGTAGCAGATACTTAGGGAGACGCCAATGACTTGCTTTTGCATAAACAGTGAATCTCTTTCTCCCCACCGTGTGCTTTCGCCTCCACCTGCTGCAATTTGGTCCAGGATGCTCGTTGTGTCTGGGCCACACAGCATATTTTGAACGATGGCCACTGAAGTGAGCACCGACGGACTCAGCTTTGAAAAGTTTGCAATCCTCGAGTTCGTCGACTCGGCAATGAGCTTCTCCGTAGGCATGTACTTTCTTCCGACCGTTCCCACTTCACTGCGAAAATATTTTCGTGATAACATGGATTTACAGCCAAGTGATAAATCGGCACTTACTTGAGCGTCTCTTGGAAGGAATCCAGTTTACGAATGTTTTCGGCAAGTCTGGATGACAACTGCCCCAACTGCCGCCAGTCCGACCAACTCAGTTCTCGACCAAGATTCAGCTCCGTGAATTTCCACAGCTGAAAATTTATTTTTGTTCCTTGTCCATTGAAAAAATTTAACCAAATTTCAAACCTCATCCAAAAATTTCTGCGCTTTCACATTTTGCCCCAAAGACCTTGCTATGAAAGTTACATTTGACATTGGCAGTGAGCAAATTTCCCTCGACACATCCTGAGGTGAAGCTTTAATTGGTCCCCAAACCAAAATTGTGCTTAGTGTGGCTGCATCACAGAGCAATGCCCTTGGATCGTTTTGAACGGCAGCCAGTTGACCCTAAAAATTACGTACAATTGAAATACAATTAAGATAAGAGTGAGCAAAGATACATACCAGAGATATATTTTGGGGGACAATTTTTGCAGAAATTATAGAGTCAATCACCGATTCACTTAAATTGAGCTTTTCTCTTCGAAGCATCGATTTAAACTCTCTAGGGTCGTCTAAAAAACTTTCAACAGCAATGAATCCTAAAATTGACATTTTATTAATTGGGTTTGATTTGTGTTTTTTGGAGCTCAATTAATTGATTTACCTTCAACTGGTCTCTCTTTGGCGGCAATTGTCTGCACCAACGACGCCAAATCCATTACGTCTTGGGTCGCCGTTTCCAAACTGATCTTTTCTTTCGCACCCACATTTTGACCCAATATGGACTCAAATTCGTCAAACAATTTTTCAAACCTTGCAAAACGCAATTAATTTTTTTCTACAACCTATTTTGGGCAAATAATCTACTTACAGGGTGGTGTTGAGATTCTGCAAATCTTCTCCCCGTCGCTGCTGCACAGTGCGGTGACAAGTGTTGTTCAAGGTGCAGATGAAACTTTGAAGAAAGGGAAACTGGCCGGCCGACGGCATGGCCTTTTCCTCAAAGTGGCCTACAACACGACCTTTCCAGTGTTAAATTTTTACAAGCCCAAAAGTTACTTACACTCATGAATGTACGACTTGAGCCCTCGGGTTCTCACCCACATCAAGATCGAGAACAAAATCAGAGGCCATACCAGTTCTACCAGGCACCGAATCTGGAAGAGCAATTAATTCACATTGCATGTAAATAAAGAAGAGTGGTAAAAAAAAGCTGGTCTAATAAATTTCAAGTGCTACAGTTTATGATGTAAACTGTCTGACCAGACCGGCCTTGAGTGCCGGCGTTCAATGTTGCTTGCCTTGAAGCTTGGCAAAGAACTTGAGGTAGGTCCGCGTCAATGTAAATTGAAAAGCAAACATTTTTTTAATTGAATGCTAACACTCGAGGTGGATTTCATGAAAAACTGAGGCGGGCGAAGAAAAATGAAAAAAATAAAAGTCAAGGCAAAACCTTTGCGACAAGGTTCGCCGGGTTTAAATTGTTCTCTTTTTATTATAATTCTTAATTTATTACCTTCTGCCTTTTCCTCAGCACCCAGTTTTTCCAGAGAATCAATTGAACCTGCCGGAGGAAGTTCATTTTGGCGCCGGTGTTCACCCTTCAGAGGTGAGGCGCGTTTTCAGATCTGAAACAAAGAGAGCGACTTTTGTAATCGCGCTTCTTAGAGAGATAAAAAGCATCAATTTAAGGCTAATTTCGCACAAAGCAATAAAACAGGGAGAGGTTTAGCAACAAAAACTCTTAACGTAAAATTACAATTTATTGGTGTTTATGACGTCATAAAGATAAAAGAAAATTATACTCTTGCGTGAGCACAAGAAAAGATCGAAGCCCTCTTTTAAAGATCGGTTGCTGGGAGCTTGACAGGTCGATCAGGAGATTCATTTTACATTTATCTTCATGAAAACCTTGGGTAACATGCATGCAGGTGAATATTGCAAAAGATCACTCGAGTCCAGCGTGATGCACTTTTCTTTTATGCAATCTCCGTATAAGATAAATGACCCGAGCGAGCACATGCAATTCCCACGCGCATACTATATATTTTTTTTTATGTAATTATGATCTTCAAAAGGAGAGAGAGGTGCGTGCACCCGCAGCGAGCTCAAGTGCACTCACTGGAGCGCAGGTGATTTTTTTTAAGGCGGTTCAAGGTGAATAGCACACGTAGCAACCACGGCTGCTGCCATGGCAGGAAGATCGAAGCGACCAACATTTTGTTCGTTGCCGGCGCACACGGCGGCGCACAGCTGATTTCTGTCAAAACGGCTGAGGACGAAATGGAAAGTGGAACTAGAGGTTTGTTGGGCAATCAATATTGATATAATTTAATTCACACGCGAGATATAATAATATATTATCGACCATTGCACCTTCTGAAGATAAGAAAAGAAGGTTCTCAATTCACAAAAACTATTACATGGTGATTTCATGAAAATTTGAACCAAGCGAAACTCGTTGCAAACAAAAATGAAAAAATAAAGGACTGAACTGACCCCACAAGGTGACCTTCCGTCTGGTGGTACTTTAAAAACCTAGGATTGTGTCATGTCCAAAGTAAAACTAAGTGGGAGGAATTAATGAAAAATTTAAAAAAATGGGAACAATTTAATGAAAATAAACAAAAATTGCAGAAATTAATTAAGCAAAGGAGTCAGTCAATACTTTGATTAATTAATTTCTGCAATTTTTGTTTGTTTAGTTATTTTTTTTTATGAATACCTGCTACTTTTAAAGTACCAGCAGATCGCATGTCGCCTTTTGGGGTCGGTTTTAATTTTTTTTTCTTAACAACGAGGTTTGCCCGGTTTAAATTTTTATTAAATAGAATTCGTTTTGTTGTTATGAAATAATGTCAAAGCAAATGTTGAAAAATACTGCAATTAAATGAATGGAGTAGAACGTCAAACGTTAACAAACGTTTCGTGTTTTTCTCTGTATTGGGAATTATTTCTAATCGTTAAATTGATTAGTGCAAGTAGGCGTTGAGCTATAATATAGTGTTTTCCATACCCAAGAGCAGCATGCACGTTTCTACCGGCAAGGGCATTACTTTCTTAATCGAGTGGAAACTCTCGCGACAGCTACTAGAGTGAGGCCACACTTTGTTTTGTTCGATTACGCTAATGTGCAGTTAGTTTTCTTTCCAACTGCATAGTCTGCTTTGTGCGCTTATATAACACAAAACAACTGAGCCCGGGGCATAGTAGGGGTTGCGATATAAAAAAAGATTTTACTTTAGAGTAGACTTTTAAAAACGTATTGACTGGAATCAGAAATATGAATGCAGTCAGAAATGTAAGAGGTATTGAACTATTTTATCATGGAAAAAAACGCATTAAAAATTCCTATATAAACAAATAAGCAAATTTCTTTGTTTAGGATGATCATGGAAATTATATACATGAAAAATTATAAAAAGGGCTTACAATTCAGCCAGGAGAGAGCTGGAGGATGTTTACAGAGAAAAAAAGGGAACTCTGTAGAGTTCCCTGCCTAGGAGGAATTAGATTGAAATGTCACTTATTGTTAGCTGGAGCAAGACGCTCACTTCAGTAAAAGTGATAAATTTTCTAGTGAATAATAAATAATATTTATACATGACAAATAAACCGGAAGCAGAATTTGGTCAACATCCTAAATCTGAATATTCATTCGGTCAATGTACAGTACAAGAGGGAAATTTTAAAATTCCTTTTTACATAGTTTTACTGAAACTTTGCGAGAAAAACTAGGCTTTAAAGAACGGAATACATATTAATTTTTAATTCAGAGATTAATTTTAAATGACACAAATACTGTACCTTATTGGACAAAATTGCTCTGTGCGCCCTAATTTCCCAGGTTTTAATTAAGTTTTTGATTTTTTTGTGAAACTTAAAGGTACATTTTAATGTCATTTAAAATAAATTTCCTAGTTAAATATCAAAATTTTCGTATGTATTCCAATCTTTAAAGTCAAGTTTTTCTCGCACAGTTTCAGTATAAACATGTAAACACCTCTAAAAAATTAAACCCTGAAACTGCTTCACACTTTACAACACAAACAAAGACACCATAACACTAATTAGAACAGAAAAAACTCAACTATTTGGAGATTTAAAATTCCTGTTCAATCAATGTCCTGTAGGTGTGGGGTGGGTGCGTTCGGCGCTCCCGAATCAACTACTTATGCGGACAAGCGATGAAATTTAGTTTAAAACTCCCAAGAACTAACAATAAGGAAATGAAAAACCTACTTCCTCTGTATAAAGATAATAATTAAAAAATAATAATTTCTATTTAATCTTATCATGAGAAATTCCGTTTCATTGCCCCGTCGGAAAATTACAAATTTCGGGACTTTTTCCCTTCAATTTAAATTTTGCAAAACTTAATTAAATTCTAACAAATGAACAAAATGGACCCGTTGACAACTTTAAAGAGTCCATGGTATAAAATTTCGACGGACTCACCGAGGGTCGCATGACTGCTGACGGTGGAAAGTGCGTATTCGGCAAACGATCGCCGAGCTATGGCTGCGAACTTCCTGCGCGCGATAATCGGCGGCGTGCCTATGAACCGTGTGTATTTCTGGCGAAATGACAGCAGCCGCGACGCAAACCACAAGCACACAGTATACTCAAAACACGGCGATGACGAGCGAGGTCTAACTACACTTTCGGCGGTGCTTTTTTGTGCTGCAACAAAAGCACACGGCGCGCGCTCTCAAGGGCATGTCATAAGCGAGGAGGAGGCGCGGGTTGCCGAATCAATAAAAAAATATATTCATACGCCGAAAAAACCTTGGTCGGAAAAAACAAACACAGTTTTTCTTTTCTACCAAAGTTTACAGAGTGACAAACGAATGACGGCGCAGAAAATGAAATTGCAAACCTTTGCTTTCGGCGTCAAAGGAGCATCTCGTGCGTGAAGTGAAGATTTTCCTCCTTTTGCTGGCGCGGTCGCAGCCTCGACTGCGGCAAGGTATGGACCAAAGGTGCGAACCGACTGACTCAGCAGAAGATCCGTGGGGGTGACTCGATCGCTCATTGCAGCGCGCCTCGCGTAAACACGGCGGTCCGCACGCGAATCAGCTGCATTACGTAACCCTTTCCGGTCCTGCGGGCCCCCCTGGACGAAATTCGCGTGCGACCGGCGGCGGCACAGTGATGAGATGCGCTCTGAGGAACGCAGTCGGAACAGGGTCACAAAATAAATCGATAATCCGGCGGCTGTGCCAGGCCAGCCGCGCGCGCTTTGCTGTTTGTTTTCGCTCGCGTTTCTCTCGCCAAAAGCACGGCTGGGGAGCATCGGCCCCGCGCCTGCTGACGCGAATTAATAATTAATCAAATGCGCGCGTCGAACGAGTGCGGAAATTGCCTTTTGTTGTCTGTCGCAGCCGCGATAACGTGTATTGTTTGATTCCATTTATTATTTACGTGCAAGCCGCGGACTTTTTATTGTGTAATTAAATTTAATGAATCAATTTGGGAAAAATGCTTTTCACGCAATTTATTTCTAACTAAAAAGGATTTCTCTCAAATTTAATAAACAGGAAAATGGTCTAAAATCCAATAAGTATTCGTATTTTCCTATTGCCATATTTTTTTCATATTCAATGCGAAATGCATAAAATTATTTTGTTGTTAATTATAAATTATTTTCCTTTTTTTGTGTGTAGAGAGTTGTGTCGTGTTTGCGTTGTTGAGTGTATTCCAGTTTCCGTTTAAATTTTTCAAAAGAAATTTAACTTTGATTCAGAAATTGAGCAAGAAAACTACTGCTCGGAAAATAAATAAAAACGCACAAATTTCAACTTTTAATTGGAAATCTTAATTTATTCCAAAACAGATTAGTACTTCTGTCTCTAAAAAAATTAATTTTTTGTGAAATTTGTTTTCATTTTTAAATTTTAAATGGAAAAATTAATGTTTTGGAAACAGATATCCTAATCCATATTTGAAAAAAATTAAGATTCAAAATGATAAGTTGAAATTAGGACATTTTAATTCGTTTTCCGAGCAGTGGTTTTCTCAATCAGTTTCAGAATCCACGTTAAATTTCTTTTGTAAAATTGGTAAAATTATTTAACTTGGTCATTGTAAGAATTTTGATGATATATTTAAGATTTCATCATTTTTAGGTTCTTTGCAATTTGCCAAGTTATCAGTATATTTTTTAACTTGTTTTATAAGGTAAGAGACCAAAAGACCGAAATTAAAGAGCAGTTTTTGTTTTGGAAGTAGATCAATATTTCAAAATTTCTTTGAACTATTATATCCTTCAAAATATTTTGTTTATAAACGGCAATCTAGATTGTTTTAATATTAATTAATTTCAAATTTAGAACAACTTTAACTAACATTTCAAACTCTTAATTCTTATTTATTTTTGTTTCAGCCAAGAGCAATAAGAACTTCACAAACCGGCAATCACTCGCGAATTGAGGCAAAGGTTTCTAACGTCGCCGAATGCCACGCTACTTGGCCAAGGTCAGAATAATTATTAATAAGACAAACGAGAATTCGGCTGCGGATGCGAGCCTGACCGTACAGTCTAGAATTATTTAACAGCAGTTGTGGTAAAAATACATATTAATAAAATTATTCAAGACTCTCATCAGGCACAACAAAAAATTTAAAAATGTGGTGGAGTTAATTTTAGAATCACCTTGGAACTTAACGAGAGTCCGAAAAAAGATTTCCATTTTTAAATTCTGAGATCAGAATTTAGAGTTATGCAAGGAAAGGCTTGCGAATGTTTTGATTCTCAATATTTACAGGATTAATTTATTGCACTATCGATTAGATATGATAAATCCTTGATAGAAATTTAAGAATAAAAGCCTCAATTGCTTTAATCTACTTCAGAGCGTTATCAGCCGTTCCCTTTTTTTCGTTTTTTTTTGTCACCGTCTGCGAGTATGTGCAATGTTGGAATTACGGAATTCGCCTAAGTTTCTGCTCTTTATCGCAGCGAGACCGCGTGCACCGCATGCTTTTTTATTTTATTTTTTTGCTTCAAAATCCAACTGGCGCGCTATCGCGGGACCTCCAGCTGTTATCACGCTCGAGTCTCTAGAAGAGCCTTTCGTTGTTTGATTAATTAATCAGCGACGACTCGTCCGCCGAGGCGCTCCTCCTCATTCCGCCATGGCCTGCCGCACTCTCGAGCTCGACGAGCTGCTCGCGAAAGCGCAAAATGAGTTCCAACAGCAGTTCGGGGCGCGACCTGACATTGCCGCCGCCGCCCCTGGCAGGGTCAACCTCATCGGCGAACACACCGACTACAACGACGGCTTCGTACTGCCCATGGTATTTATGTTTAATTTCGGCACTTGAGAAAAAAAAGTGAATGCGCCAGTTGAATTTTATTCCTGGCCTTGGCAATTATTTTTTTTCCAAAGCTCAAGTTAATTTTATCCAAAATCAAGCTAATATTTCTTAATAGGAACATTACTTGGATAGTAATACAAAAATACCAATTGGGTCTTAATTCAACATCAGAAAATTTTCATTTCAACATAGTGAATTTTCCAATGCATGTCGCCAATGTATAAATTTAAAAAAAAAAACTTTTTATGATTCTTTAAAAAAAATGAGGGGACCAACTGAAACTAAGAATAAACGTGCATAAAATCCAATGATAATAAACTAAAGTATTAATATAAATAATAAAATTATAGTTTTTATTTAAAAGTAGCTTAAAATGTAATTTAAAAATATTGATTAAATTTATGAATAAAATAAAGACTTTAAAAAAAGTAAGTAAATCATATTTATTTAAAATTTTAACGCTAGGCCTTGCCGATGGTGACCGTGGTCGTGGGGAGAAAAACGTCGGACGGGCGATGCACCGTGGCGACTGCTGTACCTGAGGCGGACGAACCTCGTCGGGTGTCGTTTTCCGTGCCGTCCAAGCAGCCTTTGTTGCCAGGCTCGCCGAAATGGGCAAATTACGTGAAAGGCGTGATTGCGAACTTCCACGCCGCCAGTACGTTGCGAAACTCGTCGCGCGATTAGTTAAACTCGACTTTGACTCTCGGTGCTTTTAAAGGTGCGGTCGAGGGCTTCGAGGCAGTGATCCTGACCACGGTGCCCTTGGGAGGCGGACTGTCGAGCAGCGCATCTTTGGAGGTGGCAACTTATACTTTCCTCGAGGCTTTGACCAACAACCAGAGCAAACAGTAATTTAATTATTTTTCAATTAATTCAATTTTTGTTTAAAAATGCTTATTGTGAGATTGATTTTCAAACCCTTTTTAATACAGAATAAATTTTGTGGTAGAATAAATTGTTAAAAAGAAATCGAAAAATAGAAAATAAGCTTTAAAATGATAAAAATGGTTTCTTCATTTTTTTTTTATAATATTTTATCCATATCATTCAAATGTTTTGAATGAGTTAAAAGTGAATTCCCTGTAAAAACTTAAAAACTTTGTTCTATGAAGAAATTTACACTGGAGGAAAGATCATGGAAATGAAGAGATCGGGATCTTCCTCGTTGCAAAACTTGTTTTTTTAATAATAAATGATCTAAATTAATAGTTTTCAAATAAATAATTAAAATCATAAAAACAACTTTTGCAACGACAAAAGCCCAAATCTGTTAATTTCCAACTTTTTCTATACTATATTTTTAAATTTATCAAATTATGACAAAGAAAAGCAATTTTAAATTCTTTTTAATTAACTTTCAGATTGAAGGACAAAGCTCTCGCTTGCCAGAAAGCGGAGCACGATTTTGCAGGAGTGCCTTGCGGAATTATGGACCAATTCATTTCGGTCATGGGCAAAAAGGGCAACGCTCTTCTCATCGACTGCAAGTAAATTGACCTTTTTGATTGACGCCCTAAATTAATTACGCCAATTCAGATCGCTGGAGGCTGAGCTGGTTCCTCTCGACGACCCAAAAGTCGCAATTTTGGTGACCAACTCGAATGTGCACCACAACCTGGGGTCAAGCGAGTACCCTGTGAGGAGGCGGCAGTGCGAGGAGGCGGCCAGGATTCTCAAGAAACCGAGCCTCCGGGCAACAAAGTTGGAGGAACTGATGGGTAAAAATAAAAAATAATAGCAAAAAATCTTAATTGCGAGCGTAAAATCAAACCAGCCCAGGAAAAAACGATGGACGAAGTGATTTTCAAAAGGGCTCTGCATGTTATTGGCGAGATTAGGCGGACCGAACAGGCGGCTTTGGCCCTCCGGGTTGGCGACAACGCCTGGCTTGGCCGACTTATGAACGAGAGTCACCAGTCGCTGAGGTGATTCTAACAATTATTTCCTATTCAGAAAAATGTAATATAATTTTCAAAGGTACGACTATGAGGTTTCGTGTCCAGAACTTGATCTGCTGGTGGATTATGCAAACGAGGTGGAGGGGGTCTGGGGTTCGAGAATGACTGGCGGCGGATTTGGTGGCTGCACCGTCACCCTTGTAAGTTTCAAAATATTATTCAAGTTTTATCATTTAAATTTTCTTTAAAATAAATCCAATTTGATTGAATTTCAATTTAAAATTCTAGGTGAATCAGGACGCAGTTGACAAAGTGATCGCCAACATCAGCAGCAAGTATCCGGGAAAAGCCACATTTTACGTGGCAACTCCGAGCGACGGGGCACAAATCGTGAAATTATAATAGTCGCCGAATTGTAACAAAATAAATAATAAATTTGTATTTAAAACTTGCAACAAACTACACCGTGACTTACTCTACTGCTGCTTGTCCAGGACGACTTTCAGCTCCATCATCAAAAAGCTGCGCATCATCGGGTCCTTGATGTTGGCGATGGCCTCCTGGGCCTTTTTCCCACCGTCCTTGTAACGAATGGCCATGATCTCGGCGTACTCGATCCAAACGCAATTGGCACAACCGGACATGCAGCACGTGGTCGGCTCCTCGGGGTCTTTGGTCGCTGTCACTGGGTCTTCGATGGGCGTCGGAGGCTTTTCGGTCGAGCAGAGACGGACATTGGTTGGAACTCGGATGAGGCTCCGAGGGAAAATTAATCGACTCACAGCCTGAAATTTGAAAAAGAATTTGAGTTAGAATTATATTTGAAAGTTTTATACTGTAACTTTGAAAATACTTCTTTCCACCAACTTAATCTGATATTAATTTTTCCTTGGAAGGACAAAACAAAAAAATAACACCAAAATTTAGCAAAATATTTTTGTTTTATTTTTTAGTTTGAATTTCAATCATTTTCATTGTCTGTCCACTGTACAATTGGCATGCTCAAAGCCTTTTCCAAAACTTGCTCCTCATTTGTATCCTCAACTTCTCGATGTTCATCACACTCCATTTGTTCTTCAGCCTCACTTTGCACAATTTCCGAGGCGCCCACTTCCATCTCATTGTCGTCCAGCTCTTCAAAAGAATCCATTCTGCCCTCTTTTGTAAGTTTTCTTAGTTTTTCGGACATGCATCTTGCTTGCTTTTTGCTATTGTGGGTGTAGATGAAGGAATATTTAGGGTCTAATGGAGTCCGTCCCTTCGCTCTAGTGGCAGTTTCCGGAATTGCCTTCTCAGTGCTTGGATCTTCGCCACTCACAGGCCGGAGAATCAAACTTCTGCGTCGCTCGCCAATTCCACGCTCCTCGTCGTCAACCTCCACCTCTTCGTCAACACACATTCTGCGGTTGGCGTTGACAAATGTCTTGTACTTGGCCCACTTTTTCGGCACTCTATTGAGGATCGCTTGCAATTGCTCAGAGATGCTGCTGGGGCCGATGCCACTGATGTTTTTAGCCATCTCATTGTAAGCAGTCTGTGCCTCAGTCACCTGCAAAATTGTTGTTTTTTTATAAACGGAAACAAAATTGTGAAACACAGAGATTTTAAAAAATAATGTCATTTATACCTTTCCAAGGTCACCTTCATCCAGCAAGCGTTTTGAGTCGGTCAAAGCCGGGTCAACCTCTTCCATTATGGATTCTTTGGCCACGATTCCCAGATCTTCGTAGCAGCTCTTCTTGTTGAGCAGAAAGGAAAGATCGATTGGGCTGTAGACAAAGTCGAAAGCATTCAATCTCCACAGTTTCTCAAAAATGTAGCACTGCTCTTTGAGGTCGTTTTCCGCGCAGTAACGGAAAAGGTCGAGGAAATGCTTCCAGTCGATGTGAGTCAGTCGAATCTGGAATTGATAATAAAATTAAGATTCACTTTCAACATATTTTGTGCCTTCATTTACTTGACAAATTCCAGTGCACGGTTGTTTGAGGTAGAGTGCGTAGAGGACCAAGAGGGCGTACGGCCGTCTTTCCATTTCCGTAGGTGGCTGCAGGTTGACCTTGGCGGCCAGAAAGGTGACAGGAGTGAACTCGAGCATCTCCTCTTGGTGCGGTCGGCTGAAGATGTAGGAGAATCGCATCTTGCGCCATTCCTCTGCCAAGTTGGCAAAACATGGGCCCACGGCGCCCTCAGTCTTGTTCTCCATGTTGTTTATGAGGCGGTTTACGTCGGCCAAAGTGGCCAAAAACAAACTGGCAGGCTCTTCTGAAGGCTTGCTGGCCATGATTCTGAAATTTTATCGAATAAGTTTTTTGTAAGTGGAGTTAAGGATGATTTTTTTTTCATTACCTTAAACACAGCGGCGACGATTAAACTTTTCGAAAATTTGCAATGGTCTCTCTAAACCAGGAGTATCGGAATAGTTTGCAAAGTATTCCAATTTAAATTTGTTTCATACATATTCAAGTTTCAGAACGTGACATTTTATCAAAGAGAGGCAATAAATATATGTAAAATTATTCTATATAAAATGCAGTCAAATTTGTGCCAATTTGATTTAATTGAAGCATGTGTTTCGATCAATCGACGACAGTAGAATGAACTTTAAAAAATACATAATTGCTCCATTTTCTCATAAAATGCGCATAAGTTTTCTTTCATACATAAATCAAGAAGCCTAAAAAATAATCACGTCGCCTTACCATAAAATAAAATAATCTTGTTGGGTGAGGCTCTCTTCGGTTGTCTCGCTCCTTTCGTCGGATAGAAATTTTCATGCGACGTCGGATGCAGCGATTATCTTGAGTGCACTTTTAGGAGAGTGGTAAGTTCTGCCAAAAGTGCTTCTGCGACACAATCCATTCAAAATTGAGCCATTTTCGACATAACTTTGACTTCTTGGGCAACATTCAGCGCATTTATTTCTGATAAAAGTGGGCGTGTACGATTAAAACGAGAACGAACTGCACGGTAGTGCCTCCTGCGGCGAGTTTCAGAACTTTTGTTCATTAAATTTCAAAAACTCCGGCGGGAAACAAGCATTCTTGCTTGCATTGCAGTCATGTGCGCTTCGTATGTATCAGTAATAAACAATACATTTACTCGAATTCATTTGACTTTGAGGTGAATATCAGTCGCATCCGTGGAATTAAAAGTTATTTTTCGCCACAAGTACTAGATAAATTTCGGCATTTTTTTTTCACATTTAAATTTTTCCTTGACAATTAAAACCGTGTTTGTTCTATTGCTGAGCTGATAAACATTCCGAAACATTCATTCTAATTCAAAATGAGATAAAATAACTCTGACGTGGATATCAGTCGCATCCGTGGACAGGAAATGACTTTTTCACCGCAAGAACTAGTTTTTTTTTTTGCAAATTTGGAATTTAATTTCTTAGAAAATATTTCATTTTTTTTTTTAAATTTATTCTAATTCAAGAATTAGAAATTACAAAATATCTTTGACGTAAACATAAGTCAAATCATAAGTGAACTAGATTATAATTTTTCTTCACACTAGACCTAAATTTTTTTGACACATTTTGGGTCTCTTACATAATCATTAATGATCATAAGTGAGAATAGTTTTTCATTAAAATACTTTAACCTAAATATTGTGTCATTTGTACAAAATGCTATTTTTATTTTGGTTAATTTTATTTTTTGGCAGCCTGAACGAGAGAGATTGTTACATAACACATTTGAAATCGATATAGGATGAAAATCAATATAGGGGAGTTTCCTGATTCGACGAACAACAAATGCTTAAAAATTGGGACTGAATTCAGTGAAAAATTCTTGTTCATCTGTTAAAAAGGTGAATTTAGTAACTTTTATACTGTAGAGCTCTGCACGCCAAGGGAGTTTTGCGGTGCGTTTGGACGAGGAAGTGGTTTTTTTGTTTTTGTCGCCCCTCCTGGCTTTTGTCCAAAACACATCTTTTGCGCCCACTTTAGCTGAAGTCAGCCTATCATGAGACGAGCAAATTCTTCCATTTTAAAGCAAGTAGCATATCAACTAAATTGAATTTGTTGCTCCTTTAATTTCATGCGCCACAAATACTTTTATCACAATTAACAATTGAACTCTTAGAGACAATTTGCCTCAGGAATCTTTTTACCCGACGTTCTCTGAACGAAGTCTCCGCTCGCTTTATCAAATATGAATGACCTTGCGCAATTTCATCTCTGCGATGATCATTTAGTGCTCTTCACGCTGCCTCTCGAGTGATAAGATAGGAACATTTTCCCACACTATCTAAAAGCAAAACAAATCATTATTCAACAGCAGTGCAGTGCAGCAAGGCTTCACTTTCAGCGTTTCCTTCTCATTCGGTACAGATTATTTTTTCTTTAAATAAATTTTATAATTAAAAAATTCTTAATCTTTAGGCAACATTAGAGAAGGAAGATGACTGTCAGTCTCCCGAAATGTCTGCAGCCACTCTACGAGGGCATCAACACACAAACTTATCCTGAAAAAGACTTCCCCAAGCCTCCACCTTGGCTCGACCCGTTGCTCTTGACCCGAGGCCAAAACTTTGCCAAAGAACACTTCTACGCCCTTGCATATTGCGACATCCTGTCCCTGATTTTCCTGTTCTCCTTCAAAGACAGTCTCGACCCTCTGATTTTCACTGGGAATTCTTCTTGCGTCTTTTCTGCCTTCAACCGATACGTTTCAACTGCAAGCAGAGTCGTCTCGTGGTACGAGAGCGACATTTTCGATCCAACTTCCAAAGCTGGAAAAAACTTGGCCTCGGTAAGACAAATGCATCGGCACGTAATCGACAGGCTGAAAAACGCGCAGGCGAAAGAGTTTGCTGAACGGACAAAAATTGAAAGACCGATGGCCAGAATCGCTCCTTTTCTGAAAAAAGATTTGGATCAAATGAAAGGATTGGACAAACAAGCGCACAGTGTCGGCACTTTGCCCCTTAACCAGTGGCACTCTGGAATCACCCAATTTGCGTGAGTTTAAAAATTACAAAAACCAGTCAATATTTTTAAACAATTACTTCAGGTTTATTGGAATGGCTGTAATGTATCCAGAGAAATTGGGCATTGGATCACACACTGAGGCCGATTTGGAGGCTCTGGTTCACTTGTGGGCCGTGCTGGGGTACATGATTGGCATCGAGGACAAGTACAACTGGTGCATTGACGGTCTGCAAAAATTTCGAGAAAGGGGTCTCGCCTTGAGAAGAAGTTGTATTTTGCCGAATTTGCGAAATGGCGACGCAAGCTGGGAGCACATGTCGAGGTGCATGGGACGGGGCACAGGACTGTACATGCCATCAGTAACTTTCGAAAGTCTCCTGTTGTACTTGATGTTTGTATTAAATGCACCGATGAATAATTTGTGGGCAGTAATCTCATGGCGTCACAAAATTTTGTACTGCATTTCAAAGATCATGCTTACGATAGTAATTTATTTGCCAGGAGCAAAAGAATTTTTCAATCACTTGACTCGAATGGGGCTCAAAGTTGCTCAAAATGCAAACCCTGATTGGTTGCAAAGGGCTAAAGAAAAGGCAATGATTTACGAAGAAAATTTTAAACGTGTTAAGCATGATTGAGAATGTAAGGCTTTAGTCACTTAAGTAAGGGAGTTACGAGAGCAATATTTGCATGTGATACGAATTATACTCAAAAATAAGGTAGTCACAAAATTTTACGAGGAGAAATTAAAGTAGTATAATAAAAACTAATAAAAAACTTAAATTAAGCTTCTTCTTCTTCTTCTCCCTCGGTGTCTGCATCACTCTCAGCATCACTTTCAATGGTGACTTTGCTCTCCTGAGTGTTTGGTTGCGTCTGGACGACTGGTTTCTCTTCACTAGCTTTAGTCTCACTTGTCCTCTCACCTTCAGAGGATTCCAAAAATTTGTCCCAATTCTGAAGTCGCTGCTGAACCTCAGCATCAGTTTCTCCCACCCTAAAAATATTCAAACTGGTTAGTAAATATATATACATTTATTTTAGTATTTAAAAGCTTTTAATTTTTTTTGCATAATTAATATTTGAAATTACTTGTAAACTGTTTTTCCGTCCCACGTTTCAGCGGTTATTTTCCTCTGGCCAAACCAACGGTTGTTTAAAAGCTGCACACACTGGTCGGCCTCTTCGGCGTCTTTGAAGAAAATTTGCGCCACACCGTCGGGATTCCTCTGCAAAATAAAATACAAGAGATATAATAAAAGTGTTCATTACTTAGAGGGGATCGCTGAGTAAACTCTGCTCACATCGTAAATAATGACTTTTCGCACGTCGCCGCACTTTTTGCACTCCTCTCTGAGATCCTCCTGGTACTCCAGGATCAGCGCCACTTCCTTATCGAAAATGCTCGGCTCGAACAAGTTTTTCAAGACCACGACCCTCTCGTTTCGCTCTCGCTCTCCGCGCAATTTGTCAGGTCGCCACGCCAGTAATCTGAAATGGCAAAAAATTATTCACAGTCGGCCCTTGAAAAAAAAATAAATTACTTGTCCTGCATCTTCTTCATCCTTTCCTTTTCCTTCTTCTTCCTCTTCTTGGGCTTGAGTTCGGGGTTAAACGCGCCCTTTAACTGGAACTTTGCCGGTTCCACCTGGACCTTGTGACCCCGCAAGTCGGAGCCATCGAGCAGTTTGCAAGCGAGGTCAACAGACTCTACCTGAAATGAGAGAACAAACTTTCTTTCACCTGCTGTTTTGAATACACGAGCAAGGAAATAAACTTGGATGCGGAGAATTAATGTACTTTGTTAAAGAGGCAATAAACACGCTTTCAACAAGTAATTTATCGACTACAAGACACGGGACCCAGGAAGAAAGAGTAGAATTACAAAAGAATGTTTCACGCTTCAAAATCCATGAATTTCTGTGAGAGTTACAGATTTATATTCTGAATTGAAATCGTGAATTTTTGGGCATCAGAAATAATATTATATTTTACTGGGAAAGTTTGTAATTTCAAATTGTTCATAGACGTCAAATATTTTTTTGCTGCTGTTTAAGGTTTCTTTCAAGATTAAAAAAAAAAAATTATATTAAAAAATTATTAAGTCAAAAAGGAATGCAGAGAGCGTCAGGTCAGAAGTTAATTTAGCACTCTTTCAAGCAGATATTTAAAAAAAATTAATTTACATGCTTTTAAAGTTTCTGATTGTTTTTTTAATGCTGTAAATTAAATTTCCGATAGCTTTAGTTTCTCCCTTTTTTTAAATTATATTGTAATATTTAATTTTGAAATATTTTCATGATTTATTTCAAATTGAGCTTGTGGTAAACTAATTTATACTTCATGGTGATTTGAATTTAAAGTTGGCTTTTCCTCAATGGTTAATTGAGTTGTTTACTGTTAAAGGAAAACAATATCCAGCTGTATTCTGACCAAAATTATGAAAAATATTAAATTTGTAAAAATAAGTATAATTATTAGACAATTACTTTTGGCGAAAAAATTGCAACTGAAAAGGTATTTTTATAAAAAAAAATTATTATTTCATGTAAAACACTTTTTATAAAATTAATTCTCTACTAATTTTTGTCAAAATAATTTCACAGCTCAAGAATTATGGCTGCAGCCCGCAGCCGAAACATGTAGTGCAGGATATTGTTTTTTCTTAAACAATAACCAACTCATAAATTCGAGGAAAATTAACATCACCACGAATCAACCCTTGATCTCGAAATTCTACTACAAAAAATTTTTACTTAAAAACGACGAAAAATTATTAATATCATAATTTATGTTGGAACCGAAAAACGAGTTATGTAATAAGCTATCGTCACTGAATATTACGAAAACACTGCCAGCGTTAAAAAATTATCATTGCAATTGTCAAAGAGCCGGTCTGTCAAGAGGGCTCTTATCTGGCGGCAATCTGAAATTTCTTGACAAGTGAGCGAAAACTATAAAAGTCCCTAGATAAAAAGCCGACGGTGGGCAGCAGAATAATTATGTACGATGTCAATTTCCAGTTTGCGGCTGCAAATTGTTCGCTGATCAATTAGCGTGCCATGCGTGACCGACGGCAAGAGCAAAATAAGGTTGTTGTGAAAAAAAAAATACTCGAGCGTGGTCGTCTTTCTTAAGTGGAAAATATGAAAACACGCTTCGGAAGGAGAACAAGATGAATTTTCACAGTCTGGTGGGCACGAAGAGCAAAAACAAATTATTGCCCTGCCGATTTGAAAAATTTCTCTTTGAACATGACCAGCGCGATAAAATCTGATCTTTTTTTTTAAATTTAAATTTGTGAGCCTTTCTCTGTGACTTGGAGGCAAAACGTGCTCGCGCTTTAATTGGCCGGAATAATTCAGCCGCGAAGTGCCGCGCATTTGCCTGCCAAGCTCATGTGTTGTGTGCTCTGCTCGTGTTTGATACAAAGAGTGCTTTTGTGCTCGGGCGTGAGATAAGCGGGCCAGTTTGCATTTGTACCGCAAAAGTGTTTGCAAAATTCTTCACCGCTCTCCTCCCGCGCCAGCAAAAATATTTACATTTGTTTATGGCGCGAGCAAAATGACTGTTGAAAGAGAGACGGGATTTGAGTCTAATTATTGTAAATAGTGCAAGGTTTTCCTTCTTAGAGCAAATTCATTCATAATTTCAAGCGAAAAACATTTTTATAAATTTTTTTTTTAATTTAAAAAATTTATTTTTATTCGGTTTTTCTTTTCAGTAAAAATTATTACTATTTATAGAAATAATAAATTTTCTGTGAGAAAAAAATTGAAAAAAAAAGCGATTACAAATATTTAATTTATTAATTTGCTCAAGGATGTGAAGCAAAACGGGCTTTGTTCTCATTAAACATTGATTATATATTATATATCTGATATATATTTTATAGACAAAAATATCACAAGGACAAGAAAGTTTTTTTTTCTCTTCCAATATTTTCTTCCCCCCCCCCCCCAAATTTTCTAAAGCCAAAAGCTAATATTTATATAAGGATTTTTTTTTTAATTATTATTTTTGAATAATCCAACAGTTTATTTGACAGTCATATTTAAAAAAATTTCTTTGCTTGTCCCCATGGAATTTACACCATTTTAAAGCATAACTGCATGCTTAATTTGAGGACTAGTTGCAAATTAAGTTTCTAATTCCTCTATAAATGTTAAAAATAATTATTTGAATAAAAAAATGTGAGAAAAAACGTGGTTAATTGAAGATGCATAATTTAACTTGATTGTTACGCGTGTTATTAAAAATTAAATTGATCAAAAACATAATTCTTTTATGAATATGCCAATTTTTACAAAAATATCACAATCGACAATTAATTTATGGTGAATTGAATTTAAATCAAATTTGCCTGATTTCAGATTTCTTAGGAAAGACAACATCGTGTTATGAAAATATCAACCAGACCAATATGGACTAACTAAAATAATAAAAACTCACCAAGGAAAAACAGACTTTACATTAAATTCAATTTAATTAAATTTAATTGAATAAATTAAAAAAAAAATTACAGTGTAATGTATAAATTTGGTTACAAATCCGAAAAAAAAAAATAAAAAAGCAAATCTATTATTTAATAAGAAAAACAATTAATTTAGTAGGATAGTCGACAAAAAAATTATGTGTGTATTCTGTATTTATAATGTGAACAATATTTCTTTTCAAGAATAAACCGGAATAAACAAAACAAAGCCTTTCCACAAATTATCAGGTTCAGAGTCTCATTAAATGGCCACAAGAACGCAAATTATTCATAAGTGAATCAACCGAGATCATCGATAGTGCGTCACCTCAGAGACCGCAGCACCGCAAAACCCTTTTTCCTCGCCACACGCAAATTAAAACATCTCGTCACCCGAACGAAAACACGTAAACAAACATCGCGGCGAGATCTCGAGTGTTTCATCCTCTGATCTGGAGTGACTTGGCGGAAAAAAATCGCGCTCGGTGGCGATTGGTCCGCGGGCGATGTTGAAATTTTTTTTTTACGGGTGAACCGATCACGACGGAACGCGTCTTTTGGAGAAGGTGTGGTTTTGTTTGGATGCTGAGAGGATAGATCTGAGTTGATCGCCGCGGGAGATTGCGTGGGTGTCCGTCCTCTGAATGAACGCGCAAAGGTGGAGAGCAAGGCGAGCCACCTACGCTCGGCAATTACGCCGTCATTCTTAATTTTTAATTATCGACTTGTGGAGCGAATCTTTGCACTTGAAATGCTTCCTACGACTTCGATAAGGAGCGTGTCAAATGAATTATGCCGGAATTTCAGACACGCACAGAAAATAATGCTAAATTAAAAAATATTACATTTGAGTGAGCAAGACGTTCAAAGAGGTGAACAAAGCGGGCTTTAACCTTGTTGACATTTTTATACAGAAAACTGCTCTGCAAGAAATTTATGCGACAGACTAAAATTATATAAAAAATTAAAATAATTGAGGGTTTTTTTGATCTTGAAAGTTTTAGCAAACTTCTTGCTAGTGGTGGTGCCGTTTTGTCCACAAATTCCTTTTCCAAATAATTTGCTTTTCAACAATTGAATATGGATAATGTGATATAACAATTGGGACAAATATTCAACAATAATAATAATTAAAAAAAAAAACACTGTAATAACAAAAAGAACCATATTTACTAGGAAAAAGCCCAAAATCTTCACTTCCATGGTCATCTAAATCGCTTCAAACATATAAAATAAAATCTTACAATTAAACTAATGAATGTATTAAAAAAACATGAATCTTGTTAAATTGAAAACTCACATTTGAAGTTGATTTCAAGAAAACTTTAATGAGACCAAAATAAGATAAAAATGAAAAAAAAAAAGAAAAAAATCTTCCGGTTTTTTCATTTTTGACCTGGAATTCTGTGGCAAATCACAGTATGAAGCTGTTGACTGAATCAGTTTCTTGAATACTTGCTGCAATCTTTTCTTTTTAATGAAGAAATTACAATTTTTATTTTCAATTCTTTATAACTGCTCGATCTTAGTTTTAGTTAGACACGAGAAACCCTAGGTTTGAAAGTCTGTTTTATCTTTTAATTATTTCATTTTTCCTAGCAAAAAAGGAGCCTGGTTTCAATTGTTTACAAATAATCTAAATTAAAGATTTCGCATTTTTTTAAGTTGTCTTTCAATTTTGTCTTGCTCAAGAGGTAGGATCGTGAAAAAATTGGTTTTTAAAAAAAAAGCAAAAAAAAAAAAAACAATATTGCGATTATGTTCAAACTACATCTTTCTGATTTTTAAAAACATATTCCGTTAATAATTCTATATTATTAAACGCGTTTGCGTACAACATGCGCTGCAATTGTTTCACGAATAATAAAATATGAGCCTAATTTGAACAGCTGCGCCTGAAATTGAAGTAAAAACGGAAGCTCGATGTTTTCACTCGATAGCTTTTTCCTCCGCATGACGCAACCGGGGTTTGAATTTGAGAAGTTGACTCACACGCCTCGGACGCGGATTCCGCGGAATGTAAATGAAAAGAACGCCTCAGCACTTTGGCTCTCGCTGCGTTTTACTTTATCCTGGCCTAAATCTGGCAACTTCAGTACGTGCATACGCTAACGAGACATTATACGAGAGTGCTTCGCTTTTTCATTCACTCGCTGCAAATAAATCTTGCAATAAAACAGACGTTATGCACTCACTCTCTGGCCAGATGTTGATGTTCGGCCGGACTTTCATTTTGTTTCGAGATTTTTGGATTTGATTCACAATAGGAATCACTCCTACGAAAACGTGCTTATTTATCGGCGCTCATTGCCTTTTCATCTGAGATTTTTATTTAAATTCGCTGCTCCCGGTATTTTCCCAGTGGCCACGCCAAATACACATATTAAGGTTGAGCTTTGTCTCGCACAGCATTGCACAATACGCTCCCAAGAGAGCGGAATTGCAAAATTAAGGCAACATCATCAAAAGTTCTTCCATAAATCAATCAAAATTTGTTGGATTTGATCACATCAATGGTGAGAAGGGATTCAAGTATTTTGTAATTTTTTCAACATTAATCAAAAGCAAGAGGCCATTTTTCTCAATATGTTTATTATTTTCTTTGCTTTTTAAATTTTGAAATCGTTTTGAAATGAAGAAATGACTTTAAATGGTAAATATTTTAAGATAATAGAGTTTAAAAAATTTAATTTAATTTAATATTTTTATAAAAAAAAAATAATTGAATTAAATACTGATGTTAATTTAAATATTTTGTTATAAAATGGTTTCATATAAATCATAATTTACATCAATTTTACTGAAATATTTTCACCCATTTCAATAGTTGAACGGTTATTTAAAAATTTAAAAGCCAAATCAAACGAAGATAAAAGAATAACATTTTGTAGATGGTGTAAGAAAATAAAATTATAACTATTTAAAAAAAAGATAACAATAAATAATAAACCATTAACTATTAATTTTATCATCACTGAATTAAATTATATATTATCATATTCAAGCACTAATAAAATTAGGATTTACCATTTTATATATTTTTAAAAAAACGTCAACTATTTTCTTCTATTCCTTGGCAATTAGAGATGAGCTCCACTTGCACGAATGCAATAAACCAATGTTTACCTGCACTAGTTTCATTCCCAAAGCGTTTCTATCCGTGATTCCGCTCTCGCTATGTGTGGGCCTGCGTCAAATTTGATCCTATCAAAGCGCATTATATTGTATAAATAAATAATTCCCTTGAATAAAGCGACACGCCAAGACTGAAAGGAGACAAATCTTTCACCAAAATGAGCAGTGGCTCCGTTATATTTTTAAAAGGGAAAAGATGCCGGCGATAAAAGCATATACATATTTTTCGGACTTGGAAAGCTTCTTCTTCTGGGGCTGCTGATGCACTCGAAACTCTCGGCTCCAAAAATAATCTCATTCAACTTGGGGTCTGCGCGAAGAGTGCAATTTTAATTGCCGGCGGCCGGCCAAGCGTCGACAGATAACCGAAAAGCCTTTTAACACCTCCGATGTGGGTCGCTGCGTGAAATGGAAACAATTGTGTAAAAATGACGAGCACAAGTGCAGGTAACGAGTGGCAATGCATGTAACGAGGCTCATAAATCAAGATTGCGATTGTTGTCCTCAGTCAGGCTGAAATTTAATTACTTTGGAAAACGTGCCGATATTCAGAGCCGTGTTGTTGTTTATTTTCATTGTCATCGGCGCAGCACAGCCTTGATCTGAGGAGAGAGAGAAGAACGGCATTCCACAAATAATTGATTGCCATTAGAGCTATTTTGTTAATAATTTTAATAACCGGTGCGTTGAGGGGAAAACAGGGCATTACGTGAGCGCTGAACCTGTAATTAAGTTTCACCGACGGTCAAATCTAATTTTTATTAATTTAGCAAAGTCGCAAGAAATCACGTTGATGATTAAAATGAAAGCCGCTGAATATTGAACGGACGAATTGCATTTAATGCATAAAAAATCAGCAAACTTAATTTTTTTCTGGTGCGTCTAAAAATGATTGAACGATACAATAAAGTGTGATAAAATTTTTCAATTGAAGTTATACATATTTTAAGAAATGAACCTTTCTTCTCTTTTTCCCAATTTAAAATTTATTTATTGACCGAGAAGGCGAGAAGAATAAATATTAATAAAGTAGTGAGTTTTGACTTCCAAATTAAGTTATAAAAAAAAAATATTAAGTCAATTGTAATAAAAAAAAAAAAATGATAAGATTTAGATTGATTAAAAGAAAAAACACAAATAGCACCTAAATACCTTGTAAAACTCAAAGTTTGTCAAAATCTGATCTTCCTCAACCTCAAAAACTAATCAAAATATCATTTCTTAAGGTTTTCATTTTCAGTATTCTTTGATCATCATGAAGACTTATTAAAGCGAAAATGATGATTCAAAAATATAGAAAAAAAACAAATCCTTCTACAATGGCAAAGGCCGAAAAGAATTTGTCTTAGAAAAAAAAGAATAATTAATAAAGAAAGAAAGAAAGAAAACAAGTATGAAGGCTCGCAGCAACAAATGGGGTCTTTTTTTATCTTGTAAGTTTTAGCAACATTCTTGCTAGTGGTGGTGCCGTTTTGTCCAACAATTTTTTTTCCAAATAAATTGTTTTATCAACAATTGAATGTAAACAATGTGATGTTACAATTTGAACAAATAAACAAAAATAATAATATTTTCAATAAAAATCTTACTATTAAAATAAAATGGCAAATATTAAAATTATTATTTTAAATATATTAAAAAATTGTGTTTAATATTTATAATAAGTTTGGCGCGTGGCCAAAACAAGAAGATTCCAGCTCGTTTTACGACCCACTCAAGATTCAACGACACCCAATCTGCCGCTTAAGGGGCGGCAGTTTGAGATAAATTCAAATTAAAACCCTTGTTTATTTCAGCCGCGGTGGCTGTTAAATTTTAATTGCGTTTACGAAGGATGATGCATATTTAATTGAATGACTTCACCGCTGGAAATAAGGAGATGGAAAGGAGAAGAATATAGGGGTGTGGAAGCAGCCAAGGCGAGAACCGGCGCTGCAGAGGACGCACGGACAATTAATGGCGTTCGTCGAGCGCGGCAAGAAGAGCGGGATTATGTTAATAAACATATCTTTGCGTCACTCGCTCTCGTGAGTCAGCCTTATGTAATGAATTAAAAAGGGGTGATGCCGCGGCACGCAAAGAATGCAAATGCATTCCAATTGACGGCACCGTCCAGATAACACTGAACAAAAGAAACGGGGCGGCCCAGACTATTTGGGGCGTCCAGAATTTAAGACCCCGCATGCAAACGCGGCGATGGGCGCTCTCAGTGGCAATTAGCGACGCATTTATAAATCGGATTGTTGATAAACAAAACTATTCAAATTGCTGAAATAAATGCCGCTTAAATAGAATTTATAGCTATAATTAAAATTAGGGAACAGTTCAATGAATTTAGGAGGATTTTAATATTAATTTTGATGTGTAAAGAAAACTTTCGTACATAATTTAATTTTTTGGTACTAGAATAAAACAAAACCAAAATTATTAATAATAATTTGGTCTTCTCTCAACCAACGCCGAGAAAGGTACGTTCACAAACACACGTTTCAATATGCTGACCAAAATTATTATATACAAATTCATTCCTTAAAAAAAAAATTAGAATTCAATTGTCAAATTTGTGTTAAAAATAGAAAATAGTTTGGTGTAAATAAATGTAACTTGAAATAAATTTTCACAAAAATAGTTAATTTGAAACAAAAATATTTTTACTACATTGATTTTTGTTGTACTAAATCTTGTCAAAAGAATTCCACAGCTCTTGAATTATGGCTGGAGCCGAAACATGTAGAGCAGGATATTGTTTTTTCCTTAAACAATAAACAACTCACAAAACCCATCGACGAAAAGCCGATTTAAAATTCAAATCACCATAAAAAATTTAATTAAGAATCCTTTTAAAATATTTCAAGTTAAATTTTTTTTATTCTGAAATTTTTGTAATTTTCATTTATAATATTGGAACATCTGGATGATGTGTATCTTGTTGCAGGCAGAGATTGTCTTGCGGTATGCAAATAAATTTAATTTTCAACTAATTTCAAGGAAGATATTGTTCAGAATAAAAAAAGGGAAAAAGTTTTAGTAAAAATATGACGAACAATAATAGAGAATTGGTTTTAGGTAACATGAAATTAAATAAGAACCCATAACTCAAAATTATGAAACATAAATTATAATTCTTTATACAAACTTTGTCCGTTTTGCTATTTTCTACATCATATGATTTTAAATTTATGTAATTTTAACCCGCGATCGTGAAATTCTACCTCAAAATTCCAAACTAAAATAAACTTTCATCAAACCATGATGATATGTGAAGCAGGTTGCATATTCTGGCTAAGCTGTTTGATGTAGAAAGCAAACTGGTCGTTCGATATAACTTTCAGCTGCAAATAGAAAACCAACAGAAAATAAAGAGGAACAATCTCAATGTTTTGCTTCGTGCCCAGAATCTAATTTGCTGAGAACAAAAATAAAGCGCGGCTTAGCTAATAAACCTTAACTAACACCCACTTGGAAAGGAGCTGACGTTTCTCTCGGGCGAATTTGCACTGCGAGTTCCAAAGTGCGCAAGGTGCAGCATAATTTTTATATGCGAGGGCAGGTCGGTGAGCAATTCACTTTGGCGCATTTAAAAGCAGATCCCCCACTTCGGAGTGAGAATGAGAGGAGTATGTATCTGACTGAGAGCGCGCGCGGGCTCGCAGCGCGCCTCGTCAGTCGAAAAGCGGAGCTCGTGGACTCGAAAAGTAGTTTTGCCGAGCCGAAGCCGTGTGCATGCTCAAGTGCGCCCTTTGCTAAATTCTCGCCCAATTGTAATCGCTGATTCGCCGAAACAGAATAATGCAGACCAAGAGGGTGCTCCTTTTGGGCTTTGTCCTGCTCGTCGTCATCCAGCTTTGTCTCGCCGACGGTACGTCTTTTCTCTCTCTTTCCAGCGTCATGATCAATTCGAGAGTTTTTTATTAAAATATAACTTATTTCGGTTTGGTGTCTTTTAATTTTTTGTTTCTTTTAATGAAATTGAGTAAGAAAATTTTTAAATTTTTATGAACGATTTATATGAGAATTTTATTTAGCGCTGGAATTTCTCTTGTTCAGAATTATCAAAGAAAAAGTACGATGAAGTTTTAAAGGCATAAAGTTTTAATTTTTAGAGCAGTTTCATAACATAACCGACTTAAATTGAAATTGGCCTGTACTCAAGACTCTTGACAGCTGACCCTAAAAAGTTACTTTCAAGTTGATGCTTAAATAAGCTACCGGTTTTAAAGAACATTAGTCCTTTTTTTAAAAACCAGAAAATTTGATGTTAATAATAAAATTTAAAAAAAGCTCTCAGTAGACGCCAGGCATAATTTAAATAAATGTGAACTTTCACATTTAAATGAATGAATTAAATCAAAATGATTGATTGCATAAAGAACAGTTATTAAGCATGGAAAACTGATTTTGAATAATGAGATGAAACGAGATTTGAAACCCACATCAAATGTTTGAACGGCAGGTTTATTTTCACCGCTGCGCCGGCAAAGTTATTTTGAACTTTGTCGTCGGTGCACCTTGGCGAACCGCAGCCAGCATTCATTAATTTCTATGCACTTCTTCTTTTAATTGAGCGTGCTACCCTGCCTGGCAACTCGACCGCTTCGAGAATGTTGCTCCTGCCGCGCGAGACACTTTATTGCACATTAATCAGGGTTGACATTCACAAAATGCTTTCTCGGTATTTCGAGCAAGCCGATCTTCGCTCTCTCTCGTGTTTATTAGCATTTAATCATCGCGTTACGATCGACTTTATAGAGTTGTCCTTTAATTGCTCACTTTATACATTGTGTGCAGATGATTCTTGTACTTGGAAAAGTGACACTCCAGTGTTATTTGCATTTATAGATGTAATTATGGACGTAACGAGCCAGATTAAAAGCTTTGCAAGCATTTGATGACTCAGCGCGAATTGGCATTTCCTTTTCAACCTTATTCATTTATATTGCAAAAACTGAAGTTTTATTTTTGGCTTTGGAAATAAATAAAAGTGCGAGCCGATGTTTCTTTTCACTTTTCACTCGACGAGCGGCAACGCCCAGAATTGAAAATAAAAAAAATTAATTCTGTCCTTGGTCACGTCACCATTTACGCGCAGGTACATATTTTCGCGAGCCAAGTCAGGGTGCAATAACTCACGATCAGGCTTTTTCTCTCGGCCCGCCGCGTCAAATAAAATTCGCACACACGGCATATAATTACTGTTGCAAACATAATTTAATTATTCGACCGTGATGACGACGGTGCTGCAGCAGCTGCGGAAAAAAATACTCGATCGCCCGTCATCTGCTCGGTAAGTGCCGTGTAATTAAAGTTAATTACCGGCGCGGCATCGCCCTGCAGAATTAGCCGAATAAATCTCGGATCGTTTTATTCCGCCGAGTGTCACTTTTTGCAAGTCGAATAAATTCAAGTTCGATAGCATCATCGTCGCGCGATAATTGATGCCGGCATTGTTTCTTTCTCGGCAGTGCCATTCACGCGCATGTAATACCGGTTTCATTGACGAACAATTCGTGCCCTTTGAGAAAAAGCTTCTTCGACTTTCATTTCGCAGCGTTCGAGTCGCGTCTGCAAAGACTCGAGCTTTGCAGCTTTCGGCATTTGGCCCAATTCCTTGAAACGTTCCCAAAGACTTCAGAGAGAAGAAAAACCGTTTCCAATGAAGGAAAAGTTAACAGATTTTAAGAAATAAAAAAGGGCTTTGAGCTCTAGAGTTTCAAATTTCTTAGTCTCTTTCTCAATTTTAGAGAATTTTTAGAAAAATTTTCAGGGTTCACAATGCAAAGGCAATAAATTTAAAATAATTATACATATATAAAATCCATTTAAATTAAACAAACTAAATTTTGAATTATTTCTATACATTTTTATTTATTTATTCATTTAATTTTATTTTTATATTTTTATGCCAATATTACATATTATTAAATCTGATAACATTTTACATGTTTTTGCAAAACCTAAACTAAATAATAAAAATAAGTACATAATAAGGAGACGCATGTATATTGTATGAAAATAATCTTTATCAGGAAGTCCATGACTGGCACATCAGAAGAAATTTTTATTTCTATGAACCATAAATAATGTGAGCATAAAATAAATTAAAAAATTAAATTTTTCTCTATAAAAGTGAGTTGAGAAAAATTTCAATTGTTAATAATAAATGATTGGGATAAAAATATATTTGTCAAAATACTTCAAGTTGAGGATGAACTTGACCCGAAAGAATTTTGTTATCACAGTTTGATTTAAAAAAAGCATGCATGATATTAATTATACAACACGGCCAATAAATTTCACTGCTCTGACTGATAACGAATTAGATCATCTGTCAGGAATCCAAGAAAAAAAGCGTCGAAAACGAGAAACATTCGCGCCGACTGATTTGTGGATGGCGCGGTCCTCAATCACTCGGAGCTTTTATGGAGAGTGAAATAAAACGAAACGAGCATAATAACAAACATATTTTATCGCGACAACAAAAATGAATCATCTCCTCTCCTAGAGCGGCAATCGAGCTGGGCGCACAATAAAATGTATTTGTTTAGCGCGCGTGATTTACGCGTCGACATAAATTTAGGCTGCACTCTTTCGTCTCTATTGCTTTTTGCAGCCCCCCAAGGCCTCTGTCTTATTGCAGGGCAAAAATGCGCGCAGACAAAAAGAGTTGGTAAATATTTGACTAGCGACGCGGGCGTTTACTATTATTTAGTCCTATTGTTTCGCAGAACACGAGACTCTCTCGCTCGTTCTCCTTTAAATTGACACGGTGCATTGTCTTCATACTGAAGCCAGCCAACTTTCGTTCTTTCTCTTTTTCCTCTTATTTTAAACTACAATTAAATTGCCGGCGGCGTGATGTTGGACTTTTGGTCGATCTTACAGGAGAAAAGTGCTTGCATTTTTATTTATTTTTCTTATCATCAATTTTCATAGCTCGCACAGTAGTTATTTGACCCTGTTATTTTAATTGACAGGGGAGATGTGGCAATGAAATGTAATCGGCACATTTGCGTGTCATGTACAAGTCCGACGACATCCACCAAAGGGCGTAATGTCAACCCAAGCCATAACCCAGAGCACGTCATGATGATAGTGAATTCCTCGATTATTGCTTTTAATATGCAATTCAAACAATTTTTTACTGAAATTTTCATTCAAAATATATTTTACAGGATATTAGAGGAGGCTAAGTTACGCATAAAATGGAATTATTGATCAAGATATTCAAAATATTTTATTTTTCTTTCAATTTTTAAAATTTTCTTTCGACTGAGAAGTACTGAGAAGAATACATATCAACAATAAAATGTGTGGTGACCAAATTCATCTGCAAGAACAATTTTAATTGTAAATTTTAAATAACAATTGTGAAATTTCAGCACAATCAAATTTATTAGAAATTGTGATTTAAAAATAAGTTCTCAGCTGATTTCATTTAAATTTAAAGAAATAATTTATAATTTCATAGTCGTATCAGAAAAATATAAATTAATAATTGAATATAAAAAATCTGGTAGAAAAATACATTAAAAATTAAAAAACCGTTAAAAATTTCCTTGAAATTATAAATATTTTTATTTAATTAAATAACTTTAATAACGTAACTTTTCTTCCTGGTTTGTGGACTTAAAAGTTTAATGAAATTTTAATCCTTCTCAAATAAGCTAAATAAAATAATATTATTAAAAAAATTTCAACCTTTTTATCGATCAAGAATAAGTAAACAGTTTTTTACTGAAATTCACATTGAAAATTTTTTGTCATGAAATTTTCAATGTGAATTTGAAGAAGAAACTGTAATTGCTTGTCGTCCAATCTCCAATCCAATCGTGTATCGACTGCTAGATTTATTGCGAAAATTCCAATTCAATTTCGCACGTCGCGAAGAATGAAGGGGCTGAGCGCGCCGGGTCAAAGATGATCACGGGAGCGCGACCGGCGGACAAAAAGCGCGGCGGCGGCTGCGGTCAAGATTAATTTGGCGGGCGGGCCGCGCGAGTGATTCACGACGCTTTGTGAGCAGCGCCAAAGTCATTACCACAATCAATGTTGGCGCAGACGGGCTAATAAAAATCTGTCTATCTCGGTCGTGAGCCAGGCAAGGGTTTGCAGCGGCCGCGGCGTATGTTTGTCGTCGTGCGAGAGTGACGAGCGAGGAATTTTAATTGAAATCAAACTCCTGTCCGGACCAGTCGTGTGTCGTTCACTTGTAAACTCAAGTTTGAGTTGAGAACTGGTGCTTTGACGAGAGAACTCTTTGATCTGCTTAACTGCAAAGGGATGTTGAACAGACAAAGGCAGAGCAAAATAGAATTATAATTTTTTCAAATTAACCAGAAATGCAAAATTAATCAAAATTAATTGATATATGTAACAAAAAAACAAGTCTTAATTTATAGAAAATGGAATGAAATATTAATAAAAGAAAAAAAATAACAATTTTTTTAATGAAAAATGTAGCATAAAATTAAAAAAAAAAACTTATCAAATTCGTTTTTAAAACCATTAAATTTTTGAATTGTATAAATTAATTTTTGTATTAGAATTTCACGATCGGGGGTTAATTCACGGTGTTTTGAATATAAATTCGGCTATACAAATCATTTTTGATTTAAATCCTCTTCTTGCATAATGCAATTTTTAAATTTCTATTTGTTTCTTGTCAGATTTCCAATATTGTAATTAAAATATTATTCTGCAGTAAAAGAAATATCTTTGAACGAGAATTCCAAACTTGAAAGTCGGGATCAACAAAATTAAATTTATGTAAATTTTTATTTTGCCCCTAATTTTAAAATTAAATTGGAAATAAGCTCTCAACATTTAGCCCCTGAAGTGCAATCAAGATTAATTAATTTT